ATAATAAAATTAAAATAAACAAATAGTTTACAGGACGTATTGGAAATAAAAATGCGAAATTTACCGAATTTTTCAAATTCACCTTGATTTTTGTTGAACTCAAAAAAATATACACATTTTTTTTAATTCTAAACTGTGAATTAAAAAAAAAAGATAAAACCATTTTTACTTAATAAAGGGTATGGCCTCCTCTACTGTTCATTACAGCCCTACATCGTCTCTCCATGCTCCTGATCAGGTTGTCGATTTCTTCTTGAGGTACAGCCTGCCACGCTGCATTCACGGCCCGAACCAGATCCCTACGAGTTTCACGAGGCATACCCATTCTCAAAATTCTTCTTTGGACCGCGTCCCATACGTGCTCGATAGGGTTGAGGTCAGGAGATTGTGCCGGCCAGGGTAAGATGTTTAATTGATGAGCATTGATAAACTCACTTACCACTCTGGCTGTACGAGGCCGTGCATTGTCATGCATGAGAATGAAGTTTCTCCCAAAATCATTGGCATATGGTAACACGACAGGCTCAAGAATTAAATCACGATATGTGATTCCTGTTAGAAACCTTTCAAGAAAAACGAGATCGGTTTTTCGGCCTAATTGGACTGCTCCCCAGACCATAACTGTTCCACCTTGATAAGGGTGCACTTCCTGAACATGATCCAACCGAATAAGATTTCCCGGTTCTCTCCATACCCTAAGCCTTCTCGAATCCGGATGTAATCCAAAGCGTGACTCATCCGTGAAGAGAACATTGGCCCAATGTTCATTCGACCACTGAACATGATCTTGAGCCCACAAATATTGTACCTCTCGATTTCCTCTCGTTAAGGGTTGAGCTCTCCAGGGGCGTCTGCTTCTTAAGTTGACCTCTCTTAATCTATTGCGAACAGTGTCAGGACTAACGGTTACATTATGTGTTTCCTGGAGAATTAAACTAAGCTCTGGTGCTGTAAGAGTCGGTCGGCGTCGAGCATTTAATTGTAAAAAATGATCTTGCTGAGGGGTAGTAATGCGATGTCGCCCTGTGTGCCTTTCAGCAACATCAGCATTTTCACGGTCACGTGCACTTAATCGCGATATTACACTTTGCGTTGTATTTAATGCTCTAGCTACGTCGATTTGGCGCATTCCAGCTTCGAGCATACCCATGGCCCTTAGCATTTCGTCTCTGTTAAGATGTCTACGCTCCATAATGTCGTTTAATACTAAACAGAGTTATTTGAATGAATTTTGGCCAGTTATCATAAAAACATAACCAGTACAGGTTAAATTCGAACAATTGATGCTAGGTGCTTTTTATACATTTGACAAAAAATGCACAAACACTTCTGCAAATATCCCAAATTTAGAAATAACTAGTCTGACTGCTTCGTTTCAATCGAAGTAGAAAGAATCGGCCTACAAATATGTGGTTGTTTATTCAAAACATTTATTTTTAACTTTAATAAAATGATATCCCTAGATTTTTCCGATGTGTGTAATTTGCCTTAATCCAAATCTAATAGCAACTTTTAAGATTTTCTAATGTCATTAACACCCTGTAGAGGCACTAGATACTTAACTATCTACTAACAAATCGTCACCTGAATGCAAGAAATGGATAACCCGGAATTTTTATGTTTTAAGTTAACTAAATTCTACACGCTCTTTTACATCATTTCGAGTAGGTAACTTAAAACATTCGAAATACCCATTTCTTGCATTCAAATGATATGCAAAGTTGGTTCTAAATCCTAAATAATATAATCCAAGTAACAAAATTCCCTTACTAGTTATCCTCTGCAATAATACCTACTTAAAACCTACAAACCAATGATATCTAGCTAGCCATAAATCTATTAAATGCAAATGAACGGCCATAAAAATTATAATTTCTTAATATGTAGCAGGGGAGCCCAAGATGGTCAAATGGAGATTTACTCGAGCGTCGTGATTCTATTGAATTGTAAAATTAGATACGAAAAAGAAAAAAAAAGTTGGTGGGGAAGCAAAAATTTTAAAAAGTCATAAAAAACTACTTGGGCGTTTCAGATATTAATAGTTGAGGGGTGCGAACAGAATGCCTTTTGGTTGTGTTTTGGCATTATGTGGACATTGTGAGCATTGTATGGGCATGGTAAAGGCATTTTTGGGCACTTTGTATATGCGACGGCTTTAATAAAATATCTTATTCCGATTTTATTTTATTATACTTTTATTGAGAGTCTAATGTAGGTATAATGCGAATTTAATGATATTTTTTGTTGTCTTCTGTTGTTTGTTATGAATGCAATTATGAAGTTTATAAACAATATTAGGTTAAATAAATTTAGAAGCTATATAAGTTTATAGTTTTTAGTTTGGGAGAATAGGGGCATAAATATCGATGGTGAGAGGTTGACACATCTCAGATTCGCAGATGACATCGTCCTTGTCTCAGATAACATCGGAGATTCAAAGCAGATGCTCGAAGAATTAGTACAGGCCTCATTAAAAGTCGGTCTCCGGATAAATAAGAGTAAAACGCAAATAATGACAAACTTAGTGCTGCTACAGAACATCAGAATAGGTGACGCCGACATAAAAGAAACACATATATACAAATATCTCGGGCACGAAATACAAAAATCGGAAAGAACAACCAAGCACACGAGATACAGCGCAGAATAGGTTTGGGTTGGGCTGCTTTTGGCAAACTGCGGGAGACCTTTAAAAGTGATATACCCATATGCTTGAAGAGGAAAGTTTATGAACAATGCGTCTTGCCGGTAATTACCTATGGAGCGGAAACTCTAACATTAACGAAAAAGTCAGCAGAAAATTTAAGAGTAGCCCAGAGAGCCATGGAGAGAGCCATTATCCTTTTTTTAGATGGCCTCCCAAGTAGCATTTTATTAGCAAGAGGTTTCGGTTAAGTTGCAAGATTATTTAAAAATACATAAGTCTCCAAATACATAAGCACCAAGAACTTTAGTGACGATTTTAGCTACATATATTATTCCCGTGATTTTTGAATTATTTCCTTCATAGTAAACAAATAACCACGCTCGAAAATGTCCCGATGATTTTTTTTGCAACTCTCTGTGACTCTCCCATTTCCTTCACGCTTGAATCATCAGAATATTTAAATGCACACTTTTCTGTATATTGTAATTAACCCATCTTGCCTTAACCTGCCCCATTAGAGTTTTTCTAAGGATTGATTATTTCTATTACTCTGATCGACCCAGTGTAAAAGAGTCATGTGGGGTGGGGGTACTTAACAGGGTGCAAGGGTTCTCCCCTTATGTTATTCTGTCGCGTTTGAGTAAATCATGAGTAAATCCCCAAATCCCAGCTTGGGCCCGCCTACTATAATGAAAGTACCTAATATATACCTGAAGTGTTAAACAATATTCTAACTACAATATTCGGTAAATACGCTGCAATAAAAACCTAATTTAAATTGAATTTCCACAAACCGATATAATCTTAAATTACTAATTAATTCTTCGTTTATTCGGGTAAAGCAAGATCGTTGAACAAGATTTCATTCAATTGTTTACAGTCTGATAATCAGCAATTGTAATGTCGGATAACTTTTTATTTTTTTAATTACGTAAATATTGAATAATTCATTAATGGAGAATTAATCGAGTAATAACACAGTTTAGTGTGGTAATTCGGATTATTTTTTTATTTTATCTAATTCCTAATTAAATAGTAAATAAAGTAAGTATTTATCGTAATTTAGATATATCTGAACTACTAAGAAATTGTTTGAAAAGAAAAAATATCGTATAACAACAACTAAAGAAAGTTTACTAACAATCTCAAATTGCTTTTAATTTTATTATAAACGCAAGTAAACTTATGTTTACATTGACATTAACACGCCTACATAACATAATAAAACAGAAGCGGACGGAAAATGTTATTACGGGAAAAAGCGGGAAACAAGTATAATTTTCATTAGCTGGATGATATACAGGGTGGTCCGAACTGTATTCGGGAAACTTCGGCAGCATATTCTGCAAATAAAAATAAGTAAAAAAGCTCGTATAAATGTCCTAAAATGCTTAGTTTCGTAGATACAGGGTGTAGAAGTTCCATTTTTATTTCGATTTTTTCCAAATATTTTCTGAAGTAACGTCAATATTTGGATGAAAAGTGGTGTCTGGGTGTTTTTTGATATTGGAAATTTAATTTTTATATCAATAAAACTTCTATTTGTAGGGGGCGCTACCTACATGTGTTTTAACTGCTTTAAAGAGTAATAGTTTTTCGTCCGTACCTGTATAAAACTACCGATTGAAAAAATATACATACATTCATTTACACGAACTTTTTTACTTATTTTTATCTGCAGAATATGCTGCCGAAGTTTCCGGAATACAGTTCGGACCACTCTGTATATGTGTTACTCCGGTGTCCCAGGAATAAGTGCAAGTATTTTAACTGGAAGTATAGTTCAACCCCAGAAACACACCTATGAGGTGTTTTTCGCGAAAAAAAAGATTGAAAATTCGAAATTTAAAAAAAAAATGTTGGAATTTTTTTCAGTTTTTAATTCTTTTAAGTCAAGTTTTTAAAAAAAACATAATTTCTTGATAATATGGCAACATATGTAGGTATTAGATTAAATTTACAAGAAAGAAAAATAATGAAACTGCTACAAGTTTTAATAATAATACGAGTACTAATGTTTTTGTACCTACTATATAGGTTCTTTAAATTTCAATTCAAATTCAGCATCTTCAAGTACCGCAATGGAATCTAAATATAATAATTCCTATAACTGTGTTTCTCACTGCAATTCTTCATGTAATTTTTAATTTCTAATATATAAGTTCTGTTTCATTTTATTGCTTCATTTTTAAATGAACAAACGGACGCAAGTAATCTTAAAGTATTTATACTCCACTTAAATATTACCACAAGTCAGTCTTGGTATCACATTTGCTCATCACTAGTTATGTTATTAGATGGTAGATGTCTTTGAATTTTTTTTTTTTTTTAATACAAATAATGTTTACATTACCTTATTACTACTATTTGAAACACCCGGAAGATAGTAAATAATAACAAACATCCAGACCAGCGTGAAAACCAGCATTATTTTCACGTTCCTCCGCATTTTCCACAGATTTTTGCTTGACGATTTTCTTCGAAAACCACACAATTTTATTTGTGAATTCGCGACATTAATCGCGAATTATTCGCATCGGCCGCATAGCAGGACACCGCAATTGCACTATCGCGTACCGAAACCCCACTGCATAGTCCGTCAAACCGACATTACTGCTGGCCACTGTCACTTTGCCGGCGAGTGTGTGCCTGCTTTAGTAGGGTGTTGGAAAAGTGTCGATGATTCAGATGCTCTGTCCTCGTCTGTTGTTCGTTGTAAACTGCGCTGGAGTGAAAGAGATGGAGAACGTTAGCCGGACGCGAACTAGATCAGCCGGAGCGATGCCTTTTATTTTATTGAGCGACGCGCGACGTCGCCTGACAGTGGCGTCGGGTGGCGCTAACACCTTAAACTGTAAAAAGTACTAGATATGGGGGTTTCCTGAACTGGAACTGGGAATTTCAACACCATGCCTCTAAGGGACAGCAATTCTCCGATAAGCGAAAAAAATATAATTAACTTATATCAAACAACATACCAACTTAACCAAATTTGAAAATGCCTATAAAAACATAAAGAGTGTTCCAGAAATAAGTGCAAGTATTTTAAGGGGCGGAATATCTGGTCAAAAGAAACACTTTTTCTCTTTACCATTTTTCAAATAAGTCCAAAATAACCAAGTTATTTTACTTTGAAAATTTAAACAAAAAATGCTTTTTAACTATTTTAGAGTCTTTTTCGATAAATCGCGATAGTGTCACTGTTAATTTAAGTTCTGCCACAATTTCCATCTAGATTTACTACCTTTATACAACTATCAGCAGTGGAATAAATAATAAATAACATAAAATAAGCTCCGTAAAGACTGACAAATCCACAAAATTTCAAATCAAATTCAAATGTGTCAAATGAATTGTCAAACAGAACTGTCAAGGATCCCCACCCTAGAGTCCTTTTTCCGCCCACCATGCATGAATACATGGATAGCATTATGCTCCTTCCTTAATCTTCTTATTCAAAGCGAGTAATGGTTCTCGAGATATTTGAGCTTTGTTCGGGTTCTTGAGGTTCGGCAGCGCATGCGCAAATGAAATAATGTCTTCATATTTCCTTCTGCGCATACGCATCACAGTTCTAGGACGGTTCAGAATCGGTAACAAGAGAAACCCGAAGTAACCTTTGGAATCAAAATTATCAATACCTGTCATCATTGACATATGATTGACATAAATTAAACGACATGTTGACTAAATAGCTATCAGACGGAAATCATATATTTGAAATGTTTTTGTGTAAAAAGTTCAACAGAGACTGTCTTATTCTTGTCTATTATTAATTTAAAAAAATAAAAATTTCCCAAATTTATTATTTCAGTCAAATAATTATCCACTCAACGTGTTTATTTTTTTCTCAATAATGACATGTATTGGTTATTTCCATTCTAAATATCTTGAGAACGGTTGCTCGTAACGATTTTTACCAAGAGACATTTTTAAGTAAAAAATCACCGAAATGTACATTTTTTCACTTAGTAGTTTTATACAGGTATACAGGTACGCATGAAAAGTTATAACTCTTCAAACCAGTTAAGACACATATAGGTGGCCCATACAAATAGGAGTCATATTGACATCGAAATCAAATTTCTATTTTCAAAAAACTTCCAGACACGAATTTTCATCCAAATATTGACTTTTCATCAGAAATTATTTGGAAAAAATCGAAATAAAACTGAAACTTCTACAGCCTGTATCTCCGAAACTAAGCATTTTAGGACATACATTGATACGAACTTTTTTACTTATTTTTATCTGCGGAATATGCTGCTGAAGTTTCCGGAATACAGTTCGGACCACCCTGTATAATACATGGCAACATAGACATAGGTAGTAGATTAAATTTACAAGAAAAAAAAACAGAAAAAAATCCAGTGGTTCTCAAAATGTAAGCAAAAAATCTTTTTATTTTAATTTTCAAAGTGAAAAAACTCGGTTATTTTGGACTTATACCGTATGATCGAATAAAAACGGCGTCAGCGATGGCTATGAAATAAAGATCGCTGTCATTTTATATGAAAAATTATATAGGGAATGTCATCTCCAAGCCAACTGCATGCCGTTTATTTTCAAAGAAAAAAAAAAGCTTTTGGTTACAAAAATACAAATTGCAAGTCAGTGGCGTACGTATTTTCTGATAAAGTATCTCCTGGGACGCCACTGAAGTTAATAATTTTATTTTATTTAGACCTCAATTAGGTCATTATTACTAGAAATAACAATGATAAATTTCAAGATACAGAGTACTTTTAAAATAATAAAAAAAAAATATTTTATACAGGGTGTTCCTTCATAACATGCTAATATTTAAGGGGGCGATTCTTAGACCCACTCTAAGAGAAAAATGTCATATGAATGTATGTCCAAAACATCTTAATTTCTGAGATACAGGGTGGTAAAATTTTCTAAAAAAAATTTTCATAATTACTCTGATTTTATTAGATATCTTTATGAAACTTGATACACGTGTTCTATGCATCAAAATACCTTTTTTAGTATACAAAGAATTTTATTTGTTTCAACCAGTGTCATCTATATGAGTTTTACATTGAATCTTTTGGGAGAAAAAAATAATACACCACTCACTTCTCTTAAAATAAAGATTATTTTCAAAATCTTCATACATTTCTAAACATTTTTTATCTCCCGATTTTTTTTAAAAATATAAAAGTCAGTTTACTTCAGGGTCACATCTCTGAAAATCTGATGCGTGGAAATCATTTCTACATCGGCTGGAAGAAAATTAAGAAATACAACAATTTTTTCCATATCAAAATTAGCATTTTGATGTATGGAAGGCGTGTATCAAATATAACCACAGATTATACAGATTATAATCTTTGTTTTTTCTTTATTGTTGTTCGTGGTTCCAATTTTCGGAATCGGGCACTAGTTAGGTGACTAGTTTGCGCACATACCACGCCCACTTATGGCCTCTAAAATTGTGCACAGCGCCTGACCGGCACAGTTATTAGAGAGATATCGGAAAACCGAATAGCGTCATCCAGTATTTACGCGTACCTTCTCATGGTTACGATATGCGCGAGTCAACGCAACACCCGCTAATAACGTTACCGCCTGACGTAATTTGCGGATCAATTACACCCAAGCGCTCTTTCTAAATAACCTCTGATAACATTTAAAAATTGCTTAAATGGGCATGTGCGGGTATTTGACAACCGGTGCCGGCCGGCGAGATCTTTTATTTTAGGTTATGTTTGAATTGTTTTGAATTATTGCTTTAGTTTTATTAGGTAATTTGATATTTAAGTAGCTGGGATTAGTTTTAATTAAATAAATATGGCCCAAAATATGGATTTCACCTCTTCCAATACTAAAGAACCTATAAAGAGTCTTAGGTTTACAGCAGCTGACGACTTAGCCCTCCTAGGAGAATTTGTGGCTTGTTGTCCTAAACCCATTGGCAGACGTTGAACAATAAAGCACTGGAAATAAGCACTTTAGCCCTTTAGTTTTAAAATACCTAGTAAACGAAACAATTTCAAAGTTTTAAATTCAAAGTTAGGTTAAGTTTAAATAGCGGACGCGACGCGATCAGAATTCTTTCCGATCCGATAACTATAAATTAAGAGAGTAATACCACCTCACATAAAGGAAATAACACCTGGGGCGCTATTCTGTACAATCGTCGGAATCGGTGAGTTACCGATAGCTATCGGTTCGTATTTGCATATAGTGAATATGTGTTAATTGTTGTTGTCATAGTTACCGATCGGCCCTATGACAGATATCGTAAATTTGTACCGACGACTCTCGGTATCTCTACCGTGAGGTTGACAAGGGCACGGTAGAGATACCGATTTTCGTAGGTACAAATTTGCGATATCTGCCATAGGACCGATCGGTAACTATGGCAACAACAATTAACACATTTTTACTATATACAAATACGTATCGAAAGCTGTCGTAACTTGCCGATACCGACGATTTTACAGAATAGCGCCCCTGGCCTTATTAACGTCCTATTCGGTTTAGCGATATCTCTCTATTACGCTGTTTATTGTTATTTTACGCGAGTTTATTTTTGCGCACAGGAAATTTGACTCGTTTCCACATCGTCATAAAAAACAATTTTCGCACCACGAATTAGGGACAAGATTTTTATCTGTATACTTATAGGATACCTAATCTGTGATATAACATTAGAGATATTTCGAAAAAAAAATAGAAAATTTTACCACCCTGTATCTGAAAAGTTAAAAGGTTTACGAGATATATTCATATGAAGTTTTTTTCTTAGAATAGGTCCAAGCAATAAGGGGTGTCTCACTATTAGAATTACATGTACAGGGTGGGTCAAATTCGACGCTTTTAAATGGAAACACCCTTTTCTATAGGAGATAGGCGAAAACTAATATCGGTGTCTGGAGCTCAATTTTCATCAAAAACATGATGGTGAAAACCGTACATCAATATCTCTTACCGTTTCGGAGTTACAGGGTGTTTTTCAAAAATGTGCATTTTTAACAAATCGCTGTAACTTTTTTGATATGGAAAATTTTGTATTTCTATGAAAACATTTCCAAAGCACCTTTTTACGTAGAATTTAATGGTTTAAGTATAATTTTTTTAAAATTAATAATTTAAGAGTTATCAACAGAAAAATTTATTTTTTATTTGGGACACCCCCTATATTTTTAATTAACTGAAAAGAATTTAAAATTACCTTTTCAAAAATATAGCACACTTGATATTTTGTTATAATCCCCTTCGAAATACAGAATTTTTAAAAGTTCGCCACTTTTAACTGGTAGGCTTTAGACCCCTTATTGACGATATGTGGATGTTTCGATATGGAACTCGAAAACATATTTTTCCAGCAAGACAACAGCACCGCCTCTGAAAGCTGAAGTTAGCAGCAATTTTTTGCAGCCAATTTCAAGAATAATTGGATAGCTAACCAAGATTCCAGCCGTTGGCCGTCGAGGCCGCCTGACTTAGTGCCCATGGATCTAATCTTATGGATATATTTGCGGGAGAATAAAGGTTCCTTATTCTTGCGTATAATCTAGACAAGAATTAGAAATACTTAGCAGTTATGAGAGGGTATCTTTCACCCCCACTGAGTTAATGAATTCCGCGAGAAATGTTCAAAAACTGCCCGGTCTGTCCATAACAGAAGACTGTCGATAAGTCAAACACCTGTAGCAAAATCTCATGTCTTGGTTTGCTATTTATTTTTATTGTTATTAGATATAGTTTAAATGTGTTGATGTTGGTTAAAATTGTTTTAAAATGTTATAAATTGTTATAGAATTCTGCGTCTCTCATAGCAAATATTATTTTCGTTTTAATTGATGCTCACAGCTAGATTTTTTTTGCATTACAGCCGGTGCCGTTCAAAGCCTACTTATTTAAAGCGGGCGAATTTTTATATACTCTATATCTCGAAGAGGAATCGAGCAAAATATCAAGTGTGTTATATTTTTGGAAAGGTAATTTTAAATTATTTTCAATAAATTAAAAATATACAGGGTGTCACGTATAAAAAATCAAATTTTCTGTTGATAATTCTTAAACTATTAATTTTAAAAAAATTATACTTAAACCATTAAATTCTACGTAAAAAGGTGCTTTGGAAATGTTTTCATAGAAATACAAAATTTTCCATAGTAAAAAAGTTACAGCGATTTGTTAAAAATGCACATTTTTGAAAAACACCCCGTAACTCCGAAACAGTAACAGATATTGATGTGCGGTTTTCACAATCATGTTTTTGATGAAAATTGAGCTCCAGACACCGATCTTAGTTTTCGTCTATCTCCTATAGAAAAGGGTGTTTCCATTTAAAAGCGTCGAATTTGACCCACCCTGTGTACATTTTATTGGCAGTTGCTAGCAGTCATTGGCAGTCTTCTTTGGCAGTCACTTGACAGTAAAATTATATTTTGGCAGTACATGTACATTTTTTACCCATGTTATTAAGGAACACCCTGTATTTTTAAAATATTTTTTTAAACATCTTGTATTTTTAAACCTATATGCTACGCGTTTCCGTACCCACGTTTATAGAACTTTTTTCCATATGTTTTCATGAAGAATCACCTACCGAAATTCCAAACTTCATTCTTCAAACTTCGTTTTATTAAATATTTTAGTTTTATTTTTTTGAAATAAAACGAGGGTAATTTAGGTATTAATTTTTTAATACTTATATTAAATAATTTAGTATATAAATTGATATATAAATACATACTAACTTCTAGTATAAATATACAGGGTTGTTCACCACATACGACACGGGATATTGTAGCTAAACGACTAGATTTTAACAAATTGTAAGATTTGGGTTCGTCGAAGGACTATTAGAGCTACAATTTAAAAATATTTTTACAAGATACAGAGTGTCCCAAATAAGAAAAAATATTAGTTTTATTTTTTTAAACGGAACACCCTGTATATTATTCTATTTTTACATTCTGCGATTGAAATAAAGATAAATTTGATTAAGGTTTATTACACTTAAATCTTACCGTTTTTGAAATATTTTCAATTTTATGAAATTACAGTAAAAATTTTAAGGCTTTATTTCTCTAAGCGTATCGAAGTTTTTAATACTAAATATTTACTGAAGTTTATTTATTAATCACATATTGTGTTGCAATAATAACCAAAATACTACCAGAGTGTCTAAAAATTTATATTAAATAATTATTAGCTTTAAACGACAATAATATTAGCTTTAAACGACTTGTTTAATTTAAATGGAACACCCTGTATATTTTAAATGAATCAGATGCAGAATTTAATTGTCTATCAAATTGTATATACCATTTTTCACTTATCTCTTCAAGTTTTTGTAGAAAATGTATTTTCTTATAATTTAGACCTCATTTATCACTATACCCATGAAATATTGACATTTTAGATTACAATATTAGTAGAATTACTAATATTGTCGATATAGTTCGTTTATTTCATTAAAAGATAAAAAAACTGTTTAAATAATATTTGTTAACGAGGACCAAATAATATGATTGTATTCAAACTATATTAATTGATTGTTTACGTTGATTAATAATAATTACTGCAAATATTAAAAAAACTGAATTTTGTGTGTGTATTAGACAGTGTGGTAAAAGTAACACCTTATAAATTTTATTTCATTTTTTGACAAATGCTTATTAATAACAACAGAGACGTTCATTTTCATAACTTATTATTGTATTGAATTCTGAGTAAAATGCACATTTATTTAGAATAATTTATTAGTTAAAACAATTAAATATGTAATTAACTAATTTTTGGGTGGAAATAATGGTGGTATATTAATAATTAGTGTATACGCTTTTACAAAGATTTAACTAGTTTTCTTTTTGTAAACGAATGGGCTTGCAATATTATTATCTTTACCACTTGTACATTTTGTACAAATGTTGCTTTAAAAAAATATAAAATGTCAATATTGCATGGATATAGTGATAAATGAGGTCTAAATTATAAAAATATCCATTTTCTACAAAAACTTGAAGAGATAGGTAAAAAATTATATAACACTACTTGATAGACAATTAAATTCTGCATCTGATTCGCGTAAAATATACAGGGTGTTCTATTTAAATTAAACAAGTTATTGCCGTTTAAAGCTAGCAATTAGTAATTATTCAATATAAATTTTTGGACACTCTGTATAAGGTACTATAATTTTTATTATTGCAACACCAAAATCTAATCAATAAATAATATTCAGTAAATATTTAGTATTAAAACTTTTAATACCCTTGGAGAAATGAAGCCCTAATTTTTTTACTGCAATTTCACAAAATTGAAAATATTTCAAATACGATAAGGTTTAAGTATGATAAACCTTAATCAAATTTACCTTTATTTCAACCGAAGAATCTAAAAATAGAATAATATACAGGGTGTTCCATTTAAAAAAATATAACTATATTTTTTACTTATTTGGGACACTCTGTATCTTGTAAAAATATTTTTAAATTGTAGATCTAATAGTCCTTCAACGAACACAAATCTTACATGTGTAAAAATCTAATCGTTTAGCTACAATACTCCGTATCGTATGTGGTGAACAACCCTGTATAGTATAAAAGGAACACTTAGAAAATGAGATACAAACCTGCAAAACCTAATAGCTTTTAGAAAGCATTTTAGATATCTAATATATTGTGTTATCTACTTGAGATATAAAGAGTTAATAGTTCAGTCAGAGGAAGATTTTATCACAAAATGGAAATATCCATTCTTATAAAGTTATATTAATTATTTGTGTAAATGGTTCACATAAAATAAGATGTATAAAAATATAAAAATTACATTACAGCAGAATATCAAAAATGGACGGAATATGTTTAGAAAACTTATAAAGATATGCCATTGAATATACCAAACAAAAAAAAAACCGGCGTCAAAGACGGCTAGGAAATGACAATCGATGTTAGTTTTGGGGAGGTCAAGCCCTAGATGTCACTTACTTGACCTGTACTCTTCATTAGTTTTTACTGGCTTACTGCCAGTTGGCCTTAAGAAGGTTGTACTTTATTTTTATATTGACTAAAAATTATTTTTAAAGAGTGTACCCTCAAGTGTACCTAGCTAAAAATCATAGAAAAAATATATTTTTGGAAATAGATTTGTGCATCTGGAAACGTTCTATTCCTTTCTAACCTTTCTATGATTAGTACAAATGTTTAACAAGTTTGATGTGAATTTTTGTAAATAGCATCTATAGATGGACCTTGTTAAAATTATCGATCGTTGTTCCCCAGTGGTCTCTGAAGCCTTTTTTTTAATCATAAAAATCTTACCAACATACTTGCTTATCTGATATTAGTAGATTTAAAGTTTGTTTACTTATCAGTCTCATAGCATAAGTAGGGGTAGCTGAGCTATATAAGACACACAATATATTATCACAGACTTTAATACCATGACATTTGTGATACTCTGAACACCAGTAGCTTTCCATCCCTTCAGTACTTTCATCCAATGCCAATTTGTCTGTTTTCAAATCTTCCGAAACATTATTTTCTTGCCAAGTTTTCGAATTTGGAATTAGCGTGTTCATGATGGCTTGATAAAAGAAGGTTCTTAATATATCCAACCTGTGAGAACTACTGCTCATTTTTCTACCTGAATTTTGTTGAGGGTTTTTCGACATCATGTATTTTTTCCTTTTAATATTTACAAGCAGCAAACTAGAATTAGGTTTTAGTAAAAAAAACTGTTAAAATGGTAAAAACCTACCCCAAAATTCCACTATCAACTACCATAGTATTTGGAAAATTTCTTGGGACACATTGTGAAGCAGATTTTAGAATATCTGTAGAGTTTTTAAAACACTGCGCTGCAGCTTGTTCAATATTAACTAGAGCAGGTGTTGAACCGCATAAACAACACACTTGCACATCAGATATTAAACTGCAAGCTACAAATCTGAATGCCACCTAAAATTTCAGTCATTATTATTAAAAAAATGTTGAAATAAAACACACAAACAGTTGGGCTTTTGTAAGGCAAAAAAACAGGAATATCTTTAGAAATATCCTTATTTTCAGTTACAGCAAGTAACAATAATAGTCTTATTTCATGGATATGCAACGACCACCAATTCTCTGTGGCAACTGCAATCTTGCCATTAACAAGAATGCAACTAAACATTGAATCAACACATTCAGTAAACGAGTCTAAAACGATCTATATTTCAATGTCAAAAATACCAATTTTAATACTAAGAAACTACTTGAATAAGATGATTTTCTGGACATAAAACTGTTTCTGCATATCCTACAATATCTGAGGAATGTTTATTGCTAGAGTCACCACAATCTAACGAGTCAAGTAGTCTATCAATGACCGGAAAACAAATCTAGAAAGTACCTGTGTTAAGTATATTATATTATTTCAATACGACATTCTGTTCGTATTACTCTTAATTCTCGTTTAAGTCTTTCAATATTCCTTTGAGTTTTAACTTCATTAATACCAACTATTAAAACTACAGCATCATAAACCAACTGGAGGAGTCTATTTAATACATCAACAGAACAGCCACTGGCCACTCCGATTATCACCAAACTAAAATGAGATTATTGCAAGTGCAAATAAAATTATAGGTAATTATATACGTAGGTAAACCTTATTAATTAGCCAAATTTGAAAACCTATAAAAATGACATATTATCTGGCTTACCTTTCACAAAATTCTTTCCAAGCTACTGCATGGTCATCGGATACAGTGTCAAGAAGTTCGATATTTGATGGTTTACCGAACATGTGTACTCCGTTTAAAGAGCCAAGAGTAGAAAAGGAAAGCTAAAAACAGATAAAAGATTTGAGAAAGTTCCAAAGTTTGGTGATACTGATAAATATTAATATTACATTATCACAATTTCCTTTTTTCCTGGAGAATACTGGTATTCCACCATTGGATGTAACGCCCATAATATAAGCGGACATTATTAAACTTATTAAAAAGGTAAAAATTAAATAAGATCACTAAAACATTTCCCATAAAATGACAACAGAAACAAAACAAGAAACAAGAGGGTTAACATGACACTTTCTTCTTTTCGTATTTCGTACTAGAACGTAGTTCTGTATATGAATCGCAATAACTTAACACAAAATTTAAGATAAGGAAAGCGCAAACCATAGAAGAATTAACTGACAGTTTTCCAGAGATATAGCAGTTTTTTCTGGTGAACGCGGCTATTTTGTTTCGTTAGATATTTTTTATAAATTTTAATATCAAAAATTTTTATATTCCAGAACAAACTGTTAAGTAGTAAGTAGTTGTGGACATTTTTATTTATTAATTTTATGTTTCATACAAATTATTTATTTATATTTTAAAATCAGTTTTCTTTGTTTTCTTCTTAGCCTTCATAATTTTCTCTTTCAATGCTGCTATGTCAACCATTGTTTTAACTGTATCAGTTTTTTTAGATGTCGAGGGTCCTGGTTCTTGAGGAGGAATAAATGCTTCATTCCTCTTTTCTTCTCGTCTTTTAGCCGCTTCGGCATGTTTTTCGTCCTTCTCCTTTTGCTTCTTAATTTTTCTTTGCTCTTTGTTAAGGAAATATTCACCTGTAGCAAGTTGTTTATCAACCTGAAATAAAAATACTTTTACTGCCTGACATAAATCAAAATCTGAATAAAAATACCTTGCTTTCTGTTTGAGCTGGAGGGAATGGAACATAAGGTTTTTTTTCTTTCTTCTTTTTAGGTTGTTTACGCTTGCTTATGTTTTTATTGACAAATTTAGGTAAAAATCTTTCCCAATTTTCATTCTTTAATTTTGGATCTTTCATTAACTCTCTTTTAATCATTAAAGCTTTGATATTATAAATAGGATGAACATTTTTCATTGTGTCTTCAACTATTTTGCGCACCTGCTGTAAACCCTTGTGAGGCCCCAAAGCAGATACAGTCTGTCCCTGTACAAGAATATAACAATTTGAGAGTAATTCTATAGCTTTGAGGGTGCAGCCGTTAGGTCCAATTAAACGTTGCCTTCTTTTAACAAACTTTTCTCGATTTCTTGTTATTTTACCTATCCTAATAATATCACAACTAACGTCATCTTCTAAGATCCGTTTGGCTTGTTCAAAAGGTACACTTCTAGACATTAAACGAATCAAATCTCTTGCTTTAATGATGATGTATGGATCCCATGTTTTTCTTGTTGTTCGGACTACCATACTACCTTCAATTAGATCCAGTTCGGCTTTGATGTGATACTCGTTGAGGAGTTTCTGTACTAACGGCCAAACTTGTCGCAAGTATTGTTCTCTGTATTTGGGAAATAACGTGGAGAATGAACTTTCTTCTAATAGTCCATGTGGATTATCTTCAGGTTTGAACGAAGGAATTTTCATAGCCCATGCATTTTCAATAGGGCCTTGGGGGTCCCGTTCTTGATTATCGTCACTAGTATCAGACATAACACTGTCGATATTTAGGTGTTAACAAATGGAAGATAAAATTAATAATAAAAACAAAAATATAGGGTAAGGTTAAGTAGTATATTAGTTTAATGGCCACAGCTGCCAGGGCTATAGAGATGAGCGATATTTCACGAACTGTGATTTTTTCACTGATATTTAAAAATCACATATCACGATCGTTACTTTTTTTGAGAAGAAAGTGTGAATTGATATGTGATTTTCACACTATTCAAACGAGCAAAAAGTCGACTTGTTTATCCGTTAAATATTTAATATAACATAAACAAAATGGAAATACCGATACCGATTACCATTGCCGGCCGCCTCGCTTTCGTTAAATATCGCTTTTCTTAAAACTATGAACGGTGATGGTACATATAATGGACGTCGTCAATCTTGAAGTTATTGATGTAAATTTGATATTAATATATTCTACAATTAATGTTTTAACGTTTTTAGTACGGATCGTATGAATACTCGGTTAAATCTTTGAGATTTGAGATCACCGCAATAAAATTATTTATTTTTTGAGGTTAGAAAAACAATTATTTTTAAATAAACAAAACAAACCCGCGACCTTGTAACCCGGCATGTAGCCGATAATAAATGCAACTTGACTGAATACTGGATAAATGAATCAAACCCAAACTTGTTTGTCTCAAATCTAAAAAAGTAGATATAAATAAACACGTGAGTATTACGCCTTAATTGGGAACGGGGCAACGGGGACGGAGCGACAAGACTTGTTATTGTTATTGAAACTGTGATCACATCACGTTTAAAAATCACTGATATTAAAAAATCACAGTAACAGATATCAGTGTGATTAAAAAATCACGATATCGCTCATCTCTACAGGGCTATCCTATTGGCTATCCTTATACAATCTTCTTCTTTTCGCTTTTTCCACGTTAAGGTCGATTGGCGCCATCACATGAGAATTGGCCCATAGATTAAGGTTTCATAAATGCTTAAAGTAAATTAGGGATGGGCATCGTTAATCTTTTCTACATTTTGATCTTTTGGCAAAGAGTAGATAAGACAAGAGACGACAGTTCGCGCGGTACGTTTCATGTTTGAGTGGTGGGGAGAGTCATAAAATAATTAACTAGAAAGAAGTGTCAACTCTGTGTTAAATCGTGGAAACACGATACGCCACCGAAAGCCTTCGTTGTCGTCTGGAGAACTAATTTCCCAATTGACAGGTTGACATGATAAGGACATGATGGCTTAATTTTCACTTCCGTTTCCGGTTATTCAATGGCGGGCCCTCTTTCAGTTCAAATGCATTTTGTATTTTCTTTTCATAAATAAAACCAAAAAATAATTTATTCACATATATTTATTTGAAGTATGGAACAACGTGACTAAATAAACATAAAAATATAGAGGATTGTATTGTTTCAATACCAATTAGTTAATTATATGTACTTTTAACGTAAATTAGTTAAGGTATAAGCATGACTTACAGTAATTTGTAAATAAACACACGTATTCGCAGACTTCAAGGACAGAAAACGGACACAGGGACATGAAAACGGGAGCCTTATACAAAAACCTGAAAACAGAAAAACAAATTTTTTTATACTAAAATTAACAATCTAAAAATATCAATAGGTATAAAATATAAATATACTGTTTAAAAAAGCGTCCATTATTCCCAAAGAGACCTGGCTTATAAATCAAAAAGAAGCAAAAAGAGACTTTTAGTCGGATAACATAATCAGATTATCAGTCCGATTTATTGCATTATTGACAATAAATCGCACATATTGGAGATAAATGATGTTGGCTATAGTTAAAAATGATCTTACCTTGCTGTAAATTGTTTCCATTTTCAAAAAAATCGCCGATCAAAGAGATTATAACACCATTTTCTTGCATCTAAAAAATGTAAAAACAGTGTTTATTTACTACCTATTTTTCATATACATGGGACATACCTACTACGGCAGAAACGTCATTTTCTCCAGGATTCTTCATGTAATATATATTTTATATACTTTATTACCTTTATAATTATAAATTTCAGCCGAAATATTAAATTGAACTTCCAAAACGAAACTAAACGGAATGAATTAAAATGGCGTCGAATATTTTCGAATTTGTTCTAGAACAAATCTGAAGTTGTCTCTGAAACTGAAATCTGTCAATTCTAAACTGTGAAGTTAGACAATAGTTAGACAAAAACTATGCTGTCCTTGTCTAGGCGGCCATACTTGTCGTGAGGAGAATGACAGGAATGACACTAATGACTGTTTCCAATTTTCCTATTTCACTGTCACCCCCCTGGGGAGAGTGACCTCGTTTCGCTTGTCCCTTTAAATTTTCGTAAATTTTTCGCGGGAAATTTGAAATAGGCTATTATTAAAACTTGCCTGTATTGCTTATAAATAGTTACTGTATGGGTAAAGAAATAAATAGAAACGAAAAAAAAAATGAGTTTTCTAAATATTACATAAAATAAATTATAATTAGAAACATATTTGTCGGGGAATAAAGATAATAAAAGCAATATTTTGTATATCGTTGGTAAACAAGATAAAGTGACCAAGTCGATTTGTAAGAAATGTTTTATTTATGTGTATTTTTTTTACATATGGACTTGAACAAGTGTAAAATCACAATGTGGAGTTTATGTACAAAAAAATAGAATTGCTCAATTTTTTTTTGTAAAAATATATTACAAGCTTCTAACCATGTCTTCGATCTATGGATTACATTTAGTTTAATAAAACATAATTATATAGTATATTTCTATAAAAATACTTTTCAGGATCCTTTGGAAAAGAGTGAAATATTATGTTTGTCTAAGAATAAGACCTATTTTTGCAGTCTTTATAAGCATACACATTGTCACCATCTCATCTTTTCCTGCTACTTGTGTCCTGTTCAGTATTCATATTTAACAATATTTACAAATTAGTACGCAACAAAAACGATACTAAAATTAAACCTTAAAAACTCTCAAAACGATAATATATCGAAAAACTCTGAAAACACACTTTAAAAAAGGCAAAAATGCAAGAAAACAACTAACCAGATTTGTTTATGTTTAAGCCTGTTTAGCACAGCTGATTAGCGTCCTAAAATCGTAGGCAAGATCGTAGGTTAGATTAGATAAAATACGCCGTTGTCAGATTTTGAGATTTTATCTGTTTATCTTTGAAATCGATCAACTTAGTCATTCTGTTTCTTTGCTTTTATCAGTACATTGCGAAAAAAGAACCTAAACCAACCTAAACTAAAAATTTACATTTCCGTAATAACATACGTTACTTATATCCTTCTTATATTATTAATTTATTTTCAGAAAATCTTGTTTATTTTTCAAAGAAATATACTTGGCAACAGACAAAATGGGACTTGACGGGACCTTTAAATTTTAATATATCTGCGTCTCTCTCGCGAAATTCGACTTCTTTGTTCACTGTCGTCTCTTGTCTTATCTACTCTTTGCTTTTGGTGTGAAAATCAGAGGGGGGTAAAATGGGTTTTAAAATGTATTTAAAATTAAAATACAAAATAGAAAACAAGTATTTTAAATAAGCAATTTATACAAAATGAAAAATACTTTCTTTCAATTAAAGACATATTGGTACCTATATAGGTACCACATGCATTAAATACCGTATGGTCGAAAAAACGGCGTCCACATGGCTTGTAAATGACGATCATCTGCCCAATGGAGAATTGTAAACTCAGTTAACAGCGATAACCAAAAAGTAAAGAGGCGACAAAGCAATGAGCTTTTTGAATGTCCGGAGTGCGGTAGGCAAATAACATCACGTATCGGGCTTTTCAGTCACAGGAAAGCTCATGAAAGAAAACGCCTTGCGTGACCATCTTTTGATGCGTGTCGAATACTCGTCAGCGAGTAATGGCAGTATAAATGACGATCGATAACATTTCCCATATAATTTTATATATAAAATGACATCGGTTATCATTTCATAGCCATCGCTGACGCTGTTTTTTTTCGATCTCCAAGGGTATCAAAGTTTTTAATACTAAATATTTACTGAAGCTTATTTATTGATCAGTTATTGTTTTGCAATAATAAAGATTATACTACCTTATACAGAGTGTCTAAAATTTTATTTTAAATAATTACTAGCTTTAAACGGCAATAACTTGTTTAATTTAAATGGAACACCCTGTATATTTTACGCGAATCAGATGCACAATTTAATCGTCTATCAAATTGTATTATAGCTTTTTTACCTATAGCTTCAAGTTTCCGTAGAAAATGCATCGAGAAATGACAACGTTCTGGATCCGGATGCTTCTTGATAATACCCTTGTTTATATATTAAATAATACTTTTCTTTAAAATCGCCACTAGTATAACTAATACCATCAATTACTAACTTATTTCCTTTTAGCTTAGCGTTTCTGTCTTGAGCTTTTGCTTCTTTCAATTTTTCGACTAAAACCTTTTTATTCACTCTGTCTTCCGCTACTAAATCTTCGTTTATAAATATATTTGTTCCTCTGAGTTTTCCCTTATTTTTAAGGAGTTTCGTCCTTTTTAAACAAGACACTAAGCTTATAAGGATAGGTCGATCTTTGGTTATGTTTTTTCCAAGTCTGAAACACTCCGATAAATCTATCTTTAAATTTATATCGAGTTTTTCTTTTACAAGATCTATTATGGATTCCATAAGATGTTCACTATTTCTCTCTGGTATTCCATATATTATCAAATTGTTTTTCTTTAAAAGTTTTTGTGTGAGATATACTTGATGTTTTAATTCCTTATTTTCTGTTTCTAATTGTTTCTAATACTTCAATTTTAGTTTGAAGAAAAAAAATTCATAGATTTTGCAAGATACTATAATATAAAACAGATAGGAAACTCAAAACATTTTGTCCGGACCGAGCGGTGGCGCCATCTCGTGGGTCTAGTAACAAAATAAAACAAATTTAAAATGGATGGTTTCTCTTTTTTTCGTATTTTTTCATTTATTGTAAATTGATTCAAGGAAGAAACAATTTACTCGAATAAATGGATTTAAGTTAAAATAACAAAGGGGATATAACAAAAACATAAAAAAAACTATAAGAAACCATCTTCATCGAACTGAATATAATAACAAAAACAATACAAAACATTATAATAAGAAAAACTATCTAGATCTATAAAAATTAGCGAACCTATTTTACAACTTTACTAATTAACAATCTCAAAGGAAGGGTAACTATCTTGGTTTATAGTATGTAACACGTGTTGACACCGTATTTGATCCTTCGGAAACATATTATGCATTTAGACATCTTTTTACACAACATTTAAAAACCATTGTTTACAGTTAAAAAATATGAAAAAACATAAATACAGCTGTATACAAATCAAAAACAAATTTAAAACACGATCTACGGATAACTGGATCGCAATCAACGGGCAAAATAAAATATAAATTGACAGCTGTTGACAAGTTAAATTTTACATTTGACGTTAAAAACAAGCAAAAATTTAAATTTTGTAAAATTTTGTTGCTAATTGCGCCCCCTCGTGCGTCTATTAATGGACTATCGTCTACAACCTGTCACTTCCATAAGAGTTTCCTAGAGATTGCCGGTCGATAACAAAATGTAAGCACCATTTTTCTTTAATTTTCAAGGTTAAATAAGTCGGTTTTGCAATTTATTTTAAAAACGGTATATAAAATATATTATGATCTCTATTGATGTATAACATTTAACACCTTGTAGACAGGGGCGGATCGTGAATTTGTGGGGCCCTGGGCTGAAACTACTTGGTGCTTACTAAACTACTTAGGTGCCTACCTAAGTACTCAACTCAGAGAATAGGTACATTAAAGAAATGCTAACTTCATGTTAAAAAATGGAAACAGACGCCACCTGGTGTCGCCTGGCAGTACTAGCTAAATTGAGGGGAATTGGAGGGGCGGGGCTTAAAAGAGGGGAAATTTTTAAAAAAATATTTTTATAAGTATCACTGACTTACTGTTTAAAGTTAATAAACATATTTTTTATTACTTTAATATAATTTAATGTATTAAAAAATATGTCTATTAACTTTACACAGCAAATCAATGATATTATTAAAAACTTATTATTTTCAGAGAAAATTCATAGTAAATAAATTACACATTAGTAAACAATATCATTTATTTTTTAGAGCTGCGATTTATATTACAATAATATTGAAATATATATATTTTTTTAACAATGAAAAAGAATATCCGGAATCTGAAAAAGAAAGATGATCATTTAATGACTTAAATTAGTTCAAAATACATTTTGCAAATAACTAGTGAATTGGAAAGATAAACATACTATTAAAAAGACATTTTAGTAGTATGTTATCATCTATTTACTGATAATACATAAGTATATAATAGGTAAATAACATGCATAAGGCACTATGATCACTACCTGTATCATGATAACACACTAATATCACAAAAATATATGCTAATTTAAATTCCTTTAATGATCTAATGAAACACTATCTAGCCTCAATGCATGCCATTCCAAAGGCAAAAAAAACCTGTTATACCAAATAAATATAAGCTGAATAAAACATAAACCAAGCCAACGTGCATAAACAACCAAAAAATGCATCAAAAAATACTTTTATCAGATCATACCCTTGGATATATTATGTATTTTATATATCGCACATCCCGTTCAAAAGTTTACTAACTCAAAATAGAGAATACAGAGAACATTGTCAGGAGAAGTAAAAGAAAATTTAAGTTAAGGCAATATGCTCCTTTTCGCATATTAATGGCCAAATAATATAATGTTGATTTAATAAAATTTTACTGGCATCCTTCTGAGGTATAAATCAGATTAAAAGGACATTGTTTTTGTAATTTGTTTGTTTTGTAAACATTTTTTGAAGACAATACAGTTTTGAACGGGCTGTGCGATATAAACAAGGATCTTGCTATTATTTGAGGTTAGAAAGTATTTAAATAATATAAAACATAATCAAAATCATTTTTCATCATAAATTATAGAGGTAGTTACGTGTTTTGATATTATTATCAGGAAATAATACGTTTAGTTAAACAGGTACGCTGCCAGGCAAGTTCTATCGGCGGGTCTTTGCAAAAGTTGAAATCTAAAAATACAAAAATACGTTTACATCTTAGTTGTATTTACGAATAAAGTATTTGTGTGTAATTTCTGACTTACCAGTTAGCTGAATAATCGCATTAAATACATCCTGTTTATGTTTTGGGGTTTATATTTATGTACTAAATGAAGGTCTTACTAATTTTAATAAACGTATATTAAAGTGAAAGTAAATTAACAAAACATATCAACTTCTATTCGATAATAGACAAGGACAACAACATGTCTGAATGACATCTGTCTAACAGGTCGTGGCTACAGGCACGTAAGACGGAACATTATAAAGTCCATATTCAAACACCTTCCCCTCAAAGGTCGAGCTTCCTAGGGGGTTTAATATTACGACCCGAACGCGACTTAATAACTTTGTTCCTTAAATCTACATTAACATTTTCATTTTGTTCAACTGACACATTTGGGTTTAAAGACATAATTGGGTTTGATGACATATTTGGAATTGACAATAGTTCAGGAAACAACTCAGGTTCTGTAAGGACTTTTTTCTCTGGTTCTGTAAATGACAATTTAATCTGAGAAGTATTACGCCTAACAATCCGGTTGTTATCCTCCTTTCGTACCCAGTAAGATCTTGGTTCATTAGCTTTCTCCAGAATTGTAGCTTTATACCAGATTTTATCTATGTTGCTTCTGATTACTACTTTATCTCCCTTTTTATACTCAAAAGGATATCTGCGAACCATTTTGTCATATTGGATTTTAACTTTATCTTTTTGTTTACAAAGCTGTTTATAAATATTATTTTGAATTCTCGGTTGCAATTTTGCATCACTTAAAGGTAGTTGTGATTTTAAGATTCTGCTCTGCAGTATTTGAGCTGGAGACGCGTTTAAGTTAATAATAGGTGAATTGTTATATTCCATAACAGATTCTCTAAAGTCGGAATTTTCATCTAAACTTTTCTTTATCATTTGTTTGCATATATTAACTGCTTTCTCGGCTAGACCATTACTTTGATGATAATGTGGAGAACATGTTTTTATTGTAATGTCTTTTGCTCGATAATACTTTTTTAAACGACTTGAAATAAAAGGTAAATTATCAGCAATGATATACGTTGGATAACCAAATCTTATAAATATTTCTTGAAATGCATTTATAACTGACTCTGCTGTTTTATCTTTTAGCAAAATACACTCTATCCAATGAGAGAAATGATCAATTACAACTAAGTATGATTTACAACCAAATTCTAAAATATCAGCTCCTATTTTGTTAAAACGAAGTTTAGGAACAGTATGTGGTAAAAGTGGTTCTCTATAATTTGCAGGTCTATATTTTTCACAAACACGACATTTTTTTATATAGTTAATTATATCATCAGACAGATTTGGCCAATAAAATAATAATCTCGCTTTATGAATTGTTTTACTAGTTCCAATGTGTCCCTTATGTAACAGTTCACACATCTTTACACGCAGACTAGTAGGAACGATTACTTTATCGTTTAAGAAAATGATACCACTCTCTATATAGATAGAATTTTTTGATTGTACGTATGGTAAACAATCAGGTGGAATGGAACTTGTTTTTGGCCATCCATTGTAATAATAATCATATAATTTCATTAAAGTTTTATCTTTACACGTTTCTATTCTAAATTCGTCTCGTTTCTCGTTACTCATAGGAATATGCTTTGAAACTGAATGGACCATTTCGAACATTTCATTATCAATCTTACCTGTTGACTTTAAACTAGATCGCGAAAGCATATCAGCAAAATGAATGCTTTTACCTGGTACATAATATACATTGATGTTATATTTTAGTAACTTTAATCTAATACGTTGTAATCTAACTGAACCAATTTTACAAATAGGTTTTTTCATAATTGACACTATAGGTTTATGATCTGATTGAACATCAAAATTTCTTCCATATATAAAATCGTGAAATTTTTGTGTGGCAAAATAAATGCTAAAAGCTCTTTCTCTGTTTGACTATAATTAACCGTGTTCATTCATCATACGTGATGCACAACTAACTAATTTAACTATATTATTTTCATATTGTTGAAACATACAACATCCTAAACCGTTTTTAGATGCGTCACATTGTAAAATTATTTTCCTTTTATAATCAAACGGAGTTAAGCCTGGTGAATTACAAATGATTTTCTTTAATGTATCGAAAGCTTTTTGGTGTGCTGGTAACCATTGCCATTCTATATTATTTTTTAAAAGTTCACATAAAAGATGCATATATTCTGCCATGTTTTTTATATATCGTCTTACATAATTAAAAGAACCAATAATCCTTTGTAATTCATTTTTGTTTTTAGGAATTTCTAGTTTACATAAAGATTCAATTCTATCAGGGTCTATTTGCATTCCTGACTCAGAAAACATTTGCCCCATAAACTTTACCTGACTCTGACAGTATTGCAATTTTTCTTTATTAAATTTTGCACCTACCTCCTTGGCTTTTTTCACAACCTCTGATACGGCCTGATCATGCTCTTCTCTTGTTGCTCCTGCTACGATCATATCATCGTGACAAATTTGCACATTTTTGATGTTACCAAACTCTCTTTCAACTACATCTTGAAATAAATCTTGTGAATTTGACAAGCCATAAGGTAGAACTGTAAACCTATATATTCCAAATGGTGTTGCAAAACAACATTTCCATGAAGCTTCTTCTGTCAACTCTAAATGGTGGTAACCTTCAGCTAAATCAAAAACAGTGAAAATCTTTTTTCCATTTAAATTTGCACAAATCTCTTCTATGTTGCATGCTATTTTAGGTTTTCTGACAATTTGTCTATTTAAATCAGAAGGGTCTAAACAAAGTCTCAACTTACCATTTGTTTTTTCTACAATGACCATTCTGTTAATACTTGCATTTGAATTTATTTCATCTACCTTTACAATTGCATTCCTTTTATTAATCTATGTATTTCATTTTTTAGTTCATTTCTTAATGTAATTGGTACTTTAGTAGGGGGTAACTGACCGGTTCAAAATTTTCTACTGTTGTTATGTTATATTTACCAGGAAACTTACCATAACCACTAAAAATTTCAAAATTCTTATTTATAAATTTTTCCCTATCATTTAAACCATTCTCAGTAACTGAAATATTATTTACTCTTTTCACCAATTGTAATTTTACGCAAGCTAAACCGCTTAATAGAACCTGATTTGCTCCCTCAACTATGACAAAGTCTTCATACATTTCTACACTTTTATACTTACAATATAAATTTACAATACCAATGGGTTTAACCTGAGAACCTTCAAATCCTTTTAAAATACAATGTGTGTCCCTAACCTTAAATTTTTTATTTATACAATTAAATAATGTTGATGGTATTACACTAACGTCTGCCCCTGTATCCAACCTAACTTTACATCTTTTGTTTTCTACATGTATGAACTCTTCCCATATATTTGTTGGGCTTCTATAACTATTAGATGTAGAATTAGATTTATTCGAGGGTATATCCTTACTTATGTTACCTACAAATAAATTTTCCTCACTAGTATCACATTTTTCTTCAACATTTTTTACATTTTTTATGCGACACGATATAGCAAAGTGGTTTAATAATCCGCACTTCCTACACTTTTTTCCATAAGCAGGGCATTCCCTGGGACCGTGCATATTTTGACACCTTTTACATTTGAATTTGTCCTTTGCATCTTGCTGTTCACTTTTTTGTCTTTTCTTTTCGCCTGGCTTCTTATATTTTTTAATAAAATTTACCTCTTCTTCGCCTTCTTGGAATTTAATACTTTGATTTCTGCTCTGTTCACTTGTTCTACAGAAATTTATAGTTTTATCGAGTGTTAACTCATCTAATCTAAGCAACGCTTCTCTAGTTGTTGGATCCCTAATTCCCATTACAATTTTGTCTCTCAAAGCCTTGTCTTCACTTGTCTGATTTGGATCTAGAGTATTGTAATTACAGCTCTTGACCAGATGACGACACTCAGTTAAGAAATGTTCAAACGTTTCACCCTCTTTTTGCACTCGTTTAAGGAAATTATATCTTTCAAAACATTCATTTATCCTTGGGTTTACATATTTAGTTATAAGTTCCAACATGTATTCATATTTATCCTGCTGATCCTCGGGAATCACAAAGGTCGACATTATTCTGGCGGACTCGGTGCCAATAATGTTTCTCAGAATCGATAATTTTACCAGTCCTGCAGCTTTATCCTGCCCTATCGCAACTAGATAGTCCTCAAAAGCTGTCTTCCAAAACTTCCATTCTCCCGCAGCATTTTGCCCTTGCAGATCAAAATCTGGCGGTAATTTTACCATGCCCATGGTAGCCATCTTTTACACTCAAGATCGACTTTTTTATACTTAAAAGACTTGATACTTTTGTAAATACTTTTAATTGCCTTCAATTACGTACTTACGACTTACGGCTTACGACTGCGCCATGTTTTACGTTTTGGGGTTTATATTTATGTACTAAATGAAGGTCTTACTAATTTTAATAAACGTATATTAAAGTGAAAGTAAATTAACAAAACATATCAACTTCTATTCGATAATAGACAAGGACAACAACATGTCTGAATGACATCTGTCTAACAGGTCGTGGCTACAGGCACGTAAGACGGAACATTATAAAGTCCATATTCAAACACATCCAAATGGTAATTTAATATTGTAAAAAAACAAAATTGTTTTAAATCACTTGCCAGGACACCCCGGCCAGCTTCTTTGTTGGCAAAATGGCCGCGGTATCATGATTTATGCAATGTGAGTGACAAAGAAAGCCAATGCCTGGCAGATGTTGCTTTCTTTGTCGTTGTTCCTGGCACGTTTAAATTTGACTGTTGCCCGTTTTCCCATACAAGTGACACCCCCGTGACTCAACTAATAGCCATGTCAAAAAACATTGTAGTGATCCGCCATATTGGCAGCGTTGTCATAAGATTTCCCCCTACAATTACTCAGTAGTAATCCCTTGTTAGTAGTATGTATATATCAGTAGTAATCCCTTGTTTCTATAAAGTCTTGTAGAATATTAAATAAATGTAAGACAGTATGACTACTAATTTTAATGAAGGCTACACATCTTCATTTTTCCCCGAAAACAGTATCGTAATACAATAGCAAGTTGGTCATTGTGAGACAGATCTGGTGTAGAATCCATCACAGTTGAATAATATTTTGTGTCTTTGTGTGTTTTTGATAAGTAGGTACGATACTCGGTACGATATTATCGGTTTTGGTCGCAGCTCCCGTTGTTCAATGTGTTCACGAATGAATGGATCATATAAAATTACCATTATATGGAGAACCAAATACTTCCTCGGAACCTCTAAATTCTAAGCCTCTTATACTCAAAAATTTTACCACTACAATTACCCGTTTTAGGATATTGTGATAATATTCTGTTTCTTTTCTTAATTACTCCTGAAGCTGCTTGTCTAAAACAGACTTATTTTCTTTTCGTGTCAACCACACTAACATTGATTTCTTATGTTCATTAGAATTTTGGTGGGTTTCTAAACAAGTTTCTATGTGTTTCCAATCAGAAATTCCGGTCGTGTATTGAGAAGAGGTTTTAAAAAAAAGTTTGCAAGGCAAACAAAAAACAGCACCAACACTGGTTGAATATATTAGCCAAGATATTTCCAGTGATTGACCATTTTTAATTTTTTTAGTGAAATGTATATTTGAAAATGCTCTGTTTTGTTCCTTGTATTTCTTTGTAGAAGCTGAATATGTATTTTTTGGTTTTTTATTTTGAAAGTAAGTCATTTCATGTGAGAGGATGTCATTAATAAAATCATTATTTAGCAATTCTGGCCACAAGCCCACGTCAACATATTTCTCAAACTCAAAATTAGTATTGTCTAAATTTCTTTCCGTCTCGGTGTTACCATCCTGTCGCTGAACACCAATATCGTTTGCCGTTTGATCAGAGGATTGGTGGTAGTCAAGACTTTGCACATTTTCATCATTTGTCTTTTTCTTGGTGTTGCGATTTGCTACTCCCTTCAAATAGATTCTCTTCAGATAAGATCCTCTCTTGTCGCTTGTTGATGAATTTTCAGCGATTTCGTCGTTCGTTTTTATGTTTTGATTGGAAAAAAGTCCCAATTTTTGCACATTTTTTTCTTTCTTTTTTTCGATCTAGCTGTAATTTGCGTTTCTCAGCTCCACTTTTATACTTTCGACCAGACATTATTGTAAATTAAAACTTTAATTTTTTTCTGAAAATAAACAATGAACTTGATAGTTTTCCGATAAATAAACAGTGAACGAGATAATCGTTGCATTTGAATACGTGAATACTTTGTAATGAGTGCAGTAATTAAAAATTATGGTATTTTTTTTAATTTTAGATTTTTTTAAATTCATATTATCGCCTATTGTTTTTAGCGGGGTCTGGGGGCCCCTTGTAACCTCGGGGCCCTGGGCTGCAGCCCAAACAGCCCTTAGGTAGATCCGGCCCTGCTTGTAGAGCTCCAACTATTTTATAAAAAATGTTATCCAAATAAAACCCAATTTAAGTCCGATTTCAATTATCATAATGAAATAGGTACTTAAATTTTTCCTATCCTACTCACATACTTCTATCACGCGTATGGTTAGAAAATTGCCATTTAAAACCTCTAAAATTTACCTGTAGGTAATACAATTATTTAAATATTAAATAAATATTTCGTTAGATAATTATTACAATTCAAATAAAACTTATCTACGTAATAAGGTAGTGGAATGAGTGCCGCCTGGGAATCATTGTCAAGTGGAATTTATTTTGTTGTCGAACGTGGGCAACGCAACACTTCAGTGCATTAATATACATCGATAAATCAGGTTCGTTTGCTATTTTTTTAGTGAGTATATAATATTGTGTAAGAGGTGCACTGTAAATATTAATTAGAATATTAAATTAAATATTTAAATATTAAATTATATATTTTTAATATTTGTATTTAAATTTATTGTTTAAATTAAATTGCATATTTTATTTAATATTGATACAGACCATTTAGCTTTTCATTGGTTTGTTTTGTCAACGTTTTATTTAATATTAATTATGGATATATTCTGCAACAATAAAATGAACATAGAGAGAAATATCAATTAAAACTGTTTGATTTGAAATATATGTATATATTTTTCCAGTGATAGATAAAATATTATACTTCTGATTTCATAATATTACACATTTTATTTTTGTTATCGATCAAGATTAATTCTGCAAATTTGTATATTTCAGTACCTATTCCACCCACTCCATTATTATAGGAGTAAGGCTATTGTTATAAATTAAACTTGCAGGAATATATACAGGGTGGCCCGCCATTAGTAAGAAGAAGTTCAATATCGTCGTTGTTGTCGAAGATATGAAAAAAAAAAGATTTATAAAAAGGTTGCATGGTTTATAAAGGTACGCGCACAATGACCATAGCTGCACGCGTCGCGTCGACCGAAGAAAAATATTGTTTGCGTTACTTTCAATCTTTGAATAAGAAGACTAAGGAAGGAGCATAATGCTATCCATGTATTCATGCATGGTGGGCGGAAAAAGCACTCTAGGGTGGGGATCCTTGACAGTTCTGTTTGACGATTCATTTGACATATTTGAATTTGATTTGAAATGTTGTGGATTTGTCAGTCTTTACGGAGCTTCTTTTATGTTATTTATTATTTATTCTACTACTGATAGTTGTATAAAGGTAGTAAATCTAGATGGAAATTGTGACAGAACTTAAATTAAAAGTGACACTATCGCGATTTATCGAAAAAGACTCTAAAATAGTTGGTTGTGTAGCGTGCGGTAGATCTCGGCAAAAATTGAGTGAAATAATGGAACAACTTTTCGCTAGTAAGTGACTATATAATATACATACGTGTAGTAAACCGATTATTTATGAAATTCACTTAAATTAACTAAATTATATATTTTTCTTGCATTTTAGCTTTTATTTATTACTTGTAGGGTTCCCAACTTGAGCATCGGCGATTCCGGGACAATTATTTTTAAACTTTTAAATAATTGAAACAAGACATTAAATATTAGAAAATAAAATAAATTATGTGTGTAGTACACATTTTTTTAGTTTCCAGGTCCCGGCCAAGGCAAAACTTTCGCCGGGACAAACTTTCTGATTCCTGGTTAATCCCGGCCAAACCGGGACGGTTGGGAACCCTAATTACTTACCTATTTTTGCTTTTATTTACTACTTGTCAAAGATTAGATGTCAAAGAATTTAGATACGTTAATTTGACTTACCTGCTTCAGTAACGTATCGGATGTTTGTGTTAATAAATACTTATTATAACTTACCTATTTTTATTAGAATTATATATTTTTATAACAATTTGAATAACTACCAACATTTATTCACAACGTAAAATAAAACAACAAATTATTGAGTCTACCCTACATCATAGTTTTACATTTTTTAAATAAAATTAGAACGACACTGATAAACCGGAATTTACGTCGGCCATATTTTAGGCCTATCGCGGTGTACCTAAGATTTTTGATATGCTCCTTCCTTAGTCTTCTTATTCAAAGCTTTCAATGAAGGTGCGCACACTAGCCAGAGCCGCACGAATCGCATCGACGAAAATGCGGCCAGCATTGTTGGGCCAGAATGATTTTCGGTAAATGCGGCTAGTGCTGCTGACGTCACACGCAATTCCTTCCACTCAAAGCTTCCACTCTACGTAGCGTAGATAGCCGAAGAGGAGATTAGAAATTCAATATGCTAAGAAAGTTCGCAAATTTTTCATGGCTCATATTGAAATATTGAAAAATTTTTAGTTCATCCTCAATTAAATATGGAAATAATGTGGATTTTTGCCAATATTGTGAACCTATAACTTTCGATTCTTTCTCGTGATTTCTTCTTCTTCTATTAGCAGGGAGCTCATAATTATTCCTTGTTCGTTGTCATTTATTGTCGAGAAATATTAAAAAATACGCTTATCACTGCAGACAGGACTCCGGAAGCGACTGATGAGAAATTCGATTGGCAAATACGGGTGTAGTAAGAGCAAAACGAAACAAAATAGCGAATAATGCGGCGCGTTCGGTGCGGCTCAGTGTGCGCGACAAGAAAAAAAAGTGCGATTCGTGCGGCGCGTGCGGCGAATGCGGCTCTGGTCAATGTGTGCGTACCTTTTAATCGGACATTTTTAAAAAAATTAATTTTATTTTTCAGAAACTATTAGAGACAGAGTTTACCAAAAATGCTTTTTATAACTACTAGTGGGTAAATGAATTTCTAGATATATTACGAATTTTTTGGGAACTTTAGTTTCGGAGATATAAATTTAATCGGACCTTTTAAAAAAATTAATTTTATTTTTCAGAAACTATTAGAGACAGAGTTTACCAAAAATGCTTTTTATAACTACTAGTGGGTAAATGAATTTCTAGATATATTACGACTTTTTTTTGGAACTTTAGTTTCGGAGATATAAATTTAATCGGACCTTTTTAAAACAATTAATTTTTTTTTTCAGAAACTATTAGAGACAGAGTTTACCAAAAATGCTTTTTATAACTACTAGTGGGTAAATGAATTTCTACATATATTACGATTTTTTTTTGGAACTTTAGTTTCGGAGATATAAATTTAATCGGACCTTTTTAAAACAATTAATTTTATTTTTCAGAAACTATTAGAGACAGAGTTTACCAAAAATGCTTTTTATAACTACTAGTGGGCAAATGAATTTCTAGATGTATTACGAATTTTTTTGGAACTTTAGTTTCTGAGATATAAATTTAATCGGACCTTTTAAAAAAAATATATTTTATTTTTCGGAAACTATTAGAGACAGAGTTTACCAAAAATGTTTTTTATAACTACTAGTGGGTAAATGAATTTCTAGATATATTACGAATTTTTTTGGAACTTTAGTTTCGGAGATAAAAATTTAATCGGACCTTTTTAAAAAAATTAATTTTATTTTTCAGAAACTATTAGAGACAGAGTTTACCAAAAATGCTTTTTATAATTACTAGTGGGTAAATGAATTTCTAGATATATTACGAATTTTTTTGGAACTTTAGTTTCGGAGATATAAATTTAATCGGACCTTTTAAAAAAATTAATTTTATTTTTCAGAAACTATTAGAGACAGAGTTTACCAAAAATGCTTTTTATAACTACTAGTGGGTAAATGAATTTCTAGATATATTACGAATTTTTTTGGAACTTTAGTTTCGGAGATATAAATTTAATCGGACCTTTTTAAAACAATTAATTTTATTTTTCAGAAACTATTAGAGACAGAGTTTACCAAAAATGCTTTTTATAACTACTAGTGGGTAAATGCATTTCTAGATATATTAAGAATTTTTTTGGAACATTAGTTTCGGAGATATAAATTTAATCGGACATTTTTAAAAAAATTAATTTTATTTTTCAGAAACTATTAGAGACAGAGTTTACCAAAAATGCTTTTGATAACTACTAGTGGGTAAATGAATTTGTAGATATGTATATTACGAATTTTTTCGGAACTTTACTTTCGGAGATATACATTTAAGGTAAGCGCGCATTTGTTCGCACCGGACGCAACGGAGCATCGGACGAATCGCAATATATTTGTTATCATCGCATATTATATTCGGATTTTCTTCCCGCATTTTCATTTTAGTGCAATCCTCGAAGCGGGCTAATACGAAACTTCTGTTTTTCACATTTGCTTCTCAAATTTTAAAATGAGTAGTATTTCTGATGAAGAATTATTATTTGCAATTGCATGCGCATTTTAAGAGGAAGAGCAAAGGAACAAGAAAAAAAACGAATTTAGGTCCATAATGTAAATATGGACCGTATTTTTAAAAAGATGTTAAAGTGATTTTTCTGCTGTTTAAATATACCTATATGTTAAAGATTTATTCTATTATATTGCGTCTACGTACCTGGTTGTTTCATTATCTGCCCAATTTCCTCCCATATATTTTGGCGTCCTTGCTGATTACTGTACTCTTTGTTTTTCAAATAAATATAAAGTTCATTTTATTGTTGCACTAAAGAAATTAATAGTCCGTCAACCATTTTCACTCTTTTAGGCACCTGCTCAAAATAACGTTAAAAACAAATCAAATTCTGCAAGTCGATTCCTGTTTACATCGCGCATTTCATCGAATTTACGAATGACGTCATCCGCACGCATCGTATATACAGATTTAATTCTTTTCTAATAATTCTGAACGGATTCCCGTGTCTTCCGACGATGCGTCCGATACGTATGTATGTGCGTTGTCTCATTTAAAATAAGGCAAATAATAATTTTCGTCCGTTCCGTGTGTCCGTGCTGGAACAGTCCACGTGTTTATAAAAAATATTTATATTTTAGTACAAATTTTGTGAAAGCGAATCAAATTATTACGCGTAAAAAACAATTTGATACACTAAAAAGTATTTATTGCACTCAAAATGTATTTTTTACCTGTAAAAAAAGTATTTGTTACAGGAAAAAAATTATAATTTCTTATTTTACGCGTATAAAAATATTTTTTGCACGTAAAACATTATTTGTTACACGCAAAAAACTATTTTTTACGTGTAAAAAAACTATTGGTTACACGTAAAAAATTATTTATTACACGTAAAGAACTACATATTTTTACGTGTAAAAAAATATTTATTTAATTTATTACTTTTTCAACTAACTACACTTTTTCAAACATGTCCTTCAAATCCTTCAATTTAATAGCTGTTAGTAAGTTACACTTCAAATATGCGCACATTGTGCACACAATTTTCTTTAATGCAGTCACTATGCACAGTGGCCATGCTGTTTTTATTTTAGGGGTGGTATGTTTTGACCTCAGAAACACGTCTATGAAGTTTTTTTGGCAAAAAAATGAAAATTTGGTGTATTTCGAAAAAAAAATTGAATTTTTAATTAATAGGTAGGTAGTAATACATAAGAAGTCAGTGGTTCTTAAAATTCAAGCAATCCTTTTTTTTTAAATTTTCAAATTAAAATAACTCGGTTATTTTTGACTTTAACGGTTAGAAAATATGTTTCTTCTTTTATGAAATTCTACTGGTTCTGTAAATATTTACACTTATTTAAGAGTCACCCTGTATGTACAAAATGTTATGCCGAAGCCATAACACAGTATTAACTAATTAAACACATTCTACACAGTACAACTTTATCGTTACTTATCTTGGGACACACTGTATACACCAAATTTTATCCATGCACCTTTATAAACTAGTTATATAAAACTCCTTTTCATATTTTCGCCAACAACTACAAAATTGCACTTCCTCTCGAGACTAATGGGCCACCCTGTATGTGGGTCTATGTAACGGTTTTTTATATTGTTCTTCAGTGTGAAGTCAAGGTTAACGTTTGTTGTATGTGGTGAAAAAGCATCATATTTATTTATTTTTAAATTTTAACTCATTCGCATTTATCTCTGCAGATACGACATAAAGCTTGGTCAATTGCTACTGCAGGTTGTTTAACGGGAACATTACAAAATAGAATTGCAATTTTGAAATGAACCAATCAATTGAAGCGTTGGATACATTTTGTGGCACACCGTTCTGGGTATGTAAAAAGGAAACTGTTTTTATTAAATGTATGAAACAGGGTATTGGATAATGATATGCTCAAACCAGAGAATCTTACACTTTGCATATCATTAAGATAGACTGCAGGGTATTAAGAATACCCTGCAGAGTTGTAGTGGGAGTAAAATTTAATATTGTCTTTTTTTAGAATGCATCTTTAACATGGAATACTACTAATCCCGATTTTACGATATGTTTTGAAAAAACAGCCTTAGTATTTATACCTGTTGGATTTTTTTGGACGTTTTTGCCTCTGGAGATTATATTTCTAAAAAGAAGTCAGTACAGAGATATAGGACGGAACTGGAGATATTTATTAAAACGACTCATACTCTTCGTCCTAGTTTTAATCTGTATATGTGACTTTTTTTCAAATGCGCCTGCAAATATTCCTCTGCAAAAAGTTAATATTTTCATGCCCATTGTGAAGCTAATAACATTTGTAAGTATTGTTTTATTGGTAGAGTTTGTTTTTGAATGACGTAGATATTTACATGTCATGGAATATAATAAAGGAATCCTGTTTAAATTTACACTCTACACATTAATTTTAAGGTATTATTTAAACAATTTAAAATATTATTTATACCGGGTGCGTCTCAAAAGTGGCTTACCCCTATAACTTTTTTATTTTTTTAGATAAAAAAATGAGATTTGGTATGTTAGTATATGACATAAATTAGGATTGATTGACGTATTCAATTATTTTCGATCACTTCCTGTTCCACCGGAATTGACTACAACTTTTGATTTTTAAATGGCACCCTCGGTATATTTTTACTTTATTCGATAGAAAATGAGACTCTGTATAGAATGATATATAATAAACTTTTGATATTTTCACTTAAAAAGATCGCATTTCAAATTTACATCCAAAGTGCCATGGCTGTGTTAAAAACACTAATTTTTAATCAAGGAGCTTTGGAAAAATAGATTTGATCGGCTAATGTTTTTCGTGTCTTGTCCTGGCCGTTTCAAAGATGCTCAAATGGTATTTTTAATGATACCTCAATTTTTTCAAATAGAACGAGGGTGACTCATTAGCATATTTGGAAAAAGCATTTTTTACGAGTAATTTGGTACCGAATTGGTTATGAACCGCATGTTACAATTTCAAATAAACCATATGCGAAAATTGAATATGATATGTCATTCAATTTAGAGTTTCATTTTCTACCGAATAAAGCAAATATACCAAGAGTGCCATTTAAAAATTAAAATATGTAGTCATAAATCAAGGACTGTATATATTCTAAAGGACTTTTCGATCGAGTCAAATCGCCGCTGTCGTAGTCGCCGTGGAATGCTACGTCACGCGCTGACCAGCGCTCCACAGTGCGGCGGATGGTTATTCTAGCGGGACAAAATCTCAAGAGCAATGTTTGGGACTTAAAATCTAAGAACGTAGCAAATGGTCTAATATATAGCAACTATATGGTTAAATTAATTTATTTATTAACAACTTAATTTAGTAATAAATAAATACAAGATAATAAAACTATGATATTATTCGTACATGACACACAAAAACCGTATTGTAAACTATTGCCAAATACATAAAATTATGATATCAAAAAACTCTTTAGCAGTTTTTTTTAATTAATTTGTAATCTTGTGACACCCTCTATAATTTATTTAAAAAATATATATTTTATTTTGAAAATAATAAATAAGATAGATATTTTAATTTTAATTTTAACACTCGGTAATTGTAAATTCATATATAGTAAGTATCTAAGACAATTTTTTAAACTCAGCGCCTTTTGATGGAGTTGTTTTGTTTTTATACTATCCGATTGAAATGAATCTTTTTGGGCATTCCCCTGTTAAGCTTGAACTCCCTGTGACTGTGACTACCTTTGTTGGTAACTATTGGTAACTCAAAAGATCTACATCATTCAATATATCGATATTTGAAAAAAAATGAAAGTATGATATCTGCAGAACAAAGGCACGAAGGATTTTAACAAATAATATACGTACAGTAGAAAAGTACATACCTTTGGCATTCTTCAACATAATTTGGCTTTCTAATAAAATGTGTAAGCACTTGTAAATATTTTGTTTTCGTATGATCTCTGCCTTGCTGAGCAGAAAACGACCAAATTTGGTTGATAAAAATGTATCGAAATACAAAGAATATTCATGCATTTTTGTATCAATTGGAATGTCTACTATTTATTCTTATCAGTACACATTTTTTGGCTTATTTCTAACCAAACGCTTTTGTTCCGCTAAAAAAAACGCACGGTGCGCTCGTCCGTCAAATGCAAAAATAACTGTCACTGTCTAAAATCTTTAGCGCCAACTTGAACTCGGTCAGTCGATGACGTAAAAAAAATGACAGTGCAGGAAGATAGGAATCGAACTATCCTTATCTCTATAGTATCCTTGGTCATAAATTAGATTATAAATTAGTGTTTTTAACACAGCCGTGGCACTCTAGATTGTAATTGAAAACATGATTATTTTTTAAGTGAAAATGTCAAAAGCTTACATATGATATTTCATTCTATTCAGAGTGTGATTTTCTATCGAATAAAGTAGAAATATACCGAGGATGCCATTTAAAAATCAAAAGTTGTAGTAATGACCAAAAAACAATTGTGTCAATCATGTGTCTAACTAACATACCAAGTCTCGGTTTTCTATCTGAATAAATAAAACAGTTATAGAGGTAAGCCACTTTTGAGACGTACCCGGTATATTTCCAGTTTTAACAATTAATTCCGATGAAATTTGAGAATATCTAATAAAGTGGTTTCTATTTTGCTAGATGAGCTTAGAAAAAATACATAAATATTGGTATATACAGGATTAATGACTTGTTATTATTTAAGTGAACGATTCTTAGTCCGATTCTAAGAACATAATCAAAATTAAGCACTAATTCACCATAATACACTAAAACACTATACTTTCGCACTGGAAGCGCGTTTCGCTAACCATGTTAGCATCATCAGCAAATGATTAAAACTCTAGTCCAGTGCAAAAGCAAAGGGTTTGGGTATATTTTGGGAAATTATTGTTTTATTTTGCTGTTGTAACACCATGTATATAATTTTCTGGATTATTGTAATTCATACATTGTGTCTGTTTGATTACCGATACAGAAATATGTTGAAAATTCATCTTTTTATCTGCATTTTATCCGTATTAATATTGAGAGTAATATAATCAAGTATTATTAAATGTATGCATATCGTCTATTCATAGTAACTCATTTTAATTAAAATACAAATTTCTCATTCAAAATCTAGAATATGCAAAACAATATTAATGAAATATATACGGGATATTTTTAAATTGAAATAATACTATTTATTTAACAATACACTTCAAATCTTCAATAAAATGTACAAACATATTTACTTGTTTTTTGAAATTTCTATGATTAATATTAAACAATTGCGGAAAATGTTTTTGGTTTACATTTCTTTTATTTGCAAACTTAGGCATTATCTACGTGCGTTATCTCTGCTATCTGAGTATGCGGATTCTTCTTTACAGGGTGTCCCAATATTCCATGGACATAGACCTACTACGTATATTTCAACCAAAATAAGGTAATTGGGACACAGTTTATCTCTATACAAAAGTGTTTCCTTTGTATATTAGAGGGCAACAAATTTCAAAAAAGTAAACACAAGTTCTAACATAATATGAAGGGTCCAGGGGAAACATGACAAGCGCCATTTCTCTAATTTTACTGGGCGGCTGGTAGTTATCAGGTTCTTGCCGTGTACTCAATATTTTTGAAGTGAACCTTTTTTACGCGCGACGGGAGTAAAAATTCAAAGCCGCGACACACGACAGGTGTCAGGAAAACTGGTAATGATCGGAGGTTAAGACGGAGCATCCTAACTCGAATTGAACTTTTTTTTATTACCAGAAAGGATGCCGTTTGTTGGTTTATGAACCATACTGTATATAAGTAGAATTTTATATGGTTCGTTTGTTTTGAAGGATTGTTATAGTAATTAATTATTAGATAGGGGTAGGACGGTTCAATATTTTTTCAAGCTGCTATTATGGTCTAAAACCGAAAAATATTTTTAATTCTGAAAATTATTTGCTGATGAAATTATGTTAAATATTTCGTCGATTTGTATGGAGACGTCGAATGTATTTTGTTTTGTACAAACAGCAAATGGTTTTTTGTAGAATAGACGGGTAAAAACCGTTTTTTATATTGATGGGTCGTAGAACGATTTTAACCGAACGTAGTTCGTCGATACCGAGGGGAAATATTATTTAAAAGACGGGGAGAGTGAAATCGGGAGCGCTTCCTGCCGATCAACTTAAGGTGCGTTCAGACTTGACGAGACGAGAGCGAGTCGAGCGCGAGACATTCCAAATTTGCTAAATGTGGACGGGTCTCGCGCGACAATCCACGGAGTCTCGTTGCTATCCGTCCTCTGTCGGTTTTGCTACGACCGATCAAAGAAAACAGTGTTTTTGGTTGGCTCGCTCGACTGCGAGATATTAGCTCTGGTTTATGAATTTCGACTATTTAAAAGTAAATAATCTCAATTTTTTTAAACGATACACCGTATGTATTATCATTTTTTCTGATAGAATTTACAAATTTTGTATCAATGACAATTTTTACCGTACGGAAATCTATTATTTAAATAAACCTCTTTATGGAATATATTCGACTTTAACTGGCTTTCGCCCCACTTTCTGGATTCTACATTGTAGAAAAGCTACCCTTACTGGCAATAGTGGTTTCTCAAACACTTTATAATATTGAGGGTGGCGCCCGAGAAGCCAAAGACTGCCTACTCGGCGTTAGTAATAGCTAGTGTTGGGAAAAACCGATTAAGTGCAATAATCGAGTACTCGAGTTTCAAGCGATTGCAGTATCCGAGCAATCGCTCGAGCGATATATCGCTCGTATTTAAAAATACGGGTTTTCGTCCGTCGCTTGTTGTAAGTACTCGTTAACGCCAAGCGCCAAGCAGTAGGTAAGTTGGGTGCGCAGGGCACATATTCCATCGGTGATGAATGGCAAGTAGCAAGCGATTCGCTTGATCGGTTAATTTAAGTTTATTTCAAACCATTGTCGATATAGGTCGTAAAACTTTGTCCCTCAGATACGCAACGGATAATGTCGTATAAATTTGCTACCTTCAATGTATGTAGAAAATTCGCTCGGCTTTTTATCGAGTATGTCAGATTAAAATCGGATTTCATTTATTTCATTCTAGGATCGCTTGCGTTCGTCGCTCATAACTCGTCACTGGCATCGCTCGTTCATAATCGAGCGATGTGGGATATTTCAATAATCGAGTACTCGAGCGAAATTTCACTAAAAAACACTAAATGACCACAATACACCAAAACACTTTTACTTTTACACTGGACATCGTTATGTATGAAACAATTTTTTTTTCAATTTAATAACAACTTTTTTGAACAGCGGGAAGGTACAGCAATGGGTAATCCATTGTCTCCATTTTTGGCTAATTTATTCATGAGCATGTTTGAAGTGGAGGCTAAGAATCAGTTTGAGTATTTTCCAAGAGTATGGTTTAGGTATGTGGATGATATTTTTGCTGTTTTTGACACACATTCAGACACCATAGATAATTTTATTTCTAAGTTAAATAATCGTTTTCCTTCCATTAAATTTACGCATGAAATTGAGAACAACGACAGATTACCATTTCTAGATGTATTAGTTATTAGAAATACTAATAATTGCCTGGAATTTGATATCTATAGGAAAAATACGACCACACGCAGATATATTCCTAATGAATCACATCATAGTGTTGAACATAAAATGGCTAGTTTAAATTTCTTAGTTCATAGATTACTTAGTTTCCCACTTTCCAACGAAAGATATGAAATAGAAAGAGATTACATTAGGAATCTAGCTGAGTGTAATGGATATTCTCGTTCACTAGTTGATAAATTAATTAGAAAACGTAGGTATAGGTTAATGATTTCTGAAAGTTCGACTTTTCAAGTGGGGAAAGATACGTCTAAATATTTTTCGATACCGTTTGATAGCGAGTTATCCCGTGGTCTAAAAGGAATTTTTAAGAATGTCAATTATAAACTTGTGTATAGTGCTAATAATAAATTACAACAATTATTAGGTAATCCAAAAGATAAAACACCTCCACTGGAAAGGTCGGGTATTTATGAAATTTCTTGTAAAGATTGTAATCAGAAATATGTTGGGCAAACTAGAAGATCAATATTAACTAGATTTAAAGAATATTTAGCTCAGATAAGATATGGTAGACTGGATAAATCTTGCGTTGCCGAACATATTGTTGATAAAGAACATTGTATAGATCTTAATAATTTAAAATTAATTAAACAAGTCTCAAATTACAGGCAATTAGATGCATATGAAAGCATCAGAATTAATTAATGTAAAGATAGTATGAACAGAGTCAACGGTCCAATTCCTTCTAGTTCTTTGTTCCTACTACTCTAGTGGCGGAAATCTAACTGTTACGCTCAGTGGGCTCTGACTCGGTTGGCTAGATTTTGCCACGCCCACTCGGTGCCCACTGAGCGAGTATATAAACGCTCAACTTGTAGATTGTACTTTAGTTTATAATCATCTGCTGATGATGCTAACATGGTTAGCGAAACACGCGTCCAGTGTAAAAGTAAAAGTGTTTTGGTGTATTGTGGTGAGTTAGTGTTTTTTATTTTGCGATCACTTGTTACATCAAGCATAAAAATCTAGTGGGCGCCTATAATCTAGGTGGCGGGAATGTAGATTATTATATCAGTGTTACAAATGATATTTGACATAAAGCTTTTTCAGTTTTAAAATTAATTAACATTCGGGTTTATTTCTGATTAAGGTAGTGTTCAAATACGCGGAATACTTCTATGTCCACGGAATATTGTGACACCCAGTATATCCGTATTTTTCTTATACAGGGTTATAATTCGTAAGTACTAATCAGAAATATAGTTAGTAAATTAGTTTAGCAGAATATCATTAATATTTATCGAAATTTATACAGGAGTAGGTATTTCCAAAGTAGTCTAAAAAATTTCAGGGTGTGTTCAATTCCTCATATGTTTTTAAGAAAAAAATGTCAGACACTACTTTAGATATTTCTCTCAATTTTGGTATGTGTTCCAGGTGTAACGGCAGTTTTTTCATTAACTGTGTGTTGTAAAATAAATGATACGCCTCTGCTTTTTTCGAGAAAACATTTTTTTGATTGTCCATCAATTTTTATCAAATCCAAAAGAGGAAAAAGACTCAAAGCCATTTTTAACAAGATTGATCTTTTGAATTTTTGTTGTACATCGAACCGGTTTCGAGAAAAAAAATAGATGTTAATAAAGCCTACCCTGATATTCATGTATGTGATTATGCCCGTTTCCTAGATTTTGAGATATGTAATGTAGTGTTGATATTCGATATACAAGAAAAACTCAAGGTCTCAATTCTGTAAAAAAACTATTTACAATCAAGGAAAAAATTCAAAAGTACTTTAGAAAAAAAACAGTGACGTACGATTTAATTTAAGCAAATATTTAAGAGGTTTTTGCGTATAGACCAATTTTATACCGGGACACCGCATACGAAAATTGAAGAAAGTATTTACAGTACATTGCTAGAAATTCGATTATTTTTTTACATTTTTAACACCATGTAAACCAGAAAGGAAATACTTTAGACTCCTCATTCATACAATTATTTTTTTCTTAAAAAAAAAGGAGGAATCACAGCCTGATTTTTTTTGACTACTTAGGAAACCATTATAGTTTATCTATTGCAGATGCTATTGGTTTGGTTTGGTTTGTATCTTTATTTTTTGTTTTTATCTGTATCTTCTTTTTTGTTTTTATCTGTATCTTTATTTTTTGTTTTTATTTATTTAATATCTAATTATAACACGAACAAAATTGATATTTTAGGCTACTTGTGGTGTTTTGGCACACAAAAATACTAGAAATGGCTACCGAGGATCAGGACATCAATTTTTATTTTGGCTACTTTGCACCATATGCGGCATTCCTCAGTTTAGATCTGAGCTGCAAAGAGTATCTGGCGAATTTATATCCGAAAATGTATTTTCTGATATCACTTATTTATTATACTTTCCACTGGTTTGCTGCATGTTAATACTGAATAGTATCAGTGAAGGTGTACCTCGAATAATGCTGAAGAAACAAGTATGTTAATTATTATAAATTATGCATGGTATATGCATATAAATTATGCATATACCTAAGCCTTCTTAGCTCCATCTACGGTAACGTCGATGAAGCAAGCAGGTTTGTCCAATAGGCCGCTGGTTTTAATTTTGGCGGTACGATCTGTGATTGTCAAAGCTACTGCTAGATGGCGTAGAGCGTCTAGCACTCTCGCCATAGTAGTGCGTTTTGTACTCTAATGCTATTCTCTGCTTTTCGTTGGCAGAGTTGCCACAAGCTACACAATTGTGTATTTTGCCACACATTTGCTACCATGATTGCACAGCTACACCACAATCGCCTGTGCTACACATTTTGAGAATTTACATATTTCTTATAAAAAATAATACCAAAACCGTAAATCAGCTGACATAAGCTGTTTTTTTTTGCTTTTAAGTTATCTAAGTTACATTAAAAGAGGCCGCAAGTAAACTTTAAATTTTGAACCGACAAATATCATTTTCCGTCATCTTCAGGTGTTCAGTAAAATGTCAGAGTATGAACTGGATCGTGAATTAAGGACCTTAATTGGTCGAGTCAAAAACGGTAAATAGACAGGATCAAAGAGACAGGATTGTTTAATTCCTTAAATAATACGTAACACCTCTGATAACACGTACTTTGGTTAGGTTTGCTCAATTACGTCATCGTTACGTCACACTTCCACGCCACTCGTAGGCATACGTGAATAATATTCAATTCCTATTTCACTTCCTCCCATATCAGCAAGAACTGCAGTTTATATGGACAAATTTGGCCGATTAAACAGTCCTGAATTGTTTACAATTTTTAAAGAGACTAACCGGTCTAATTTGACCATAAAATCGTTAGTTTCGTTTTCGTCTTTTCGTGACATCAATTTTGACGTAGTTGCGGGGGGGGGGATGAATATATTGACATGATATTGACGTATACAAACGAGTGGAAGTGAGACTCGTAATCATGCTTTAAAATTTGGCGAACGTACGTCTTTTTCTTGGTCTCATTGGATAGTTTACAATTATTGGTCATGGATGGCTACACAATGCTACACATTTTTATGGTCAAGTTCTACACAATCAAAAATTTTCTTGTGGCAACCCTGTTCGTTGGTCAGATCGAGGGTTACAGCAACGTCGGCCTGACGATGGAGAAAAGTCTCCGAAACCGGTCGTCGAATGGCTGTTCCCTTCGGTGTGATGAACTTAATGCAGAAAATAAGCATATATGTAGGGTTTTTAACCCCTTTTTCCGGTACTCGTATTTTTGTTTATTTATTATAAATTATTTTAAAATAAAAAGTTAAATTTTAAACTTAAATTTTAAGTAATAGACATCTAATGCAGTTTAACGTGAAAAATTCTGTATACCTAGTCACAGCCTATTCATTAGACAGTCAGTCGACTTTGCTAGTTCTTGGGTATCTGCTCTATATCTAATGTGTCTGTTATATAGGGTGTCTGTCCCAGAAATAAGTGCAAGTATTTTAACTGGTAGTATAGTTCAATCCCAGAAACACGCCTATGAGGTTTTTTTCACTAAAAAAAAAATTTGAAAATTCGGAATTTATTGAAAAAAATTTTGGAAATGTTTTTAATTTTCAGTTAAAAAACTGAATCTCTTGACAATATGGCAACATAAGTAGTAGATTAAATTTACAAGAAAGAAAATCCAGAAAAGATCCAGCGGTTCTCAAAATTTTAGCAAAAATTCTTTTTTTTGGAAATTTTCAAAGTAAAATAACTCCCTTACTTTGGACTTATTTGAAAAACGGTAAAGAGAAAATATGTTTCTTTTATCGATATCTACCACCTCTTAAAATACTGGAACACCCTGTATATGTTACGGTTAAAGTCCATGTCCAGTTAATGTTTGGGTTTGGTTATGTTTTTGGTTGTTTTGTTTTGTACATAAGTTTATGACACGAACGGTTGTCGTCGCGGCGCACTCAGTGATAAGGTGTTCTGGTGTTTCCCCTCAGAATCTGCATTCGCCGTTGTTTCTCAGCTGCAGCCTACTGAGATGTTCGTTGAGGAGACAGTGTTCTGTTAGAAAGCCCGTGACAATCCAAAGATTGTTTTTACTTAAATCAAAGAAATTCTTTGATTTTTCTCGGTCGTAAGTTCTGAGGAACTTTTTCGAGTGTCTCAGACCGTTGGAGGACTCTCATTCGAGGTTACGGATAGAGTCTTCCAGGATCTTCAGTTCCGCTTTTAGTTGGTTTCCGCTTTGAAAACAGAACGGTTCTGGTCCAGTTAGTGGAGTGTTTGCTCCTTTTCTAGCTAGGTCATTTGCTTTTTCATTGCATTCTATGCCTCGGTGAACTGCACTATTAAAAACTAAAATACTTAAATATTATGACAAAGCCACGGTTTTTATTTTATTTCAATGCGATCATGATCGGAACTGCGTGAAAAACAGAGCGAAAACTTCTAATTTCTGCCTATAGGTAGGTATGCATTGTTGAATGTATAAATGATCGTAAGTCGACTGGCTGTCTAACGAATCTGCTGTTGTTTAATGGTGTTTAAACAAGTGAAACTATGAAGGACCTTAATTTAAATTTTTATGAAGGATATACTGTGAATGTTTTTGAAAATAACTACTTTTTGTAGAAAGAAAGTCCCATTAAAGAGTATGGCTTTTTAGGAAAACTCTTATATATCGCCTATGGTAGCATACTTTATAAAGGCTTTCGTAAACCTTTAGAGTTCGAAGATACATGGTATTTGGATTATGAAAATAGAGCTGAGAATATCGTTCCACTATTTGAAAATGAATTTAAAAGACGGCAAGAATATAACACAAAGTAAGTTTTATTTTTTATGCTCTATCTAAAGACAAACTCTCTGAAAATTAGTTAAAAGATAGATCTCTAGCCAAAAAGAAACCTGGAATACGTATCAACGTATATATAGTTGACGTATTATATATAATACGTCAACTTTTAATTTATATTTTTTTTATTTTATTTAGTAAAAAAATGATTTACATGTATATTATTATATATCTTGTTTGATGGTAACAGTGACCAATACCAATTTTCTTATTTAAAATAAAACACTTTGTTTAGCTTTCAATTTTTAGTTTCTTCACAAGATTCTAGACATATTTCATATATAATATGGTTTATTATACAGGGTCGCTTATATGTATGGAAACGGTCGATTATTAGGTAAAATATAGGAGGTACCGCAAAAAGTTAAATATAAAACTTATAGAGTTAATAAATATCTATTAGCGGGTAATAAATTTAAGTATACAGGGTCGGTCATAAAGTCGTGGCATATCAAAGTTCTATTTTTTTTAAATGGAACCCCCTGTATATTATTGCATATTTCGGTTCTTCCTTCAATTCTAAGCAAAAATCAAAATACACACATGTACCTCATACCAACCGTTTCGGAGTTATTGACTTTTGAAAATATCACTTAAACAATTTGATTTAATTAATTTCGATATGTTGAGTTTCATTTAACGATGCCATTTTGCCCAAACTGTGATACTTAATAATATAATATTTGACATTAGTTCTCAAGTTAGCATTTATACATGTATAAAATGAGAGTATAACAAGTCTATAGAAATTACAAAATTTTCGTTTAACATTTCAATTCTTCAATTTATGTACATTGTAGATTACGATTATTGTTTAAAATTGAAGGAAGAATTGAAATATGCAATAAAATACAGGGGGTTTCATTTAAAAAAATAAAGTTTGATGTGACACAACTCGTATGGACCGACCCTGTATACTTAAATTTACTAGTAGCAAAGACATTATAAAGATAGACCGAACATCTCATTCATAAATACTCGTTGGTAGTGTATCAAACATTCCAATGTGTCAAACAAGGACAGAAGAGACAGAGAAGTCTAAAATTTCCGACCCCGGCAACTAGGCGCATTTGGATTGTTCTACTGGCCAGTGGCGTATCGTTTTTTGGAACGAATTTAATTAGTAAAGTAAAAGTAAAGTAATTAGTAAAATTTTTACTCCATATTAATATACTACATTAACACTTTTTCGTCAGATGAGTTTTGTTATAAGGTCTAATATAATAATACAATTAATATCCCACATATACTTACGCTGAAACGTTAGTAGTTTTCGAAAATCGCTCCAACGTCGATTTTCAATTTAAACTTTCAGTTACTTCTATATAAACTTTCAGTTACTTTTGAATATTTACAGGGTGACTCAGGCTTCCGAAACAGTTCTATATTAGGTTTGTGGTTGGTGACTTTTCTTTCAATTTTTTTTTCCAGAATATTGAGGCATTTAGGCACATTTTAGACATTTTTGTAAACATAGGTGGCCGGAACATATTTTCAAACCAAAGTTGTAGATTTGCCATTAAATTTCCATTCCAGAAATACCTAGGGTTGCCACTTGTCCTTTTTTGAAAAGGACAGTCCTTTTTTAGAATAACTTGTTCTTTTGACTTAAAAAGTCATTTTTATTTACGTATTTTCCCTGAGAAAATTACCTACAGCAAACAGAAATATTCTTTTCGCCCAAATTTTATTAGGAATGTTATAAAGCTTAACTTATAAATAAATTTTTCTTGTTTAGAATAGACAACATTATTTAGAACTTCCCGTTTAATCTCAAATGATAGTTTAGGTTTTAGTTTTACCTTTTTTTATCTTAAAAAGAACCTTTCAAAATTAGTAGGTACCTAATTAGTAACGATTTCGTTAGTTCGCAATCGATAGCTTCCTGTGAAGTACTGTGTAATAGTTGTTTAATCTTGTATTATTTATAACTTCCTATACCTAAAATCAATATTTAATGAGAAAATTGTGTTTTTTTTTGAAAATATAAGACAAGATTTGACTTTCGGTCTTCTTCTTGTATTATGATGGCTCTGATACGAGGCAATTGCCTTTTAGTCTCGCAATAGAAGGCATTTATCATTAAAAGTATAAAATCTGTGTGCTACAGTCGGATTTCTGTCGCATAACAATGAATACCTATTACGTTTATTTACAAATCCATTACTTTTAAAGGTAGCTTCATCAGATAATCAAATTTTAGTTAAATGTCCTAATCTTCATGAACTGTATTAAGCATATGTATTGCGGTTTCAATCACCCTGTATGTTGACAAGAATATTTTGAAAATGTGCGTTACAATGGCCCCCATCTTATGTAAAAAATTGAAATAAAAATCACAAACCAAAAACGTAATAGAAAAAAAGCCTTTTGGAGGCCTGGGTCGCTCTCTATATAGGTATGTATAAAACTAGTAGCCTAAGAATTATTTACAGTTCGTCCCATTCTAAAAAAGTTAAACACACCGTACAAATAACTCTAGGAAGATGTATTTGTACGGTGGTAAAAAATTGTCTAAACAAGGCCGAAGGGGCAGATATAATAAAGCAATAAAATGTAAAAAAGTCGGGTAAACACCTTTGTTTATTTGTTGAGCAAAATTCCTTTAGAATATCGTATATAATGACCAAAATAGGACGCAATTTTAAGAAAAAAATGTCACTTTCTGGCTTATAATAAAGTTTCAAATGTAACGTTTATATTCAAATTTCTTATGATCTACAACAGTTAGGTTTAAGTAATTGAGACGAATTATAATTCAATTACCGGCTACTACGTTCTTGTTTTAATAGATCAAAATTCAACAAATATAATTGGAAATTATTTTAATTGTGAGAGGCTCCTTGTGGGACGCCTATGTACGATACGGCGCGGCAGGAACAATATCTACCTGTGAAAAGACAAATTCGGGTAATTTGAGCTTATTTCTCCACACATTTGACACTGTCGTACCATATTGAAAATTCGCAGATTCAAAAGTACATTAAACAAAAACGAAAACTACTGAAAAACACTGAAAAGTTAACTTCGGACTTGATTCCGACTTCAAACACACCGTAAGCTAAACGTAGTACGCTATAACGGACCATGGGCCGTCGCGAGGGGTGGTGGGACGGACGGCTCATTTCATTCTGGAAGACTAGCAGCGACGTTGCCAATAGTTCTAGACGTTTCAGCACATTAAACAGTAAACATGTCCTTTAATAGTAACGCATATATCCTCTGGTTAATAACATATTATTACGCATGCTTCTTTAAAAATAAACTATTAATTTAATTAAGAAATTGAGATTTATTGATATTCGGTGAAGGTTTTAAATTCACCTTTTCTGCAAATCAAACTAAGTAGATAGGCGCAAATTTGATATGTGGCAATGTCGCCTTCTTTATCTCAGTTGGTTTTTACAGTACGTAGTCAACCTCCGAATGTTTGATCGGGTTAAAATGCATAATGTGATATCTGTTCTTCCTAAATCTATGACTAGTAGCCTTGTTTATATATTCTTAAAGTTGCCCAACCGACTAGACAAAATGTGCTGCCAACTGGAGGACAAATCGTGAACCTTTCGGGGCGGAGTCAAAAATATCGATTATTTTCGTTATTTTCCTCAGAGTAATGTAATAATATAGCCCAGGGTTTCTGCGAACTTTAATAGTGATCAGCTGATTAAGAAATTTAAACGAAACTTTAATTTTATTGTAAATTGTGGATTATTTTTGCCTGTTATTTTAAGAATTCTAAACCGTATACAACCGTACAACATATCGAAATAATGATTTCTTTCATAATTTCGATATGTTGGTACATTATTTATAATTTATGATAATGCTAATTGCTGTTAATTAATATTTAAAAAAAGTTACATATCTATTTTAATTTGATTTAATGCAGGTTTATAAAAGAATCATTTCATTCTTAGATTATTTTATTCTAAATTGAGTGCTTTACAAATTTTATGATATTTTTTTTGAAAACATGAAACTTTTTACATTTTTGATGCCAACTAATTGGCATGGTATTATTGGTATGGAAATTAGCCAAGAAAGAAAAGAATTGGCTATAACTTGTAATTTTTCGAAAAAAACATATTATACCTATATCGCTGAAAAGCTTAAAAAATGGCGCTTTTTATGAAGTCATGGCCAACTATGGTTTCCATTTAAGAAAAACATAATGTTTGTGTCATATGTCAATATTGACAGGCTTTAGAAAAAAAAACCAGAAAACACAAACTCATTAGGTATGTGATTATCTACAACTTTTATCTGAAAACTTTTTGTCTAAAATACCGTATGATCGAATAAAAACGGCTTCAGCGATGGCTATGGCAGTTTTTATTCTATCATACGGTAGATTATAATGGAATTACAGACAAAGTTTTAAAATAGCCTTGAATTTCTCCGAAAAATCCGAAAGGCGCATATTTATAACCCCACAAAACTGCAATTTTTTCCCCATTTAACCGACTCTCTATCTCTAGTAGTTTCCGAGATACCCATAGAGAACATCGTAGGAAACTCACCCTGTATAGTATTTAGGAACTAACTATTATTATTATTTGACTAGATTAATTTGATTAATAAAACTCGATTAATTTAATTTAAAATAAATTTGATCAGATTTTTTTTTTCGTATATTCTACTACCTCTACTACCAGAAAACCAAAATTATATGATAACGCACTTTTCAACGAAGTTGAAGGAAGATATAGTGTATCTATCACAATACTTAATAGAATTACTACAATTAGAAGAAAAACAAAAAGAAAAAATACCCAAATACCTTCACCTACTACTCATCTACAAAATGAACTAATATAATCTCTTATAAAAACACTACACAACTACTTCTTCACTACTTCAACCACTTCTACACTGAAAAATTTATCAAACACTAATTAATCAAACAAAAAGAAAAAATAACCAAATTATCCCTTCACCTACTACTTAACTGCAAAATAATAAACTATAAAAACATTACTAAACTATTTCTGGTATTCTATACTAAACATTATAATTAAACTTAATAAAATTAATCTAATTTTACACTACAATCACTACAACTACAAAGAAATAAGAACATTTTTTAAAACTAGAAGAAACAGAACCTCGATACGTGCAACCAGTATAATAGATCCAAGCGGAAAAAGAATATAAAATACTTTAAAAATGAATCATATCTAACAGACAAAAAACATATCTAATAGACAAAAAGTATTTGGTCGATTAGTAACCAATTGGCACAGTCCGAAAATTATCGATTTTTATTTTCTCTGTTTTTATTGGTCGCTTCAAAATTCAGAGTAACAAAAAATATTTTTCTGTAGTAAAAGACTGTGAAATAAAATATTACAAATACAAGAACTGTTTTGAAATCGAAGCTACATTACTTTGAGTGATTTAATTAATTATAATAATATTAATTGCAACATAAAATTTATTTATTTTTTTTAGAAAAAATTCAGAATTCTCCAAAAAAAGACATGCAAAAAATGCCAATATAGTGTCAGCCCTTTCAGTGTTATTTGCCTGTTTCTATCCTGCTTTTCTTATCGGGATTCTCTGTAGACTAGTTGGAGAATTCATTTTGTTTATTAACCCTCAAATATTAAGGTAAATATCCCCTTTTAGATATAAATTAGCATTAATTATTAATTATCTATAATTGCCTAGGTTGCTGATATCGTTTATTGGATCTGACGAGCCCATGTGGAAAGGATACCTTTATGCCATTTCTATGTTCATATTCGGATCCACTCATACCTTGATCAACAACACTCACATGTATAATCTGTGGCTTTTCAGTATACGTTCACAGACAGCTATCAGGTCCGCTATATACAGAAAAGCTCTAAGAATTTCAAACGCTACAAAAAAAGACAAAACTGTGGGAGAAATTGTTAATATAATGGCCGTAGATGCAAACAGGTTTCAAGATTTTTCCTTACACGTTCCTGCATTATTGTAAACCATAAACAATTAAAAATTATTTGTTGTTAATGTCACATTATTTTAGGTCCGCTCCTCTTCAATTAGCACTATCACTGTACTTTTTATGGCAAGAAGTGGGTCCATCGATCCTAGCAGGTTTTGCCGTGATGATCCTATTGATTCCACTAAACGTTTTTATTGTAAGGCAATCAAAGAAGTTGCAGGTTAAACAGATGAAGGATAAAGACGAAAGAGTGAAGATGATGAACGAAGTCCTGAACGGAATCAAAGTACTAAAACTCTACGCGTGGGAACCAAGTTTCGAAAGGATTGTTGAAAAAATTCGAGTTAAAGAGATCAAAACAATATTGCTAATGAATTACTTAAATGCAGTTGCCCAGTTTGTCTGGAATATGGCTCCATTTTTAGTAAGAAATTTGATAAAGAAACACTTAGGCTCAGCGCTCACGGTGCAACTATTTTGAGACAAAGTTGCAAACTAGTTTACACTACTAGTTGCTAACTGAGAGAAAACTACTGCCCGCACACGGATGCAACTCGTTGTGAATCAGTTTCAATCAGTTGGTGTTCTCCATTACTCTCCAAAAATATTAGTATCTGTACTCTTTAAAAATTTGTTACATCTTTAAAAATAATTTAAAATGTCAATATTCCATGGGTATATTGATAAATGAGGTCTAAATTATAAGTAAACGCATTTTCTAGGAAAACTTGAATAGATAGGTAAAAAATGGTATAATACAATTTGATAGACAATTAAATTGTGCATCTGATACTTAAAAAATATACAGGGTGTTCTATTTAAATTAAAGAATTTATTGCCGTTTAAAGCTAGTAATTATTTAATATAAATTTTTAGACAATCTGTATAAGGTAGTATAATTTTTATTATTGCAACACAAAATTTAGTAAATAGAAATAATTCAGTACAATATTTTTTTGGTTTTAAAAACTTAAATACTTCTAGAGAAATGAAGCATTAAAATTTATACTGTATTTTGACAAAAACCTAAATATTTCAAAAACGGTAAGATTAAAATGAGGTAAACCTTAATCAAATTTACATTTATTTTAATCGTAGAAACAAAAAATATAATAATATACAGGGTATCCCATTTAAAAAAATACAACTTTGATATTTTTTATTTATTTGGGACACTCTGTATCTTGTAAAAATGTTTTTAAATTGTAGCTGATTGCAAACTAGTCCCGTTTGAATCGATTCCTGTGCGGCTTCGCATTACTATACGCTCCCGAGGTTGCACATTTGGCCATAAAACAGTCGCATCGTGGGCGCTGAGCCTAACAGTTAAAATATTACGTCAAATTTTAGGTTTCGTTTGTCACATTCGCAACCTATGTACTAATTGACGAAAATAATGTATTAGATGCACCAAAAGTTTTCGTCTCTTTGTCATTGTTGAATATATTAAGAGCACCGTTGAATCAAATTCCCACTGTGATGAGTACCTTGGTGCAAGTGAGTAGACATTTATAATAATTTCGCTTGGCGTGTTTTATATTTTGGTACCTATATAGTATGATTGTGGTATGATGGACTAAATCAATGACCTCTAAATAAAGTAGACTCGGCATTTCATTCATAAAAAGAAAAAGATCAGAATCAGACATTCGTTTCTTGTTCTATGCGAGTGGGAACAAGACGGGCTGATCGCAGTCATGAAGGATTCCCGAGAGAATGGCAACGCTGTTCAGAGATCTTGAGAATGTGTGCCAGTGGCGTAGTTACTTTGATTGTAATATATAATTTAATATTATATTCTCGTAAATATGATTTTTGGATACGATATATTGTTGTGCTAGATGGCTCTTCAAATTTTGAAAATGACTACTTCTATACTCCAATCACTTCTATACGAAAATAACTAATTGAAATTATGATATGCACATTTTCATAGTAATATCTGTAAATTGCTCCAGTAGTAATATAATCCATCAAGCGTTCAATGAATACGAGCCGAAGACGACTTTTATAAAACATTTATGTGAATTAATGGTATTATTTTGATTGAAGCAACTGTCGTGACGAATTGCAATTTAATATTAGGTATAAAAATATTACTATTTATAACAACAATAATAAAGATCTTTGTTAAACAAAAGAAAATTTCTAAAATATTTACTTATTTCTGGATCAGTTTCTTCGCGGATAATCGGGACCTTGTACTGAATAAATAATTAACTATTCAATAAAACATATCAAACAACGACGCATTCATCTTTTAAACTATATAATTTTTTTTAGTCTTAATAAACAAAACAAAAAATACATTCCTCTATTACAAAAATTAGGTATACTATCAAAAAAACGGGTCAAAAATGACAATCGGTGATAATTTTGGCAAGGTGATATGTCATGACCCCTACTCTTGTTTATTTTTTAATGACACTTACTGGCAGTAGTACGCCTTAAGGTTGTATTTGATTTTTAAATGGTGTAATATAAATTCGAAATTTTTTTTTTTGGATATCGATTTGTGTTTCTGGAAACGTTCTATCCTTTTATAATTTTTGTAAGTTAATCAGTATTAGTTTTTGACAAGTTTTATGTCAATTTTTAATAAATGTCATCTAGAAATAGACCTCGCCAAAATTATATTCGATTGTTATTCCCAGCAGTCTTTGACTCCGTTTTTTTTTTGATCATATGGTATATCTCTATTGAACATTTTTCGTAATTGTAAAATCTTTAATTTTTTTATATATTTTTTCAACAAATTAATATTCGCATTTGTATACTTGGTTTTGATAATATTTAAATATTATGATCAAGATATTCAATAAAACCAAACGTGACGAAACTAACTTAATTCATTACTTATAACGGTACATTCCAAAACTGTGTGATTTACTAATATTTCCAAAGATTTTTCCTATTTTACCTTTCGGCACCGCACTGATGTAACATAGCCTTACTCACCTTCGAAATCAAACTTCTAGGTTTAAATCGTCTCTATTTTTGCAAATTAAGCTCGCACCATTGTCTTATTGTTTCTGAATAAAATCACTAAAAATAATACCACAAAACACTAAAATATCTGAAAATCACCTCATAAAACATTTCGAAAAACCACATCACATAGGCAACGCCGTAAAACAATTTATGAACGAATTCGAACTGGATGTTTTGTTGGCCGCCTGAATTTAGGAGTGAAGATAGTAAAATGCGTACGTTTTCAGTATCAGCTGGCGTTGCGACGTTGTCGATTGTTTTATGTTAAATTTCTTAAAATCTAAAAATTATAATTACAGAAGATTTAAATAACGGCTAATGCTGATTGGGAGTAGTTCGTGATACTAGGCTACCTTTAATTATTATCGGTTTAAAGTATTCTACGACGTAATCTATACTTGGAATTCCTGGTTTACAATGTGGGTTGGCTATCCCCGGTCGAAGTGGAAATTTGGCATACATGTAATTTTCTAAGGCAATGATGGATTTCGCCAAAATGTAAGTCGCCGGGTCTAATTTATTTCGATGTCATTGGACTAAATATTTTCGCTAAGAAATCCGAGCAAGTGCGAGCACTAGCAAGAAATTTCTTTGGATGGCTTATAGAATTGCACCGCTGTTGTAATCTGTAATTTATTCCTGCTGAGTATTAAGGTTGTCGCTCATTTGTCGGAAACGTTTCGAACCGGAGCGAAACGACATTTTCTGTCGGTTGCCTCTCGCGCGCTCTCTTCTCGGAAAGAGTCAGTTCGTTTCGGATCTGCTTGGTTGACATTTGTGGCAAATCTCTTTTGAAAAGTCTAGGGGTGACACTAGACACTGATTCTAGTATAATTGAAGGGATGGCTGCAATAACCAAGCAGCTCCATTTTAATAAATTTGTGGGAAATGGAAAAAGAGCTGCTCGGTTCTAGCAACAAACCCAGAGCAAGGCAGCTGCAACAAACGTCGCCATTTATGTACTGTTATATTGACAGATTGTTGCAGGAAACGATAGGCCATTTTTTTTAAGAGTAATTCATTAAAAATCTCATTTTCGATAAAAAGTGGAGCTGCCTGGTTATGGCAGCCACTCCTTTAATTATTTTTACAAACTCTAATACTAACAAAGATAGAAGAACTAACAAAATCAATCTCTTATCCTCCATATTGCTTGCAACGGCCAGCACTATTTTATTTCTACGCTCAAATGTACGCTTTGCTTGGTGGACGTTGCCACGACCCACGACGGCCACGACGCGTCGCGTCGGCCACATAATGGGTAGTGTGAATCACAGATAACAGTGGTGTGAATAACTAGCGTCAGAGTCACACTAGTCTACTCGGGTACCCAACAATGCTGCCAAGTTGGAGTAAAAATGAAATTCAAATATTTTTGTTTATGAGAATATAAGATACTTTATAACGAGGTTTAATAAAAAAAACTTTGATGTTTTTTTTATTTTTTTTTTAATAATTAAGACATTATTTTTGTTTTATTTAGTATTCTTATTACTATTAAAAACATTCTAACAAAATAAACCAAATAGCAACAAACTTTGAAATAAACTGTAAAAATAAACGTCTTTAGCTTTCATTGAAAATCAGGAAATTAAGGGTCAACAAACGGCAACGTTGTCGGGTGCCAGAGTTGACTAGTTGGACGTAGACGTATGTTCATTGTAGGCAATTTAAGAACCCTGGTGGCTGGCGCGACGCACGGGTCGACGTGACGGTGGCGGTACGTTTAGCGATAATCGCGTTTTAGCAGTTCCTTTGTAATTTTAGAATTATTTCCTTCGATGAAGGCCTTGTTGTGCCTCTGTTTGTTTCTCCAGTAGACTTTGAGACTTACTTTTTGATTAATGATGTGGTTGAAAATAAAATAGTCTCTGATAAAGGTTTTCATTACTGTTTCGGGGTTTACTTAGTTACAAAGAACAGTAAACTAATACCACAGATAACATATAATCCAGATGGCCATTGCTTACGGAACAGCATGTTTTCGATGAGACAGTTCCCTATTAATGACACAGAGGGCGCCTATAGCCAAATCTAATAATATTTTTAAAACGAACGAATTTGGAGCCACACCACGGCCACGCGATGTGAAGCGACGTAGCCGGTTGTTCACATTTATAAGCAAATTCCCGGTCAAACCCAGGGAAAATGTATATTCGGACTTTAATACTAGACAATTGGATATGAAAATACTAGTCGCAGTGGATGTTTGAAAGTCAGAATTTCTAGATGCATATATATTCTATTTATAGCCATGAAATTTATAATTTAGATTTTATTTTTATTATTTGTCTCTTAATATTCATTAGCTGAAAATAAGGGTAAAGGTTATCTATATAGTAATAAATAAAATTTGGCACATAGGTTCCTTAAGTGATGTAAATGAGCACTAAGAAGGGATTTTTTGAAAATTCGACCGCTAAGGGGGTGAAATTAGGGATGAAAAGCTGCATAAAAATTTGTTAAAATCTGGTTTAAGAGTATGAAATTTTTCACGAGTGCTCCTTGACTGACGTAATTGAACACTAAGGGGCAATTTTTGGAAATTCGCTCGTTAAGGGGGTGATATGGGGGGTACTTTTGTATACAAAAAAAGCATGTCCTAGGACTACGAAATTTTGCACAGAGTTGCCTTAAGTAGCGTAACTTAACAGTTCGATTATACAAAGCGATTTTAGGAAATTCTTCTACTAAGGAGTGAAACTGGGGATGAAATTTTGCATACTTTTTTAAAATTAGTCCGAGGAGTTTGAAATTTGGAAATTGTTAATTAAGTGACGAAAGTGAGTACTCAGAAGCAAATTTTGGACATTCATCCCCTAAGAAATAAGGGATGAAAATTGGTATAAAAATTTGTTAGAATCGGTTTTAGAAGTATGAAATTCTGCGTAGACGTTCCTTATGTAACTTAATTTAACTCTAAGAGGCAATTTTAGGAAATTTTGCCTTTAGGGGGGTGAAATGAAGGGTGAACGTTCTGAAAAAAAATCTGTCCTAGAAGTATGAAAATTTGCACAGAGGTTCATCAAGTGATGAAAGTTATACTCAGAAGCGAATTTTGGGCATTCATCCCTTAAGAAATAAGGGATGAAAATATGTACAAAAATTTGTTAAAATCGGTTTTAGAAGTATAAAATTGTTCGCAGACGTTCCTTATATAAGGTAATTTAGCACTAAGAAGCAATTTTTCGAAATTTTCCCTCTAAGGGGGTGAAATGAGGGGTGAACTTTCTGAAAAAAATCTGTCCTAGAAGTATGAAAATTTGCACAGAGGTTCCTCAAGTGATGAAAGTGAGTACTCAGAAGCGAATTTTAGGCATTCGCCCCATAAGAATTAAGGGATGAAAATTTGTACAAAAATTCATTAAAATCGATTTTGGAAGTATGAAATTTTGCGCAGACGTTCCTTATGTAACGTAATTTAGCACTCAGGAACAAATTTTGGAAATTCGCCCTCTAACGGGGTGAAATGAGGTGTGGACGTTCTGAAAAAAAAATTGCTTGTTATTGCTAAATTACGTTACATAAAGAACAAACAGAATTTCATACTTCTAAACGTTTGTACAAATTTTCATCCCTTATTTCACTCTCTTAGGAGATGAATGTCCAAAATCCACCTGTACAAAATTCCACACTCGTAGGACTGTTAGTTTTAACTAACAATTTATTAAAGTGCAACTATATAAAAATTATACAGGGTGGCGCCTCTGATTCGACTCGGAGGCTCCAAGGAGAACGACCAGTTCGTATTGAAATGAAATTTTGTGAGCATATGTAAGTTAATTCTGCGCACGTTTTAAAAATATAGAGAGTTCTACAGGGTGTCCCCAAAAAAAGTTACACATCAAATTTGTGTTTTTTTGTAACGGAATACCCCCTTTATTAATTAATTTTTAGATTCTAAGAGAAAAATAAAGGTGTATTTTATTAGGGAAGTATATGACTGAAATGTAAGGTTTTAGACTTACTTAAGATTTTGAAGAACAATTTTTAAATTTCAAGAAAAACTACCTAAATTGGAATTTACTCTATTGCACTTTAAATCAAATTAAACCCTGACCCATAAAGTTATACAGGGTGGGGCAAAATTAATGCTGAACATTGGTATAACCTGTATAACTCCTTTATTACCCACCCTGTATAACTCCTTTAGTTTAATTGAATCACCCAGAATATTATTCCGATATTCAATGGGAAATTCATGTCACTTCCAAATACTATTAAAGTTGCCGGCCTACCCCTCAAACAAAGATTTTCCTAGATATTTTCATTTCTATGATTTAGTGTGAATAGATCTTTATTATTTGATAAAATCTAGGGTGGCTGTGATATGTCTGACGTTACTTCAACATAGCTGTCAAATTAGTTAACTTTAGCAACTAGTTATCATTTTGTGTCAGTTCGTCAGTTGAAACAAAAAAAATCTAAGAAATTTTCCGAAAATAGAAACTTATCCTACATCAGAGAGAATTGATATGATTCTCTTAGTTAGCTCCTGATTTTATCTAGTCTGGGCTTTTTTATTTGATTAACATATATCAAATAAAAAAGCCCAGACTAGACAGTGTTAACAAAACTCGACCAAACCAAACCAAACTATTGTCTGAAACTGCATTTTTTTACTTACTAAATATGAATTTTACTTTGTTTTGTTGATCTTTGAAAGGTGTATAAAGTCGAATCATTTTAGATTGGACATTTAAATTTTATGGGATTTTCGGGATCCCGGAATTTAATATCGGGATTTCGGAGATAAACATACACGCCGCCGGGATCCTGGGAGTTCGGGATTTCAGGAAACTCTAGTCGTGAGATTAATGATGTACAGATGCATGTCATGTTGATTTGGAAGTGACAATCGATAAGATTTATCATATAATTTTACATACCTATTAAACGACAGCGATCTTCATTTCCAAGCCCACTCCCATGCCTTTTTTTTCTATCGTACGGTATATTCACTAACTGCATTACCTACTTATAATTTATAACAGTTTATATTCACTGATTCATTTATAATTTGTATCCACTTAATATTACTTGATTTATCCATCGTAAACTTTGCATAGATATAGAAATATAACGATGGACAACTCTTAATGTGTTAAATTATACCCTACGATCGAAAAAAAAACGGCGTCCGATTGGTTTGGAAATGACGATCGATGACATTCCCCATATAATTTTACATATCAAATGACAGCGATCTTCATTTCATAGCCATCGCTGACGCCGTTTTTTTTTCGATCATACGGTATATGGTAAAAGCCATCGATCACCATTTCTAAGGTAACTTAACGCCGTATTTTTACATACAAAATGTGCAAAAAAATTCTATATGAATGAACTCACAATTTTCTATCCACTTTGTACATAAATTAGGATCTCTTGACGCATGAAACTTAAACACATGTACACCTGATTTCCGAGAAATCTCACAATTGTAAAATTGACACTTATTACCAGACATTTTAATAATAATTATCACTAATCGCACAGTTGTAATCAAAGACAGTCAAAGGTATATAGTATATTACCATCACAGATTACCATATATTACCCGGCTTTTAAAATATCCATTAAAAACAAAAAACAGTAACGACATATCTAAATCTTCTATCTTTGTGTGTTTTGCATATGGTTCGTTCCTGTATTATTCTGTGATAAGGGAAGGAATAGAGATTTTCTGTGATAAGTGGTAAAGCTAGGTTTTCATATGTACAAATTTGGCAAACGTTCCAGGAAATTCGGTCATATTTTTATTATAAAATTATTTATCATAAACAAATTTATTGTACAAAAAAAAAAATTTTGAACGTATATTCAAATTTTAAACGTTTCAATTAATAAATAACGTAAATCACTTTTAAATTAAATTTAAGAAAAAAAAAATCAAAATTAATAAAACGTAAATCACTTATGAACAAATCATTATTTTAATTTCAAATTTATATTTCGAAGTTATATTACAAGTTATTTACTGTTGTCTTATACAGAGTATATCAAGACAAATGCGAAACTTTAAGGGGTGTATTCTTTGTTATTTGTCAACATTTTTAAAATAAGCTGAAGAGGTTGAAATAAACTATTTCTAATATTCGTTAATTTGACAAAAAACTGGAGCAACGGTATGGAAAAAATGGTTAGATTTGTATATTTAGAACGTTTTTATGACTTGCAATTTTTCCATTAAATTCATTATTTGAAGTTAAAAAAAAATGTAAATCATTATGTATTGGGACCAAAAAAATATTTTAGCAAAGAAGCTGTTCGCCTTAAAAACAGTTTTATTTTCTACTACTGTAAAATATTTTTACAAACGACATATAAAGATAATTGATCGACAAACATGTTTTAAGCTACCCTTCCTAAATCTTCCTTAAAATAAAAAGATTAACAGATGGGAATACATATTATACCGTATGATCGAAAAAAAAACGGCGTCCAGTTGGCTGGGAAATGGCAATCGATGACATTTCCCATATAAATTTACATTTAAAATGACAGCGATCTTCATTTCATAGCCATCGCTGACGCCGTTTTTTCGATCATATGGTATATCAAATAAAGTATTATTAGAAAAGCTCACTAGATTGTTTTCTAGTAAAAAAGACCTTATTTTGTCACAACAGGTGACATTTTTTTGTTTTAAATCAAGTAGGTTTTAAAAAAACTACAATAGGTAAAAAAGTTTCTAAACAAATAGAATATCCAAATTAATTTATTTCCAATGACAATAATGTGTAAGTTTGTAATTAAAGTTAGTTAATAAGAATAATAGGTGTAGTATATTTCAACATCATTCACTGGTTTTAAAAACATCAAAAAATATGCATGTGTTTTCATAGTATAAATATGAATTGTTCCTTACGTTAGTTCTTATTGATATAAAAGCAAAAAAGTATAAAAATTAAAAGCTGCAATTTTATTAAAAATATGTTATTCTAACACATATTTTTTTAACTGTAATGTTCTAAATTGATCAAAATATAAATGTTATTTTTTTCCTAGGAAAAATAAAACTTCATAACTTAATTTTCATAAATAAATTTATTTCTATTAAATTTTATAGAGCAATTTGTATTACAGTTTTATTTCACATATTTTGTAATACTGCTTCGGTGCAGTGCCCCATTGCTATCTGTGAGTTCATTTAAATTATGACGACATTACTGATCTAGAAGATAAAAATGTACCTAAGTACCTTAATATTATAATCAAAAATGGCTAATTTTGTAAATCATTACCTATAATGGTTAGATGAGTTATGAATGTAAACTTCTTTACGTTGGTTTCTTGAAGTTAGGTGATATTAATTATCTTCGCATCATCATGGGCTCTAATCAACTGTAGAGTATTCGTCAATCAACCTGAAATATGTAATATTATTTACTTTATATTTACGAAAAATTATCATTTTCTTTTTATGAAAATTTTGAGTTAAAATTTAAATGTGATTAGAATAAATATACATCAGTATTTAACATTTTATCATAGGTAATATTCTATATATTACCTGTGATTTTATGCTAAAATGTTTAATTTTGTGAAAATATTACTTACCTATAATATTTAAACGAGTTCCTGAATGTACAATTTGTTTATCACGATGTCAAGTTCTAAATCTTGTATTGGTTGTCTAAAACTGTTTGATTTTGCTTAGTTATATTGTATTCTATATTTTATTAAACAAACTCAAAATAATGTTTATAATTACCTTCATCAGCCTTCATATCATTAAAGTTATTATTATCACTTATCATTATCAGTCATTATGTAGTTATTTGTTCATTTGTTGCTCTGTTTGTTGTTGTTTGTTGTCAAAGATCATTTTTGAGGTTAATCACAGGTTAATGTCATATGAAACTTTTCGCAATTAGGCAACTGGTAAATGACGTGTGACGATAAATTAATAAAATAATAATGAACGTATTAAGTTAAATATTTATATATTAATTTAACATATCTATTTCATGTTTATAAATTACATAATTTTTAATTTGGTATACCTTTAATTTTATATATTCATAATGAATTGAAATATATTTCGATGATTTCGATATAACCACAGATAACATATAATGTGATATAACGTTTGGCAACCACGCAACTGAAGTGCAAGCGACATCTGTGCAAGAGAAGCAAAACCTCCCAAAAAAGTGAGAAAAGATATCTAAAAATTTCAGATTATTCAAATGTCACTCCAATATTTTTCCAAATTGGAGTGAAATTAGGGTGACAATTTTTAACACGTAAGGAGCCATCTGGATTATATGTTATCTGTGCTAATACGATAGCTCAACTTCATAAGACGTACGTTCGCCCCTCTTCCCGCGCTTCAGCTGACAGATGTGACGTCATTGTGGTCCTTGTCATGGTAGTGTGTATTATTGGTTACCTATGGTAAACTTATAAAAATAACAGTTGAGAAATTTTGACTGAAATGCTTCAAATTTTGTTGATTTTAAATGTGAAAAAGGTGTTTTTAAAGTTTTTAGAGCTATAGTGATAAATACGTTCTTTCTGTGTTGTTGTTGTGACTAAATGCTTACTAAGTATGTACCTACGATATTGTTTATTAATTATTTTAAACCAAATTTGGAAGTACTCTAGAAAGAATGGTGATGATGGGATCTGCTGTTCTTGAAAATGCATTATCCGAGTATTTAATACGAATTATACAGTTAATTTTTTATACTGCATACATACATATAAGGTGTTTAAGTAAATAAACTAAATAATGAATGTTTTGCATACGGCAACCAGTAATACACACACTATCATGACAAGGGCTACAATGACGTCACAAAGCGACGAGTTTTCGCATGCACCTGGTAGACACTTTCGGCTGAATGACAGTTCCATTAGGTTAACTGTTCTTGTTCGATAGTAATGCAACGATTCTATGTTCGGTTATTTAATATACATTTATTTTTTCGTTTTCAGACCGCAGTAGCATTAAAAAGAATAAACGCTTTTTTGAATGCGGACGAATTAGATCCGTATATCGAACATGACAGGACAGAAGGTATAGATCTTATTTATCACTCTAGACCGTAGAGGTTGGTTCAGTAAACATGTAAAGGTAATTCTTAATTGGTGCGAAAACTAAAAGAAACTCTGGAATCAGTCGAATTATCTCTGACGCTCAGTTTGGAAGTCTTTCAGTTTTCAGGAGAATTAAGAATTCTCTTATTTGCTTTTACTACATAGTATACTTAGGTGGCATTTCATGTTTTCTTCGATTTTTGAAGTGAAATTTCTTTACGCGTGCTGGGAGTAAAAATTCAAGGCCGTGACGCAGGAGCTAGTGGTAATGAAAAGTTGTAACGGTCGAAAAAAAGTGAAAAGGACAGCCTGCAGCCAGAGCTGCAACAAGTCAGTTTTAAAAACATTGATGATTTGCAAGTTAAGTCAGTAAAATGACTTAAATCAATATAATTACCATCAAGCCAAGACAACCAGATTTCAATTTAAGCACCTTTTTTTAAATGTTAATATTAATTTTCTTGTATTACCCATTAATAGCGATTTTCTTACTAAGTATTATAATATTAATTTATTGTAGGTGCAGATGGGACTAAAACCACATAAAATAAAATGGTTAATTTTCAGAACGACTACAAACACAAAAATATGTTTTTTTATAAAATTTAACCGATTTTGTAGTACTTTATCCATTACAGTTTCTTTATCCATTACAGTTTAGTAGTATCCATTACAGATTAGATGTCATTGAATACATGTCTATTAAAAAGGGATGAAGTGTTTTGATCACTATGTTATATATCGATGGCATAAGCTAAGGGCTGGAGGATTTATTATTTTTTTATTTTACGCGTATTTTTTATACGCGTAATATTACTATAATATATTATTAATTATACGCGTATATATTTGTTACACATAAAACACTATTTTTACGCGTAAAAAATTATTTGTTTTACGCCAAAAACTATTTTTTACGTGTAAAAAAATATTTGTTACACGTATATACAGGGTTGTTCACCACATACGACACGGAGTATTGTAGCTAAACGATTAGATTTTTACAAATTGTAAGTTCTGGGTTCGTTGCAGGACTATTAGAGCTACAATTTAAAAATATTCTTACAAGATACAGAGTGTCCCAAATAAATAAAAAATATGAAAGTTGTATTTTTTTAAATGGAACACCCTGTATATTACTACATTTTTAGTTTCTACGATCAAAATAAAGGTAAATTTGATTAAGGTTTATCACACTTAAACCTGACCGTTTTTGAAATATTTTCAATTTTGTGAAATTGCAGTCAAAATTTTAAGGCTTCATTTCTCCAAGGGTGTCATAGCTTTTAATACTAAATATTTACTGAAGTTTATTTATTGATAAGTTATTAGGTTGCAATAATAAAAATAATACTACCTCATACAGAGTGTCTAAAAATTTATTTTAAATTATTTCTAGCTTTAAACGGCAATAACTTGTTTAATTTCAGTAGAACGCCCTGTATATTTTAGGAGAATCAGATGCACAATTTATATGTCTATCAAATTGTAGTACGCCACTTTTTACCTATCCCTTCAAGTTTTCGTATAAAATGCATTTTCTTATAATTTAGACCTCATTTATCAATATACCCATGGAATATTGACATTTTAGATTGTTTTTAAAGCAACAAATGTACAAAATGTACAGGCTAGTAATATTATCGTTTTTAGCAAAATGATAATATTACTAGCCCATTTGTATGCAAAAAGAAAACTATTTAAATCTTTATAAAAGAGTATACCATTAATTAAATATACCACCATTATTTCCGCCCAAATACTAATTAATTACATACTTAATTATGTTCGTTAATAAATTATTCTAAATAAATGTGGATTTGAATCAGAAATCAATATAATAATAAGTTATGAAAATGAACGTCTCTGTTGTTATAAATAAGCATTTGTCAAAAAATGAAATATCATTTTTAAGGTGTTACTTTTTACCACACTGTTTAATACACATACAAAATTCAGTTTTTTAGTATTTGGAGTAATTATTATTAATCAACGCAAACAGTTAATTAATGTATTTTGAATACTGGAATCATATTAATTGGTCCTCTTTAACAAATATTTAAACAGTTTCTTTTTAATTTTTAATGAAATAAACAAACTATATCGACAATATTAGTATCTGTACTCTTTAAAAATTTGGTACATCTTTAAAAATAATCTAAAATATCAGTATTCCATGGGTATATTGATAAATGAGTTTTAAATTACAAGAAAATGCATTTCCTACGGAAACTTGAAGAGATAGGTAAAAAATGGTATAACACAATTTGATAGACAATTAAATTGTGCATCTGATTCTCATAAAATATACAGGGTGTTCCATTTAAATTAAACAAGTTATTGCCGTTTAAAGATATTAATTATTTAAAATAAAATTTTGGACACTCTGTAAAAGGTAGTATAATTTTTATTATTGCAGCACAATAACTGATCGATAAATAAACTTCAGTAAATATTTAGTATTAAAAACTTTGATACCCTGGGAGAAATAAAGCCTTAAAATTTTGACTGCAATTTCACAAAATTGAAAATATTTCAAAAACGGTCAGGTTTAAGTGTGATAAACCTTTATCAAACTTACCTTTATTTTAATCGTAGAAACTATAAATGTAATAATATACAGGGTGTTCCATTTAAAAAAATACAACTTTGATATTTTTTATTTATTTGGGACACTCTGTATCTTGTAAAAATTATTTTAAATTGTAGCTCTAATAGTCCTTCAACGATCCCAAAACTTACAATTTGTAAAAATCTAATCGTTTAGCTACAATACTCCGTGTCGTATGTGGTGAACAACCCTGTATATAAATTTAAAAAATATTCTTTTAATTTACTTCCTCAACATTTCAAAACTACACTTTTTCAAACATGCCCTTCAATTTAATAGCTGTTAGTAAGAAATTTCACTTCAAATATGCGCACAAAATGCACACACAATTTTTTTTATTTGGCATTTTTTTATATTTGATTTCTCGTTATTCCTTTTAGTACATTTGATATAAATCTTAACTACGGATTTAATATTTCCATTCCATTTCTTGTTTTTCTTTTCTATTTCTATTATTGTTTATATTTTATATCAATTGATATTCCAATAATAATTGATCCTTGCGAAGTTCAATTTTTTCTGTTACAATTTTGGTTTGGCACCTATGTATCCTGTGTTTACGAGGTGTGATTGGAAGAATTATATATACATATAGTTTAAATTCCATTTGTAGATACTCAAAGCTAATTGTGAATATCGTATTTCTTGGTAATACACATTATCATCTCCAAACAATTTTGTAAAATTACATTATTTGTGAGATCATAGAAAATAAAAAATGTCTATACCTATGTGGCGGATTCATCTCTCCAAAAAATCCTTTATGGATATTTCGCCACTGCAAGAAAATCTACAAAATGAAATAGTTATTTTTTGTAAACACTGCTGCATTAATCCAACGGAAGCTACTTGTCAGCAGTTAAGTTTACTGATAAACAAATTTGCCTAACGAACAAAAAAATACTTAACGTTTCGGAAAGTTTATCTCTTTCCGTCGTCGGAAGCAAAAAAAATACAAAGAATAAAGAAAAAACTATTTAAAATATATAAATTCAACTATTCGAGAACACTTTAGCTTTTTATAGACGTATATGTTTAAAAAAACTAAAGTCGCCCATACTAAAATATGTTAATAAAAAGTTGGTAGGCAGTTCTTTTAGTTTCAAAGAAAAGGAATTTTCCAATTTTGGCCCGCGATTATTTCCTCTATCCGCCACCTGGGGTCGCGTCCGATGGGAGTTTTGAGTTCTCCACACGGATTTTCTCAAAAACGGACTACGGAAGCACGGAATATATCAAAAACTGCGATTTTGACTGATTTTGATGTTATTACAAATTTTGTTGCAAATATTATTCCTAATCTTAAATTGAAAACCGCGTTTCGCTCCTCCTCCTAGGTGCCTTCTCTGTTGAGGTTGGCGATTAGTATGGCGTATGACTCTCTGTCCAGAGCTTGGTGAATAAGAGTGTTTCCGTCGGTGTGGGTCCAATCTCTTATGTTACGTAGCCATGATTTCTTTTTCCTCCCTATGCTACGTTTTCCATCGATTTTTCCTTCTATTATGAGCTGTATTTCTTCATATTCTGAGTGCCGCATTATAAATGTCCAAGGTAGGAAGTCTTTTTGATTTTAATTGTGCCTGTTAGGTGTGGACGAGTTTTCATTCCGTCTAAGACGTCACAATTTGTTGTTCTAGAGGTCCAACTTATCCTCAGCATCCGACGATACATCCACATTTCAAAAGCATTAAGGCGTTTGATGTCTTCTTGTTTTAGCGTCAAAGTTTCGCATCCATATTGAAGTAGGGGCCATATATAACATTTTAATGTTCTTACCCTCGTTGGTATACCTATTCTGGGATGGCACAAAAACTTCCGCATGTTGAGGAAACCAGCCCTAACTATTTCTATTCTTCTTCTGATTTCTTTAGAGTGGTCTAGCTGGCTGTTTAATTCCCTGCCCAAGTAAATATAACTCCGCGTGGTTTCTAGATGGACGCCGTTTACCATTATGTCGGTATTTTCATTGTCTTGCGGATGTCTGTCGAAAATCATAGTTTTTGTCTTGGCGGTGTTAATCTCTAGACTCATCCTGATACTTTCTTCTCTCAGTTTGTCCATTAGGGTTTGCAGCTGGTCTTCGGATTCTGCTAATACCACGGTGTCGTCTGCATATCTTATATTGTTTATAATTTTTCCATTTATTTTAGCCCCTTCTGGACAATTTTGAAGAGATTTTCGGATTATATATTCGGCATAAACGTTAAACAATAATGGTGACAATATGCATCCCTGTCTCGCGTTTCGCTAGCTGCTGTAATTTTGGAGTTACGATATTTTAAAATTTTTATCCCCCTCCCATACCCCCTTACCAACCCCTCACCCCCATCAAAAACTAATGGCCAGATCCTCGGATGCCACAGTATTTTTGTGTCAAATTTGGTTAAAATCGGTTTAGCGGTTTTTGTTTTATCGTGTTACAGACGGACATACAGATACCAAGAAAATATTTTGTATTTAGGTCATTTATGACCCAAATAACCCATTTTGAGTGAAATTAATTTTTTTTGGCGATCTTAATAGCCTACCATACCTGTTGGCATGGTCTGCTAAAAGTAGCTGTTGAACTTTTACTGTTTTAGTCTTAGGCAAATCAGTGAATGTGAACTTTTAGTAGTAATTGTTAACAATCACTGATTTCCAAGTTTTACTGTACATATACAAGGCTACTATACTATAGAACATATACAAGGCTACTAGACATTTAAAAACCGTATACCATTTGTGTTTAACATTACACGGTACCTTCTGATGCGGCGACCATGTATGTATTTTTTTGGCAAGCGATCATTTGATCAAACGAGTTGATTCGGGCCTCAGTTGATTATGGTTTAACTTTTGGCGTTCAAGTAATGTTTTTAAAATGGCAGCAAGTAGTTGATCAGAATTTTCTGGGAAGTTTATTAATATTTATGAAAAATATGAGTGTAGGGTGTATTTGAAATACGCTGAATCCAAAATATCCTGCTAATCTCCTAACATCTTGCCAGGTATCTTACCCCTTGTCACTTAAGGGATTTGATTTTATGGATAACATCTATTTCCTGGGTCTTTGGTCGTATGCACTCTATTCTTTTACGGTCTCTCTTGGTTTTTACAATATTGGGTAACTTTTTACATAATCTCCAGGATTTCCTAATTGTAGTTTAGGTGTTAAGTTAATATTAGATTCACTATAAGTAGATCTGTAGCTAATCCATTTTTTTGACCCAAATTCTTCTCTTATGTCTAGTTTTTACGGAATAAGCTTTCCGTCAATTCTATTACCAACATTTCGGCAGTTTGAAGTAGAGCCTTACGCACTAATCGCCATTGTAATGACTAGGAATATGAATGATTTCATGACAGTCGAATTTCTGTGACTTCATCAGTTCTCCTGACTCGTGAAGACGCGTTTCTCGAATAATGTATACGAAGAAATATGCGCAGTAGCTAACATGCGATAGAATAGTTAGTTTTTGTTGAGCCAGTTTTTCCAATCACATCTCAACTAAACGTACATGCGTTCCTATAAAGTAACTGTCTCATTTTTAGGTGCTCCAATAGTAGTGGAAAATGGTACTTTCAGTTGGGGAGAGAAACCTATTCTTAAAAACATACATTTCAGAATCCCGAACCGTTCCCTTACAGCTATCGTAGGGCCGGTAGGATGCGGAAAGAGCTCTTTGATTAGCGTTCTTTTGGGTGAAATGGATAAAGAGTCTGGTAGGGTTAACTTGTACGGCGATATTGCTTACGTACCGCAATTGGCTTGGATCCAAAACGGAACGGTAAAGGAGAACATCATTTTTGGTTCGGAATTTGATAAAAGAAGGTACAAAAAAGTTATCGAAGCATGCGCTCTGGAACCCGACTTCGAAATGCTCGCTGATGGAGATCTTACTGAAATAGGTATTTTAGTTAAATAGAGTAATCCCTTATTGTAAGCAAATTATTCCTGTAATAAATGTTCTCAATAAACTCTGCGGATTATATGGGATTACTGTAAGTCCATTTAAAACAACTATTATCAATAGCTATATCTTCTCTATAGGTGAGAAAGGTATTAATCTGTCTGGAGGTCAGAAACAACGAATAAGTTTAGCCAGAGCGGTGTATAATGACGCTGACATTTACTTGCTGGACGATCCATTGAGCGCAGTGGACTCACATGTAGGAAAGCACATTTTCGAGCAAGTCTTAAGTTCAACGGGTTTGCTGAAGAATAAGGTTAGAGTTTTAGTAACGCACGGTATAACATATTTGCCCAAAACCGACCGAGTTCTTGTCATGAAAGATGGAAGGATAACTGAGAGCGGAAGTTACAAAGAGTTGTTATCAAAAGGGGGAGCCTTTGCCGAGTTTCTTATGCAACACATCAGCGAAGAAAATGTAGACGAGTCAGGTAATTTTTAAGTATTGTAAAATGTTTTTATTTCATACTGTATCGTAAAACACACCTTTACATATTTGATTTAGATTCAGAAAATAAGGTTTTACAGAAATACTGCCGTAATTAGTAAAATGGCCGTAACTAAAATCGCTTTTTTTCACACCAATAAGGTCTAAATCAGTGATTCCCAAAGTGGTCCAGGTGGACCCCCAGGGGTCCACGGGAGACTTGCTGGGGGTCTACGTAGGCGTGAACAAAAAATGGGGGTCCATAAGATGTTAATGGGGGTCCACGAAAATTTATCTGCTTTTGATAGTAAAGAGCAAAAATGTAAGCATAGTTTTTATAAGGGCCTACCTACATTGTTTTAAGTACCTATCTAAGCAGATAATATTTTAATAAGGCAAGCGACTGTTACTTGTCCAAACTTGCGTATTCGATATTACGTACAATTTCGTGTACAGACTTGCAAAGCGCTATCCGCCCGACAATGCGTAATGCTTGTTCAGACATGAACTTGATCACCACTATAAATACTTGATGCCAAAGGCAAACGCATTCATTTGTTTCCGGAATTTCGAAAAAAAGGCGGAATTTGGAAAAAAAGTTGTGAGAAAATTTATATCTGTGTTTGCTAGTGCCGGAGAAAAGTAAGTAACCTACCTTTTTTTGTTATAGTACTTAAGTATTTTGTTTACGTGTACTAGTCGGTTGATCACAACGGCCTGTATAGATAGGTAACTTAGTAACTTACAGATATTTTAATTGTCCTCTTTCGATTTGAAGACAAACACAGCACGTTTTATTCAATTGTTTTTTCACGAGAGAAACACTGCCAACAATCTAAAAAGGCCGAATAAGCAATATTGCAGAGCAATTAATTTTGTAATTTTTCTTGCAAATAACTACTAATTTTATAAAACAGTAATTTCATAATCATTTTAAATTGGTTTTGAAGTAACCATTTTATCAAAACTATTCCTTTTCGGAAAGAGCGAGCGGTGCGCGGGCGACGGGAAAAGGCGGGGCTTGGACTTCGATGCCAGTTTGTCACGTTTTAACAATGAAGCCGCAGACAAAAAAAATACGCAAATACACGGAGCGCGTGAACTCATTGATTTAATAAAATGTTAGTTATCGTTTTTATGGACAATTTTGGGATTTCGACTTTTATTTTTTCCTACACAAATATGATCAGTATTCAATACTGAGTACACCAATTTTATTTATACTATTAAAATTAGTGGTAAATTATGTACTTTAAAATTGATACCGTTTTGTGAAAACGTCTGTATTTGTCTCAGCGGTTTATTAGTTGGTCCCTTTACAAGCCGTAATTCTATTTCCGCGTGCTGACAAAGGCTGCGGTGTGATACCTATATTCAGAAAAAACTTGGTTACTAAAACATTTTTTTTACAGGTAAGGTAACTGACACGAAACATGGCTACAGCAAAGAAAAAATGTCGACAATATAGTATCGATTATTTGAAATATGGTTTTGTTCCATCAGAGGCAGACAAACAATTGCCCATGTGCCTATTATGCAAACAAAGTTTTGAGCAATGACTCTATGAAACCATCAAAGCTCGAAGATCATCTAAAAAGGTGTCATACTGATAAAATAGGTAAAGATTTAAAATATTTTCAAACATTGAAAGAAAAATATGGAAAGAGACCCACCATGCACAGTATGTTCGCTTCAACATCTCAAAGTAACGATGATGGCTTGCGGGCATCTTACAATATCTCATTACTTATAGCAAAATCTGGAAAACCGCACACTATCGGAGAACAATTAATTTTACCCGCTGTTGAAGAGGTTTTAAAACTGTTTTGCACAAATCTCCATTTGACGTACTAAAAAGAATTCCATTAAGTAACAATACTGTACAAAGACGCATTGATGAAATGAGCTCTGATATCGAAAGCTTTTTTGTGCAATCATCTGCAAAAACTCATTTTTCTATACAACTGGACGAGTCAACGTTACCCAGTAATGAAGCATTACTATTGGCATATGTCCGATTTATTGTTGAGGAAGAAATTCACGAAGAATTGCTATTTGCCAGAACTTTGGAGACTGACACTAAAGGCGAATCAATATTTAATGTCCTGAGTAATTTTTTTACGGAAAAATCGATCCCATTCGCAATCGATCCCATACATACTGAAGTACGCTGGTTGTCGAAAGGTGCATGCTTAACGAGATTTTACTCTGTTTTCGATTCCATATTAGAGTTCTTAGAAAGTAGAGATCCAGATTTAAAAGAAAACTTGATCAAATTCAAAGCAGACATTGCGTATTTGACAGATTTGTTTAAAAAATTTAATGATATTAACTTGCAGTTACAAGGGGACAGCCTGAATTTAATAAAAACAAAGGGGATAATTTCGGCTTTTCTTGGGAAATTGAAATTTATGAAGCAAAACATTAGTCGGCGCGAATTCTCTCAATTTCCAAACTTGTCGCAGGTAGAATGTATTGATGAGGATATCCATACCTACAGTCAACATTTAAGTGCTCTGCATGATGACTTCAAAACCAGGTTTGAAGATATACTGACGATGGATATACCACCATGGATCATAAATCCATTTGATGAAACGGAAGTGGCCAATGTTGTATTACAAGAGGAGCTGCTCGAGCTAAGCACTAATGAGGAGCTGAAGGTGAAATTTAGAAAAGGCTACCCAACATTTTGGCTGCAAGCAGAAATACCCGAAAAATATCCTGGACTGTGGGAAATCGCAAGGAAATTTTTAATAGCTTTTCCCTCGTCATACCTTGTCGAAAGGAGTTTTAGTGCCGTTACAAACCTCTTAACAAAAAAAGGAGCAAATTAAACATCACAGAGCGGGGGGATTTGCGGTTATTGCTCACAAAAATAAAGCCAAACATTGATCGTTTGCTGACACTCCATCAGATACATCCTTCCCATTAATTAAAATTATGACCTGAACCTATATTACCTTAATATTTTTCTTGTAATTCTATTCTTTTAATAAATAAAGTGATATAAAATGTACCATTTTTCGTTTTTATTTTACATATCGGAATATAGGGACAGAACTCAGAAGTGACACAATTTTTATTTTTTGGCGACTTTAAGAATGTGGTAGAAATGTAGCAGCAGGGGGTCCACCGAAACCAGTAAAATTTTGAAAGTGGTCCACGAGAAAAATAAGTTTGGGAACTACTGGTCTAAATTGTCCAATAACTGATGAATTTTTTTTGGTATAAAAAAAGCTTCGTTACCTCGTTACATAAAATAGCTTCGTTACATTTTACCATAACTTCTTTCCGAATAAGATTTTCAGCATATATGCGGGAGTAAAAATACCACTTACAACAAAAGAACGCGCGCCAAAAATACCCGCGAAACTGAACAAATGGCAGCAAACGAATTCGTTCACGAACGCCGAAAACATCGAATGAATTCGGTCGAATGGCTTCGGCCACATGCGTTCGCCAGATGTGTACGCGCCTTTAGAAAAAATTGTCCGATTTAAATGGAATTTGGTGTGTCAATAGACTGGACTAAGGCTAACTTGACCGTGCACGACACGTGTTACGGTGGTAGTTAGTTTTGACGTAAGAAAGAAAAGTTGATGTCTTCCGATCGCGACCAAATTTGGTAGGCCGATTGAAACCAAACTCAGCACGTGGATAGAGGAATAGAGGCTTCAGACGGACACACGAATAGACAGACAGATGGACAGACGGAAGGAAATGAGAAGTTCCACTTCAAATATGCCCACAGGGCACACACAATTTTTTTTCTTTATCTTTATTTTTGCATTTCGATTAAGTGATAAAAACACTTTAGTATTCGGTCCTTTTGTATTTTGCATCTCATATATCAAAAATGTTCATTTTTGTATGCAATATAATATAGTTTTATTTTGACAATAGTTCCTAACAGCACAGAATATCTAGCTACGCAACAGAAAAATACTCGAAATGAAAGAGCTAAAATTGCACAAATAAAATACTAGATGGCGCGACAATATCATAATCAGAATGAAATTGGAAATTTTGAACTTTCGGTTTTAGATCGACGGCACGTCGACGCCCTTGAAGCTCGTCTAAATATGCACAGTTGCTAGATTCAAAAAGACTTTAATTGGCATCCCATTCTTTTTCTGGTGTATAATAGTTTCTTTCTATTCTTCTTTTCTTGTCACACACTTATGTTAATTATTCGTTTGGCTTTTAAAATAGTTTTAAGTATATTATTACAAAACATATACTCAAAAAATACATTTTTAATATACACTAATTAAGTTATATATTTATATATAATATTATTATATCAAGTGGTACTATATTATAGTACCACTTGATATGGTTCATGGTATCATAATATTACAATGTCATCAAAAATACGAAATTATATGTCAAATATGAGCTCAATCGAACGTCAGGAAGTGGTATCATAATATGGTACGATAGAAGGTACCACTTTATATGCATCATCGTTCTATCATATTACAATGTCACCGAAGATATAGTAGTATACCAAGTTTAAGCCCAATCGAACGCAATGTACGTAATATGGTACTATATTATGGTACCACTTGATATGCTTCATGGTACCATAATATTGCAATATCATCAAAAATACGCAAGTATATATTAAATACGAGCCCAATCGAACGTCAGGAAGTGGTATCATAATGTAGTACTATAGAAGGTACCACTTTATATGTTCCATGGTACCATAATATTACAATATGTTACTAAAGATAAGTAGAATACCAAGTTTAAGCTCAATCGAACGCCATGTATCGTAATATGGTACTATATTATCGTATACTATTTCCCATATAAAATGACAGCGATCTTCATTTCATAGCCATCGCTAACGCCGTTTTTCCCCGATCATACGATATAAAGTATGAACACAATTGAACGTCAGAAAGTGGTATCATAATAGTAGAACAATACTTATTATATTGTCGCCGAATTACAATCAAAATTCAGGATTCAATTACAAAACGTTTGAAAAAAGAGCACTGATCTATTTTAATATGTTTAAATGATGTAGCAAATTGAAGGTAGACTTTATCAGGAAGTACAAAATTCACAAGCACAAAATTCTTTTAAATTTCGTTTGTAGAAAACTATTTTCTTTTAAATTTATCGCCCTCTATTATGTAGTAGCGAAACTACCGCATCTGATTTGGAGACAGGCTTTAAAAGCCTATCTCCTTTTGATACCTACAATTTTATACATGTAACGAGGCTTCTGTTGCGTAGCTAGATATTCTGTGCTAACAGCGGAACTTACGTTGGGAAAAATAATAGGTAACTGAAACATTAAGAAGAAAAACAATAAAAATCAATAAAATCATGCAAATATTTTACCGAGCACGACTGCACTGTTCTCCAAGCTCGGCTTACTATCGAACTTGGTGAACAGTTGATCTTTCTCATAAAAAATTAGGCAATGCCAAATGATGCACCCGCCAATAAATATTCGACTAATCTGAAAGTAGCCAATGTACAGGGCGGGGCGTGTTTTGCAGGAATATACTTATAGTAGCAGTAGATGTAATTTATGTCATTCGGCCGCCATTAGCTTTTACAGTATTCTTTTCGAAAGCCTTGAAAAATCCTAAACATCTCACTCATACTGTAAAAATTGTGATTTACCGTGCTTATAACGTAAATATCTTTTAAGTTTAAATGAATTATTTTTTTTAGAACTGGATGAAATCGAAGAACAACTTGAAGAAACACCTATCGCTATGGAAATAAAACGAAAAATATCCAGGCAAAGGTCTCATCTTTCCGAATGTTCCGACACTATACAAAATAGCCTTAGTAGTTTATCGATGTCACGAGAAAGCTTAAGGCTTCGTAGAAGTTCGTCGAAAAAACGGCACAGCGACACTTCAAAGCTGTCATTTCACAAATTCAATCAAACCGAGAAAGGCAAATTAATCGAAATCGAAAATGCGGAAACAGGCAACGTCAAAATGGCCGTGTACAAATATTACCTATCGGCAGTTAGTCCAATATTGATTACGTTCACCGTATTGTGTTACTGTGGATTTCAAGGGTTTGGAATTGCTTCCAATACTTGGCTGGGATTCTGGGCTGAAGACACCGATGTGATGGTCGATGGAAAAGTCAATACGGGATTGAGAAACATGTATCTGGGAATTTACGGGGCACTCGGAATAATACAAGGTATAAATGAAAATATTGAGAAGAGATTAATTTTTTTTTCTATAGCAACTGTTAAAATTGCCTTATATCCCTAGATCATATATCTATTTGGGATTTATTCTTGGTTTTAGGCCAGTAATTTAAAACATAATAATTAAAAGTTGTTTTTATTTTTTACGTATGTTTCGACCATTTTTAGGTCTTCTTCAGAAAATTATAATTATTATCTAGAAACACAATTCTGAATTCTGAAAAGAAAATGTCACCCTGAATAGAATGACATTTCATATGTCATATGTCAACTTTTGACATTTTCGCATATGGTTTATTTGAAATTGTAACATGCGGTTGATAACGACAACTTGGCTCGAAATACCAAGTGTGTGGTACCAAATTATTCGTAAAAAATGCTTTTTCCAAATATGCTAATGATCCACCCTCGTTCCATTTGAAAAAAATTGAGATATGATTAAAAATTCGATTTGGGCATATTTTAACCGGCCAGGGCAAAACACTAAAAACATTAGACGATCAAATCTATTTTTCCAAGGCTCCTTGATTAAAAATTAGTGTTTTTAACACAGCCATGCCACTTTAGATTGAAATTTAAAATTCGTTTTGTTTTTTAGCGAAAATGTCAAAAGTTGACATGTGATATGTCATTCTATTCAGAGTATCATTTTTTATCGAATAAAGTACAAACATACCGAGGGTGCCATTTAAAAATCAAAGTTGTAGTCATTTCCGGTGAAACAGAAAGTGACTGAAAACAATTGAAATTGTTAAAAAATAACGAGTCACAACGGCCAGTTCGGGTTCTTTTTCACTTAATTTTTACTACTTGAAGTACTTCTAATATCTGCCGTCGAGCGCTGCGGTTGGAATATTTAAAATCATTTGAAATGCACCAAGCTTATAGGTACATATATTTTTAGGAATTTGCATATTAGTAGCAGATACAGTATTCGCCAAAGGTACCACCAATGCTGCCACCAAACTACATGGAAAATTGGTGAATGCTGTTATGCATTTGCCGATGCAGTTCTTTGACATAACACCCTGTGGAAGAATATTAGCTAGATTTTCTAGCGACGTTGTTGGCGTAGATCAAAGACTACCAAGCAATTTCAATAATTTTTTCGGGCACACTGTAAAGGTAAATATAACTCAAATTATGTGATAACAACGATAAAACATACATATATCACTAGTATGTTACATGTTACCTGAATTGTATCCACCGGCAGCTATTTTCTTATAGACTATTTTCTTGTGGTACCTACTGTCATAATTTTAGCATATATGTACACCTACTTTAAATAATATGATTTACATACAATGATTTTTTTATATTATACAAAAGGTCCACACACTTCGAGACATAGGAAAAATCAAGTCCATTTAGCGTGTGACGCAATTTTCACACCTTAAAATTTAGTTTTGACATTAATGTATGGCCAATTGCACCGCATTGCATATTTAAGGTCTTCTTAGCTTAAGTCGAGTTATAACTGTGACTTTTTCTTTAAAAACGTAATTACTATGAAACTAAGAGGATAAAGAATGTCCCTATTCATTTATTTATGTTTTTTATAGCAACTGCAGCGGCTATGAAAAAAGCTGTGTGGTTTTCATAGAAAATAAGGGCACCTGTAATTCATTTGAGAATGTTATAAATCGCTAAAAGAGGTTTCAAATCTCTTGGATTTCTATTAATATTAAATAAATTTTATTAAAAATTGAACTAAAATTGTTAGTATCATTAAAAACAATTCAAATTCAAAAATTGTATCAGTCAAATTCCCTCATTTAAGGTGAACATTAAAGTAAATATAAATACAGCTCATTCTAAGCTCTATTTATCTTTAATAACAATTTAAATCATTGGTGCAATTGGGCCTTAATGCCATTTCGAATGAATAATAGTATTAATAATGTATATTATAATAATAATACATTTTATATCATAGTGTGTATTAAAACTACTAATACACTTATAAATTGGTATTATATTAACAACTTTTGTTTTTTTTAATCCAAAAAAAATAAAAGTAACAAATTTCTCAATCAAAATATTTGTGGTCCTGAAAAGGACCTTTGTTTTCCCATGTTCGTCAAGGTAGGTAATGGGTAAACCGGTAAAAAACAGGATAATAAAATTTAAAAAATTACAAAAATTGTTCAAAAATGCCTCCCTCTTGCATTAAACAATAACCCAAATGATCATAAAATCCTCTCTCCTCACATTGGATAACAGATCAGGGGTGACAGTGTCAAAGGCATTAAATATTTTCTGCCTTAACTGCTCCAAATTTTGAATTTCTTCATGGCATTAAATTTTAGATTTTATGTACCCCCATAAAAAGAAATCATTCACCGAGAGGTCAGGTGAAATTAAATGTCATTCTAAACAAAACTGTCATTTTTGAAAACTTGTCAAAATTTGGACACACGCTAAATGGACTTGATTTTCCTATGTTTCGAAGTCTGTGGACTTTTCTGTATAATATAGGTACATGAATTTGTCAAAGTTATTCTAGGTATTCGATTTTATGTTTTTTTTAAGTAAGGAGGCGTTTGCCATATTGCCATGTATAGTTAATAATTATGCTAATAATGGGGGAGCCCAAGCAGAGATTTTATATTTACTCAAACGGGGATTTTTTTTGTAAGGGGGTGGTTTAAAATCTTTTATAGACGAATAGTGATCATTCCCATCACCATCTCGACACCATCACAAGACGATCATAGAAATATCCCCTAGACAGAGTAAACGGATTGATACCCACTAAAAACAGTCCACCTCCGAGGAACCAGCTATTATTCCTGCTGATATTGGAGAGACTCAAGCGGGGAGAAACCTTGCACCCTGTTATATACCCCCACGATACATTAAACTTTTATACAGTGTTGTACAGGATGGGTCAAATTCGACGCTTTTAAAAGGAAACACCCTTTTCTATAGGAGATAGGTGAAAACTAATATCGGTGTCTGGAGCTCAATTTTTATCAAAAACATGATGGTGAAAACCGCACATCGATATCTGTTACCGTTTATGAGTTTTTCAAAAATGTGCATTTTTAACAAATCACTGTAACTTTTTTGCTATGGAAAATTTTGTATTTTTATGAAAACATTTCCAAATCACCTTTTTACGTAGAATTTAATGGTTTAAGTATAATTTTTTCAAAATTAATAATTTAAGAGTTATTAACAGAAAATTTTATTTTTTATTCGGGGCACCATGTATATTTTTAATTAAATGAAAAGAACTTAATTAAAATTAAGTATAATTAATATAAATTAACTATAATTAAAATTACCTTGCAAATATATAGCACACTTCATATTTTCTTATACTTCTCTTAGAAATACAGAATTTTTAAAAGCTCGCCACTTTTAACTAGTAAGCTGATGACCATATTGATGATCTGTCTCTAATGGAACTCGAAAACATATTTTTTCAGCAAGACGACGCACCGCCTCCGAACGCTGCAGTTATCAGCAACTTTTTGCAGCCAATTTCGAGAATAATTGAATAGCCAATATCCCAGCCGTTGGTCATCGATGCCGCCGAGCTTAGTGCCGATAGAATTTTACCTTTGCGGAAGAATAAAGTTTTTTTTTTTTTAATTGACCGTATAATCTAAACAAAAAAACGCTGGAGAAAGTAGTTGACAACCATATTGGAGAAAATCATCTAAAGGTTAAACCACTACATGATAGTCAGCGTGCATATAGAACGGGCAGATCCACAGAAACTGCTCTGTTCCAATTAACGGAGCTAATACAGACAAGTCTGGATAGCAAAGAAACAGCAATTTGTGCCTTCTTGGATATTGCGGGGGCGTTTGACAATATACCACATAAGGTGGTCAGGCGATCTCTAGAAACAAGAGGGGTGAACAGAACTATTATTCGCTGGTTTTGGGAAATGCTATCAACACGAACAGCAGAGGCTCAGATGGGCACCAAAACTGTAGCTGTTAAAACAACGCAAGGAACTCCACAAGGTGGAGTAACCTTCCCTTTGCTGTGGAGCTTGGTGGTGGATGAACTGCTAGATGAATTAACTCTTGCGGGAATACACTGCATTGGGTATACAGATGACATAGTCATGATCGCTCGGGGGAAACATGAAGGCACCTTGTGTGATATTATCCAAAGAGGACTCCGTATCACTGAGAGATGGTGTAGGACTGTCGGGCTGAGTATCAACTCAGACAAAACCGCGATAGTGCCATTCACTAGAAGGCGAAGTCTGAAAAACTTGAAAAGAATCCAACTAGATGGAAAGGAAATACTGCCAACACAGGAAGTTAAATACCTGGGAATAACCCTGGACAGTAAACTCCTGTGGAACAGGCATATTAAGAACACTACCAGCAAAGCCATAAAGGCTCTCATGATATGCAGAAGACTGGCCGGAAATAGATGGGGCTGCTCCCCTAACATTTTGCGCTGGATGTATACCATGATAGTAAGACCCATGATTACTTATGGAGCAGTTGCCTGGTACACAAAACTAGAGCAACGGACGGCAAGGCTAAACCTATGCAAAGTCCAGAGACTAGCATGTGTTTGCATCACAGGAGCCATGAGAACCTGTCCAACAGCAGCAATGGAGGTCATTCTAGATCTAACACCACTGCACATTGTCATTGGTAGATATGCCAATGCGACAATGATTAGAATGGTCACTAACGTAATTAGTACTGGGAGAATTGTCAGATCAGGGTCTTGGAACACCCTCAAAAAGGAAATACCACTCCTGCAACTCCCAGTGGACGATATGCCAAGAACGTACAACTTTGACAAACATGTCAATGTAGTATTGAGCAATAAGAAGGATTGGAAGAGCGAAACGCTTGCCCAGCAGTTAAAAGACCATACCATAACTTGGTATACTGATGCTTCCAAAACCAATACGGGAACAGGGATCGGAGTGTTTGGGCCGAGAGCTAATTACTCCGAACCAATGGGCACTTACCCTAGTATCCTACAGGCAGAAATCTACGCTATCGAGAGAAGCGTACAACTTATCTTAGATAGGAACTATCGGAAACAAGAAATAGCCATCTTGTCTGATAGTCAAGCAGCGTTAAAGGCGATCAACTCAGTATCAATCAATTCGAAATTGGTCAAAGAATGCATAGAGAAGCTGAATAAATTAGGCAAAGAAAACAAAGTCCTCCTGCACTGGGTGCCTGCTCACCAAGGGATAGAAGGCAATGAAAAAGCAAATAATCTAGCTAGGAAAGGAGCGAACACTCCACTAACTGGACCAGAACCGTTCTGCTTTCCAAGGTGGTAACCAAATCTCATGTCTCTCTCAAAACACCCCGTAACTCCGAAACGATGACAGATATCGGTAATAAACGGTAAAGAGTGGAACAGCGTTCCCATAGCGCAACTCAGAATAACAATTTTGAAACCAATTAGCAGGACCATGGCAGGACGTACGTCTTTATTGCTATCTTTCTTTATTATGTGTGCTTTATATGAAAAAGAAAGAGATAGGTATACAACGCATCGTAAGACATTATCGCCCATTCTGGCTGGCGGAAAATTTAAATTAGCCATTATTAGTAGTATTCTTTCACTCTGAAACTGAAAATTTTCACTTAAACTGATTTACTCCCTATACCACGTAAAGGGAACAAAAATCATGGTGTAGGGAATAAATCAGTTTAAGTGAAAATTTGCAGTTTCTTTCAGAACGAAAGAATACTACTGTTATAAGGAAAATTATAAAAAAAGCAAAAATTGTACTATTTTATAAACATATTTATTTATACATAAAAATAAATAAAATTTTTATAATATAATAACAAAAAATAACAGTGTTTATACCACCCACCTACCAATTTTAAATGCAGAGGAACTGACTGTTGCAGGAAACGATCGGCCAATTTTTTTAAAGGACATTAAAAATCTCATTTTCGAAAAAACTGCCTAATTGCAATAACAAAGTGAATATCCCAGCAAAGAAGACTTTACGAGAATCATGATCCTGAACCATTTTCAAGTCCTAAAACAAAAGTAAAATAGGTATATTAATAAAGTTTCTGGTTACTATAAACCAGCTATAAACTACCTACCCAAAAAATGAAAAAAATTAATTGTATTAATTTGTTATGTTAAGAGAAGTTCGAAATATTTTTGACACTACTACTTCTACTTTTTTCTTAATAAGATAATAAATATAACTACTTTTTTTTATTTTACCGGGTGTCTTTAACATATATATCAGAGAAAGGGGGCACCAATACATATAGAAAATAGATGATACTGGCTCCTGCAGCAAATAAAATAACAAATAGTATAACCTAAAATTATAAGTAACAAAATATACCTATATGGAACAAAGAAATTTGTTCCCTATCCATATTCATAAGTCAATAAAATGGAGAGTTTAGAAAAAAGGTAAATCACCAAAAGAAAAATTAACAAACATGACGAATTGTCATGATCTCTCTTTCCTTGTCTAAGGTCATGATGTTGTCATCTTGGTTATCATGATGACGAAAACGAAAGGCGATCGTTCTAATTTCTATTTAGAAATTACGTTTTATATGGCTGCTTCTTTCTCTCTTGTTATATTAGAATGAGATAGTGGGCCCAATAGACGCAATGCGCAGATCAACATAAATAGAACGAAATTTTGCGTTCTGAGTTGCGCTACGGGAACGTTGTCCCTCTCTTTGCCATTTAATTTGCCAGTCTCTTTTTATTTGTTTGTCTGTGGTTTTGATGCTAGAAACGTCAAAAGTTAATGTCTGATTGCGATCAAATTTGGTGGGTAAGTTATGTGAGCGACGGTGCACATGGTCCCACCTTGTAAAGTTGGATACGACGTTTCGTTTAAATCTTCATCAGGGTGGGAATAAGGTTTGATATTTAAGAAAATTGTAGGTCGATTCCTACATAACTGGGGACGAGCTACGTTTAGAACCGATGCCTCTACGAATTCTTCAGGATTTTTCTTAATTGTGGTTTTATTGGAACCTTTGAATATCAAAAATCTTAGGTCCACCGCGATGGGCCTCAAATATGGTCGACTTAAATTCCGGTTTATCAGTGCCGTTCTAATTTTATCTAAAAAATGTAAAACTATGATGTAGGGTAGACGTGGGGTAGACTCAATAATATGTTGCTTTATTTTACGTTGTAAATAAATGTTGGTAGTTTTTTAAATTGTTACAAAAATATATAATTCTAATAAAAATAGATAAGTTATAATAATTATTTATTAACACAAACATCCGATACGCTATTGAGGCATGTAAATCAAATTGACGTATTTAAATTCTTTGAAATCTAATCTTTGACAAGTAGTAAATAAAAGCAAAAATGCAAGAAAAAATATATAATTAGTTAATTTAAGTGAATTTCATTAATGATCGGTTTAATACACGTATGTATATTATATAGTCACTTACTAGCGAAAAGTTGTTCCATTATTTCACTCGATTTTTGCCGAGATCTACCGCACGCTACACAACCAACTATTTTAGAGTCTTTTTCGATAAATCGCGATAGTGTCACTGTTAATTTAAGTTCTGCCACAATTTCCATCTAGATTTACTACCTTTATACAACTCTCAGTTGTAGAATAAATAATAAATAATATAAAATAAGCTCCGTAAAGACTGACAAATCTACAAAATTTCAAATCAAATTCAAATGTGTCAAATGAATCGTCAAACAGAACTGTCAAGGATCCCCATCCTAGAGTCCTTTTTCATGCCTTTTTCCGCCCACCATGCATGAATACATGGATATCGTTATGCTCCTTCCTTAGTCTTCTTATTCAAAGATTGGAACCAAACTCGGCACGTGAATAGACGGGCCCGAATGAAGTCCTCAGACCGACAAATGGACAGACGGTCATTTTAATACGAATTTTGTGAAAGTGAATCAAATTATTATTCATTTTTGATTGATTACTTTTTCAACATTTCAAACGACACGTTTTCAAACATGTCCTTCAAATCCTTCAATTTAATAGCTGTTATTAAGAAGTTTCACTTCAAATATGCGCACATAGTGTGCACACAATTTTTTTTATTTCTAGCATGGATTTTTCACAATCCATTTATTAGGTCCCCTCGACACTTGAGTAAATCTCCATTTAGCATCTTGGGCTCACCTATTATATACTTTAATAATAAATTTAATGTTTTTTTAGGTATTAGGATCAATCGCTATAATTTGTTACACAACTCCAATATTCACAGCAGTACTAGTTCCTATAGGAGTTATATATGTCTTTATAGAAAGGTATTTTGTTGCTACATCTAGACAAATTAAACGATTAGAATCGGTAACCAGGTCTCCAGTATATTCTCATTTTGGAGAGACTCTCTCTGGCACTACCGTTATCAGAGCGTACCGCAGTGAAGATAGATTCATAGAGGAATCAGATCATCGTGTTGATAACAGTCAAAGATGTCTATTTCTTACCGTCTATGGGTATAGATGGTTGGGGATACGCTTGGAAACGATTGGAAATATTATTATTTTAACGTCAGCAATATTTTCCATTTTAAGCAAGGATATCAATCCTGCCATGGTCGGTTTGTCTGTCAGTTATGCACTACAGGTAAGTTGTACCGAATGATCAAACAAAAAAAAACGTCAAAAAAGGCTGCTAGGAAATGAAAATTAACACTAATTATAGAAAGATTAGAAAAGAATAGAACGTTTCCAGACACAAATCGACCGAAAAAATATTTCTTCTCGAATTTTAAACTACACTTTTTAAAAATCATTTTTACTCAATATAACCCATACAGCACATCAAATCACATTTACGATGTGTTTACATTATTAGATGTAGGCACAGGGTGGCACAATTCTCCCGATGTAAATATGATACGTTTACACATTGTAGTTCAACACGTATGCACAAAGGTTAAACGTCCGCCTCACACAATGTAGCCACAGTATAGCATTTACGTATACACAAAGTAAGGGATACACAGTGTGTCATAGGATACACAGTGCTTGTGTATTACGTTTAAACTCTGTTTACACTACTGCGTGTATACGTATGTATTTTGCTTCGTATATACATCTTGTGCTAGATAAAACTACTTCTTATGAACGAATTTAGGAAATAATACAAGTTTTGATGCCTAACTTTTCGTTCTTTTTAAGAAATATTTATTCAATAATACCAATCATATCTTTTTAGAACGAAAATTAGGAAGGCAAAACTTTGTATTTTCCAAAAGTATCTCGATCGTAAGTTCAAGAGAAGTAGCCTTAAAATTGTTCCATTTTTTTCCATAAAATGGATTAAGTGGTTAAAAATAAAATTCTTATATTTCTTTATATCATGGAACGCAATAGCGCAAATAACACGATAATAATAATTATTTACACTGCAGAAACCAGAAGTAAGAAAACACTATAAAAGAACAGAATTTGTATCAAAATGTATTAAAAATATAAGTACCTAGTATAACAACATACTAAAATGGTAAACACTGGTATATCGCCACGATTTGGTGGACCTCGTTTAGTCATTTTTTTCTCTTCTTTTCCCTCCAAGCAGTTGGTTTGTTAGCATACTCATTCATCGAGATTAACAATCTCAGATTGACAATCTCACCCTTAAATTTTATATGAAACTGATTATTGAATTTTAAACATACCTGTATATTGATCCATCAATAACTTATCGAATATCAGTGTAAGAAGTTCTTTGATGTGTTTAAATCTTTCTTTCTCTGGTCCATTTAGATTTTTATTATTTCCAAATTAAAAAAAAATTATATTGCAGAGCTCAGCTAACCTCTTTATCATTATACGAGAATATTTGGAGTTTTCATTCATTGGAGTCAAAATTTGGTAAATTGGGTATCGAGTAAGGGAAGAGTCGCTGCTATAATATTAATAATACTCTTAGAAAGGTGTAACAAGGTAATTAAAAACTTGTGCTTACCTTAAAATCTCTTTTAAACTACACACAAACAGAACATTTATATAGAGCTTCCGAATGATAAAACAATAATGGCGGCTAACACATACCACTCCTAGAAAGGAGAAATGAGAGAGAACACATAAGATACACTTGGTCGGTGTATCTCCGCTGAGGCTGTCCGCGCGTGCGCACACCTTCATTTCATGCTAGAATGTAGATATAACAGTACACAATTACAAAGTGTCTATATAGAAATTTATATTATGTGTATACGTCACATTTTTACAAGGTGTGTACTATAGGCACAACTATGATACGAAGTATCACAAATACATATGACATATACATTGTATGTCTCATATACCGACGTCAGATTTCATCATTTTAATAATTATTTGTTACATTACAAAAAACTCTTAAGAATCTTGAGTGCATACGGTATACAACTAGTAAACACTGTATCACACAATTCTATCAATAGAAACCTGCGTGTATCTCATATGTATATGCTAGAACTAGATGAACACTTAGGTTCACTTTAACATATTTGGTTTCTCATGTGTCTCCCTTGTAAAAACGTAATTTCATTTGGACGTGCTGTATGGGAAAGAACTCAAATGCTAATCCTAATTCATTTTTTTTAGATAACTAATAACTTGAATATGTTGATTCGAACAGTGGCCGAGGTTGAATCAAATATTGTGAGCGTCGAACGTATCAAGGAATACACCGAGAAGACACAGGAAAAACCTTGGGAAATATCAGAGAGGAAACCGAACCAGTTGTGGCCAGACACTGGAAACGTGCAGTTCAAAGACTATTGCGTCAGGTATCGAGCTGGTCTCGATCTAGTGTTGAAAGGAATAAGTTTCAATGTACAAGGCGGCGAAAAAATTGGAATTGTTGGAAGGACCGGAGCTGGCAAAAGTAGCTTAACGTTATCATTATTCAGGTAAGTAATTAATGAAGATTTTGGAAAAGACGTCCCTGAAAGCGGTGTATTAGGTACCAAATAATCGAAAAGAAAATCGTCGTCAAGTTGGCTTGGAAAGTACGAGCCATGGGATTAACCAGGGCGACATGAAATATGAAGCAATTGCATTTGCTGTGTCTCACCATGTTATTTTGTCTTGCGAAGTAATACTGGCCTCGTGCAGACTATGACCTATGGCTCTATTAATTTGGTCCATCCAATGGTTCGGAGATGTCACTCTAGGACGTTTCCCGTTTACTTTTCCTTCCACAATTAGTTTTCGTAGTACATTGTTTTTTTTCTGGATATATGGCCAAGGTATCTTAAATAAGATTGGTTTATAGATATTCAGTGTTGATTCTACAGGGTTGTTCACCACATACGACACGGAGTATTGTAGCTAAACGATGAGATTTTTACAAATTGTAAGTTTGGGGTCCGTTGAAGGACTATTAGAGCTACAATTTAAAAATATTTTTACAAGATACAGAGTGTCCCAAATAAATAAAAAATATCAAAGTTGTATTTTTTTAAATGGAACACCATATATATTATTACATTTTTAATTTCCACGATTAAAATAAAGGTAAATTTGATTAAGGTTTATTATACTTAAACCTTACCGTTTTTGAAATATTTTCAATTTTGTGAAATTGCAGTAAAAATTTTAAAGCTTCATTTCTCCAAGGGTATCAATGTTTTTAATACTAAATATTTAATGAAGTTTATTTATTGATCAGTTATTGTGTTGCAATAATAAAAATAATACTACCTTATACAGAGTGTCTAAAAATTTATTTTAAATAATTATTAGCTTCAAACGGCAATAACTTCTTTAATTTAAATGGAATGCCCTATATATTTTAGGAGAATCAGCTGCACAATTAAATTGTCTATCAAATTGTATTATACCATTTTTTACATATCCCTTCAAGTTTTCGTAGAAAATGCATTTTCTCATAATTTAGACCTCATTTATCAATATATCCATGGAATATTGACATTTTAGATTGTTTTTAAAGCAACAAATGTACAAAATGTACAGACTAGTAATATTATCGTTTTTAGCAAAACGATAATATTACTAGCCCATTTGTATGCAAAAAGAAAACTATTTAAATCTTTATAAAAGAGTATACCATTAATTAAATATAACACCATTATTTCTGCCCATATACTAATTAATGACATACTTAATTGTGTTCGTTAATAAATTATTATAAATAAATGTGGATTTTTGAGTCAGAAATCAATATAATAATAAGTTATCAAATTGAAGTCTTTGTTGTTATAAATTAGCATTTATTAAAAAATGAAATATCATTTTTAAGGTGTTACTTTTTATCACACTGTCTAATGCCCATACAAAATTCAGTTTTTTAGTATTTGGAGCAATTATTATTAATCAACGCAAACAGTCAGTTAATGTAGCTTGAATACTGGAATCATATTAATTGGTCCTCTTTAACAAATATTTAAACAGTTTTTTTTTTATTTTTTTAATGAAATAAACGAATTATATCGACAATATTAGTATCTGTACTCTTTAAAAATTTGGTACATCTTTAAAAATAATCTAAAATGTCAATAGTCCATGGGTATATTGATAAATAAGTTCTAAATTACAAGAAAATGCATTTTCTACGGAAACTTAAAAAGATAGGTAAAAAATGGTATAATATAAATTGATAGACAATTAAATTGTGCATCTGATTCTCGTAAAATATACAGGGTGTTCCATTTAAATTAAACAAGTTATTGCCGTTTGAAGCTAATAATTACTTAAAATAAATTTTTAGACACTCTGTATAAGGTTCACAATAACTGATCAGTAAATAAACTTCAGTAAATATTTAGTATTAAAAACTTTGATACCCTTGGAGAAATGAAGCCTTAAAATTTTTACTGCAATTTCACAAAATTGAAAATATTTCAAAAACGGTAAGGTTTACGTATAATAAATCTTAATCAAATTTACCTTTTTATTTTAATCGTAGAAACTAAAAATGTAATAATATACGGGCTGTTCCATTTAAAAAAATACAACTTTGATATTTTTTACTTATTTGGGACACTCTGTATCTTGTAAAATTATTTTTAAATTGTACCTCTAATAGTCCTTCATCGAACCCAAAACTTACAATTTGTAAAAATCTCATCGTTTAGCTACAATACTCCGTGTCGTATGTGGTGAACAACCCTGTATATTAAGGTTTGTTGCTATGCGAAACGGCTGAATTTTTTCATATTTTATTAATTTTGGTCTCTTTTAATTTCTGCATTATATATGATCTTTTGTTTCAGTTGAAAGAGCGGAGGTATATGAATTGATTTTCAACTTCGAAAATTTTATTTCATTTTAATCCATATTTCTCGCTGACCACCTTCAACTTGTGCATAATGGATTTTAATTCATCCGCGGAGGATGCGTGTGTAACTGTATAATCTGCGTACTTTAAATTAACCACCTAATCTTCCAAAACTTCCCTCATTATAGATTAGCCACATATTTATGTTATATGTATTGAAGAGTAAAGTTTGATTTTCATGCATCCGTTATACGTTGATACGATGGTCCGACGGTGCTCTGATTGGTCATAGCGTTTTCGCGCCACTTTCATCCGTAAATATTTTAGTTCAACCCGTCAACGGACCCGTTCATACGATAACGGACGTTTTGACACTTTTTTGACAAATTTAATCTAACCTTAATAAATATATAAATAAAATAGCAAAATCGTTATGGATAAACGGAGGCATGAAAATGCAATAAATTTAAAAACTGCGTTATTTTCTAACCAATCAAAGTCTTTAAATTCTACCAATAAGATTAATATCGTATCAACGTATCGCCGGACAACGGATGCATGAAAATCAAGCTTAACACTAAAATATTTTATTTTTATACTGGATGCACGTTTCGCTAGCCATATTAGCATCATCAGCAGATGACTAAATCTGACAGATTAAGACACAGCTTTAAGAGAGCGTCTTTTCTGTGTATACGTAGGTAATTTTAATAGCCATAACACATCCTGGGGATACGCCAGTAAAAATAATGATGGGAAATGGTAAGCGAGTGGACAGAGCGCAATAATCTCAATAATCTCTATCTTCTCTCTATCGATTCTATCTTTAAAATCGTACTAAGTACGAGGGTGGTTCATTAGTATATTTCGAAAAAGCATCTTTTTACGAATAATTTGGTACCACATACTTGGTGTTTCGAGTCAAATTTTCGTTATGAATCTCATGTTGCAATTTAAAATAAACCATATTGGAAAATGTCAAAAGTTGACATATGATATGCCATTCTATTCGGACTGTCATTTTCTATCGAATAAAGCAACTAAACACCGATGGTACCATTTAAAAATCAAAAGTTGTAGTCATTTTTGGTGAAACAGGAAGTGAGAGAAAACAATTAAATACGTCAATCAATCCTAATTTATGTCATATATTAATATACCAAATCTCGATTTTTTATCTGAAAAAATAAAAAAGTTATAGGGGTGAGCCACTTTTGAGACGCACCCGGTATTCTCGGAGTTTATAAAAAATCTGGGAATATTGGCAAATCCAAGGCAAACCATGGACCGCATTCTCAAACGAATGCTCAATTAGAGCATTCCATGGAAGTCTCCAGGAGCTACATTCAGCCTCTCCATCAGCAATCGACTGGATAAATGGCCTAGATATATGTTTAATGTTCGTCATAACCTTTTATTCCGACAACGTTTGCATAATACAAATTTGTGTCCGGTATGTCCTCTATATAAGTTTTTTTTTCTTGAGGAGGAATTATTTTCTTATTGATTATTTATTTAAAAAATTATTCGTCGTAGACTTAAAATTAATACAAAAAAAGTTCAGAGAAATCTTTATCTGGCGTTAAAACTCCTAAACCTATTTTTTGCGTTGTAAATAAAACTCTCAATCCCTATACCTATACTGAATATGCGTAACGTACCAATTCCCCCCGAGTTTTCGTCTTTCATCAGATTTATTCTACCATGTCGCCTGATCGCTTTTTTTAACTGCTCATCGGTATATTCGATCTAATTGATTAAACGGATTTGCATCTGGCGTAGTGGAATTATAAAACATCGGATACTTAATATCTGAACCGCCGGGTGAACGTGGTATTTTTACAGACATTTCAGAGGAAAGTTGTATACAGGGTGTTTCAAAAAACATGTACCATCTCTCGTGGGGTGATTTCTCACGTAAAAATAAGATTTATTTTTCATATCAATATGGGTTCGATTCTCCTCGAAGTCTTCATTTTTTTTCGATTTATTATAATTTTCTTTGAAGTTCTTTTAATGATTCGAATGAAATTTGGAGGGGAAAAGTGGAAGGTAAAACTATTAGTGCTACATGATTTAATGCTAAAAATGTGTCGATCGATTCACCAGGGACGTGCATATGGGTTATTTCTGGAAAATTTTTCTAAAAAAAATATGTGCGCCACGGACTTTTTTTCCTCTTAGTAGCAATTATGTAGGGAATTTAATTCCGATTAAAATGTGTATCTTGGTATTTTGTCCATTTCTATCTACTAGATGAGATAATCGCAATTTTATTAATCACAATTTTAAAATTTAAATTATTTACTTAATGTAAATTATTGTGGCATATATATTTTTTAGAGAAAAATCCCAGTGATCATAGTAACTTTTACCCCTCAATAGCAACTTTCACCCTCCAAATTTCATTAGAATCGCTTTTACGCTTGGAAGAAAATTATAAATCGAAAAAAGATAAAGTCTTTAACCTCCTGTAGCTACAAAACAAAGGAGAATCGGACCTATGTTAATATGAAAAATAAATGTTAATTTTACGAGGGGAATCTCTCCACCAGATATATGGCAGATGTTTTTTGAAACACCCTGTATACTTAACTTTAAGTATTCAAATGGAAACATTTTTTTTAGAATTATTGAAGCTGCGGAGGGAAAAATTATCATAGACGGCATTAATATATCTGAAATAGGGCTTCACGATTTGAGATCGAAGTTAACAATTATCCCTCAAGACTCTATCCTATTTTCTGGATCGTTAAGATTGAATTTGGATCCGTTCGATATGTACAGCGATGCAGAAGTTTGGAAGGCTCTTGAGTTGGCGCATCTGAAAGATTTTATTAATGGTAAGGAGATCTTTGTATAAGATCGTTGATTGAAAGAATTGGGAAGATACGCAACCTAATGGGCGAATTCGTGAAAAGGCTGACTTGATTTCCCCTTACGTCCCAAGTGATGTACGGTGGAGCCTCTACTCGTTCTGCAGCCAACGCATTAACACTCATTTTCTTTATTTCGGCTAGCGTGGGCATACCGAAAACGGCGTGGAACTGAAAGCGACAGTGTTGCCATATTAAAATACGTAATATCTGTATTACGTTTGACGAAAATATCTTTGGTTAAAAGACCCGCGTTTATGTATTGAAAATTTATTCGTGTTAAACATGGGAAAACAACTAAAATAAAAATTCTTTTATAGGTCCTGGATATTTTGTATCATCGAAAAAAGTCGTTTAGTTGGCTTGTAAATGACGACTATTGACATTTACCATAATATTTCTTCATTTATTCATTTCCAAGCCAACTCTGACGCCGTTATTTATTTAATCATATAATATTATAATTGTTTAATGATAGAAAGTCCGTATTATTAACGTACTGTACCGAAAATACGCAAATCTACGGATTAATCAGTATCAGTAGTTCTGGCAACACTGTCTCCGGCAACCATTCACTCTGTCGACTGAAAGCAGAACTACGGTAGAGTATTCTTTATCCGCTGCACTGTAGACGACTATCAGCGCGCGGCGGCGCAGAGCTAAACTAAATCTCGGACAGGCTGACGCATGACGGTAACGCCAGCTACCCAAGTAGCATCTATCTGACTTCGAACTAAATCTGATCTGAAGCGCCATCAGACTTTGTGCAAATTTAGGTCGGATGCTGGTGATATGACCGGTGACGTCGCTTTCCTATTAAAAGCGACGTCGTTGGATCCGAGTCGGTAAATCCAACGATCTGTCGGCGTACAAAATAACAACGTACCATTTTTATTAATTTCCCAACCTCGTTCCCACGTTGGCTTGCACGACGTACATATACTTGAACTAGCCCGACGTCTACCCGTTGCCCGAATAGGATACGTCTCACTGATAATCCCTAAAGTAACGTCCAATTATATTTGGTGTATTTGATGTTCATATTTATAACCTAATTTACGTATCTCTATTTACGTCCGTAAATACTACCCATTAAGTAGCATTTGCGACCTAATGTACATCATGAACATAACCTAATAAAAAGTTTTTGTAAACAAACTTAATTTTTTTATTATGCCTAAAAAACACTAAAAAGGCATTTAGACATTCATCTACATTTTACAGAAAGAGGTCGAGGCTTTTGCAAAATAATAATAGTAGTAGTGATGTCTTGCCTCCACCCATAAATGCTTTTTATCCGGAAGAGGTTGCATTACACTTTTTGCTTTATTTAGGTACTTTTTAATCAGACATTTTTTATAAATGCTTTTTATCCGGAAGAGGTTGCATTACACTGGTGCTTCTTAATTTCATTTTTAGCTTAGGAAACCAGCAGACCCCATCCTCCTCCCACATGTGAGGTTAGGCTTAAAAAGTGGCTGCCCATTTTTTTTAAGGAGAAAACAAAACTAAAATATAGTTGCACAAATCCACAAATCACTGATACGCAAAGTGAGGTTACGTGGCGTACGTTGGAATTATATACGTCATAATACGATTGCCGGTCGTCCGGTTTGATGACTTCGGTCGTGTGAGACTAATGTTGGAGACCCGGTTGGAATTGGTATATTGGTAGTTCATATTAAGTCGGACACAGAAATCCGCCATTCTTAACAAGTATCCGATTGTCAGCCATTTAAAATCGTTTTTTGTTTTTAAAATTTATATTCACATTTCGATTTATTTCTAGTAGAATAATATTGATAAGGTTGAGTTTGGGGGGAACCACAGTACAGTTTTATGATTAAACCAGCTAGAAAATTAAAAAAAAATATTTTGCGAGTTATTTTTTTATTGATATTTTTATTTCATAAATCTACCTAATTTTGAAGGCGCTCGTTGTTTTCCGGAGTATTTTAATCAGATATATAAAAAAAGTGACTTCCGTTGACAAAACTGATGTCTGGACTAATGATTCAGAATTATTATAATATGAAATTAGATAGGCACTTATAGTTATATTCGAGGAGTGATTATGAATCCATTTGTAATTAGGTAGTTTGGTTAGGTTTTTATGTATTCTTGGTAGCGAATATGAAACCAAACGTAACGTAAGTGCTTAGCGACGAATTTTAAGTAACTAAAATCCAACGTAATATGACGTTGGTAATTGGTAGAACTACATTCCCTATTAGGTCAGATACCGACGTCGAGGCGACCCGAATCTGTATTCCCCATTTAGGTGCAAATAAGGGTCGTCAAGCGGTCGAACCGACGCGACGTTGGTACCCGATGTCGGGTTTATTGAACGCGACGTATACCCGACGTTAGATAACGTCCAAATGCTACTTTGGTAATTCTCGGACAGGTTTTGTGCCACGAAATCGCCCATAAGGTTGCGCATCTTCTTATTTCTTCAATCAACAATAATATATTAATTTTTAGCTTACATCTTTTCATCTGTGTTTTAGGTTTACCTTCTGGATTGTACCATAAAGTTTCCGAGGGCGGCGAAAACTTATCCGCAGGTCAACGCCAACTGCTTTGTCTAGCTAGAGCACTTTTGAGGAAAACCAAAATACTAATTCTGGACGAAGCTACAGCAGCTGTTGACTTAGAAACCGACGATCTTATACAGAAAACCATCCGTACAGAGTTCGCCGATTGTACTGTGATCACTATAGCGCACAGACTGAACACTATCGTAGATTCCAACCGCGTGTTGGTGCTAGATAAAGGCAAAATTGCAGAATTTGAGGCTCCGCAAATTTTGCTACAAAATAAAGAATCGATTTTCTACGGTATGTGCAAAGATGCTGGATTGGTTATCTAGCCTACAGACAGAAAAGTAGTGTTAGTGATAAGTGATGCTTCAAGACAGTTTCGAGATTGAGATTTTAACTCGATATGGTATTATAAACAATAAATGATAATAATAATTTACTTTTGTATACCGTTAGTTTCTTTCATTATATTTTTTGCATTGTTAAGATCTACTGTGTATTTATTTCACTATTTTCCATGAATGCTGACCAGACTTTTTTTTAATAATTTTTAATAATGTTTTGTTCTTTAATTTGAACGCTTAAAGGTGATAACAGATTCGGTTTTTAACTGGAATAATAAATTATAATGCAAGTTAGACCTTCCGAAGATATCAAAATAGTTACCTTTTTATTTTTTTGTTTAGAATTTCCGCAAAATATACTTTCTAACACTTTTAGAATAATTATATACTCATTTTTTCGTTTACTTGTCATTTGAACCCGTGTATTTGTATGTATTCGATATTAGCGGTATTCTCCGGCGGTGGCAGCACCGGCGGAGAATGCACCTGCTACAAGCCTATAGGACATGATGGTCTGGTATAAAGCATAGACCACTTTTAATTTTTTCTCCCAAGAAGCATTTTTTGTTTTATAAGTGTGTTAGGAAACTTCCCAACACCATATTATACAACCTAAACGCATCTAGAATGGTTGTCGTGAGTTATTGGTAACCATTATATAACACTTATATGCCCTAAACGGTGCCTTTTATAACTGTTCCTGTGGTAATCCTTAACACTCAAGGTGTGCAACCAAAGTCCTGAAAACTTTCTCAACACCTTTATATATCCTATCGAGTTACCGCTATAAAACTGAAAAAGGGTATTTAATAGTTATATAGCGGTGTTGAGAAGGTTCCCAGAGATTACCTTTATAGAAATCTCGCGCATGCGCGTTTTTTAAAAATAAACTTGTTTCTTTCTGACTAACTACTTTAATATTTGCCTCTTTTTTTAACATAAAAAGCAGATATGATCTTATTGCTCCAAGTTGTCCTACGCAGATAATCCAGACCAGACACAAGAGACAAAATGATGCCATCCCTGTCATAGCCTACAAACCGCGTTTGCGTTATGCAAATGACTTTATAGAAATTACTGGCTTAATAAAATCTATTGTGCCTAGCCAGAGTACTAAATACATATGCGATATTAAATTTACTGTGTGAAAATCAATTTTACCTCCAAAAAACACATGCGCCCCAAAAAGCAGAATTATTTAATAGATTTATTTATAAACAAAAAAAAATATGGTAAAATTTTTGTAATGAAAGTCAAATTTATTAATATAAATAATAGAACGTATGACTTTTCTAATACATAGAAATAACTGGCAACTGGCCAAAATATAGTTTTGTACCAGTTTTCAACGTTATTTTAGAAATACTCATTGCAGCCAAAAATGAAGATATCAATAATAATGGCGTCCATTATATTTAAAGTGCTATATATTACTTTAGGGTCTATAGCATACTCATCAACCATTATATAAATTTGGTTACTTAAGGTTGCGTAAATGAGTTTGGGTTATTTAAAACACCAATTTTAGTGTTCTATACGACTAAAAGTTATACAAATCACCATTATAAATGCCGAGGTGTTTATGGCTACTTCTAGTCACCCAGAAAACCTTTCTGTAACCCGTGGTGTCGACTGTAGCGACTCCCTGTGAACGAAGTTTAACATTACAGCAATTTGACAGAAAATGTGCAGAAAAGAAAACATAACCTTATAAAATTGAAATAATACTGTTTTGGTTCAATTTGATCTATATTGAAAGTGGTAGGAGTTTGAAAAAGAGTCCTAGGGTCCTTTGGTACTTTGGTAGAACTGTTATGAATGAATTGACTATAGAAAAAAGCTCTTAAAGTGCAGAATGTGTAATGTTAAAGCGCAAAGCTCATTCTCTTATGTTAGAGAATGCCTTAACCAGGCATCTTCCTATTCCTGATCGTTTTGGCTACTTTCTGTTGGAAATATCTCAAGTTGGTCCTGATCTCTGCTTGTGGATGGTAAATTTGCATGTTGGCTTTCAATATTGGTAGATGTACCCAAGCAACATTTGGACGTCGGGACAACGTTGTGTCACGCGACCAAACGTCGGGGCCCAAAGTCGGCACAACCTCGTGCCAACCCTAGTCTGCACTAGTTTGGAGAATAATTTTTGGGTCGAAACGACGTTGGATACCGACGTTGGCTAGAAGCCTAATTTAGTACAAACTGCAACGTTGTTTAAAATCCTAATTCACAGAAATACAAAACTAATATGGCGTCTAAGTCGCCTTTATCCTAAATTGGGATAATTAGAGTAAAAATATTATTTTTATGATTTAGTTAGAGACATATGTCAGATGGCAGTGAAGGAAAACAAAACAAAAGTATTTAAGTGTGGGGGATGTTTGAAGATCATAATTATTGAAACACTTTAACCGACTCAGTAACTCGTTACCCAAGGCAAAAAAGTTAAACGCAAACAACTTTATTGATAAATGTATTGTTTCTACTTTGAAAAATACTAATGGGCCTTAAAATTAAAGAAGTTTTAAAAATTTTCTTGAATTTTTTTTTTTTAGTAAAATGAGAATAATTTATTCGCAGTCGAAAAAATTGTTTCCGCGTGTTTTTTAGGGTCAAATATTTCAAGTTAATGTATTCAAAAAGCAAGAATTGATATTTTAGGAACGAAACATTTTCTTATTTAACAACATGGCGGCTTTCACTTTGTTGTTTTGGGAGATTAAGATGGAGTAGTTCGAGTAGTCGCATACTGGACTAATAAAGTCGCAGTTCAGCCTTAACAGGTAGTATACTAGTCGCAAGATTGCCTAATTTAGTCATCCTAGAGTCTAGCTTGTGCCGCCCTCTATAATCTAAATAAACGAGGGAGTGGATAAACTATCGGTAATATATGCCGATGTATATTTAAATTTAGTTTTATATGTACCTTTCTTATGTCCCATTTTAAATAAGTTTTTTTTATAAAAACAAAAACAGCACTGAACTGTCTGACTGAACAGAACAATGAAGTGAAAATTTAAGATTTAAGGTTATGGTTCAATACAGTTGCAAAAAGGTAGTGCCTCGACGTCCTACCAACGTAAGAATAAGGAAATCTAAACAACGTTGGAATAAGTAAAACAGACGACGTTTGCATAACGTTGGAATAGGTCCTGAAACTGACGTCGGAAAACTCTATATTGTCCAACGTTGTAACTACGTTGTCCGAATCACGTAAAGATCACTTAAGCAAAAAAGGTTACAAGACAACGTTTATTCGACGTCGCAGAAGCTTCTACTTTGCTGTAGCACTAGTCCAACGTCGGCACAACGTTATAAAAACGTTTAAATTTATTTTAATACCCATGGTAGGGAGCTAACTATTTTTTGCAACTAATCCAACGTTGTGTTTAGTAAACATGTGGTCGCAAGTCGTGAAAATGCTACTTGGGTAGTTTGAATGAGGTTTGGATTATTCCTATTTTTTTAAATTCTGAACAAATAATTTAAAGAAGAACCTTTCTTTTAAACGTAGATGTATTTTTGTGTTTTGTCCAGTTTATTTTTTTTATTAATCATTATAATACCGAATTGCTTTGCTTGCTAATATATTATTTGTTTTGATTATATTAAAAATTTGAGGTTATGTCATTAAGTTTGGTTTGGTCGTGCTGATAATATTATTCAAAATTGGTAACTACAGGTTATATAAAGCATGCAAACATTTGAAAGGTGCAAAAAAAACGAATTGAGGGAACAATTATATAACTTGTAGTATTATTGGTTACATAATGGTTCTTAATAACACCTTTAATTATATAGTGTATATCTTGCGTACCTTTAGAAGTTATATAAAATAGATGTGAACACCTTTATAAAACCTTATTATGAAACCTTTAGTAACAAGAACCTCTAGTTTTATAAGGAAAGTGATAAACAACATTTCAAGGTTACTATTAGTGATAAGTAACCAACGCTACACTTATATAAATCAAAACACTGTAAGATACCAATGAGACATTTATTAAACCTTTATATAACTAACCTTGAGAATATATAACCTAAAGGAACTTAAAATGTTACTTGGGCTGTGGCTGTGTTATTGTTTAACGTAAAAGCTAATTTAATAGAAAAAAAAATTATATATAAAAAAGAAACATAAATATCTATTTTTTAAAAAGAGGTTACAGTACATCCCTTTTTAATCTGATAATATTATTCAAAATTAAAACATTTATTAATTATTTAATGAATATTTATGACAGTTGTAAATTCTAATTTTTATTTAAGTACAATTTAACAACTCAAATTAAAATTCCAATAAAGCCTACCCCTTAATATACTCCCCGAATTTACCCTACTGCACTCTGTGTTAGAGATGGGCAAAAGTAACCGGTTTTTTGAATAACCGGTATTTTCCTCTAAAATAACCGGTTATTTAAAGGTAGTTTTTTTTTCACCAGTTAACCTAATAACCTTGCATGACGTTCAATAACCTATAGCCGGTTATTTTTTAAAAAATCGTACTTGTTTAAAACAAGTAACAATTAAATATTAGCTGTTTGAATGGTAAATTTCGAAGGAGCGAACGGCACGGATCTTCCAGATATTACGACGATAACGGGAGATCCCGCTCCCGCTCCCAAAACGAAAATATATGACATCAAACATCAAATGTCAAAATTAAATCAGGCATCAGGCGAACCCTGATGATAATAATCAAAACAACGGCCAAATGGCCCTGACAGGTCAGGCCGTAAAACAAAGTACTAATGGCATAGACTACTACTAGCCACCAGCTAGCCAAGTGATACGAACCTAACTTCAAATAGATTCTCTAAATTCTATATTTAAATTTTAACCGACTTTAACGGATTTTCAACGGTTCTTCAAAAGTCTTCCATGGTTTCGCCCAGTTTCACCCACGTTTCACCGTAAATATATTTTATTTGTAGTTTGAAGTCTCTCTTGAAGCTTAGACTAAAGAATACAAAATTGAAGTTCAAGTAATGAATGAAGATAATCTTTCATTATCTATTCATTCAGTCTCCTTATTTTTCTTTGGTATTTGATTAAAATAACTTGGTTGTAGATTGTAGAACTTGTGAGTTGTGTGGTTTATTTGAACGTTAAGTAATTACTAGTTTTAATATCATATCCATCTCT